TCAGCCGAACCAGAGGGCGTGCACCCTCAGACTGGACCCGACGGGACCGGTTCTTTTGAGACAAACGTCCACAAAAGAAACCAGGAATGAACGCAGAGCTGCGAGTCCTACGGGGTCCGGATAGGGACACGCCTGCTCCTCCCGCAGATCGCTACAACTCAGGAAAAAAGGTCCAGTGCGACCCGGTTCGGACTCACCTGAGCTCTTCGGAATGTCCTGCGCTCCACCTGAGTCCAACACGTCCAAGAAAAGTTCTGCAGAGCCACGGAGAGTCCGGCAGAGACCCGGAGCCGAGAGATCCGAACCGAGAGCCGCACAACAGGTCCGACAAAGACCCCGCCCCGCTGCGCAGCTCTCCGGGACGTTTCCTCACGCCCCTCCTCAACGATCACCGGGTCTCGAGTCCTTCAGGAGAGACCGGACCCGGCGTGGACCTGTCCAGGTTCAGGTCTCCCTGGTGAGTTCTATGGCTGGAACCAGAACCAGATGGATCTTGTCCAGTTCGAGGTCAACATGTCAGCGGGGGTCTCCAGAACTGGAAGCTCCTGGTCCTGGAAGCTCATGTCCAGCTTTAGTTGTTTCTCTGCTCCAACACACCTGACTTACCTGATCTGAAGGCTCTACAGAAGCCTCTTAATCACCTGATGATCAGAACCTGGTGTGTTGGAGCAGAGGAACATCTAGAACCTGTAGGATGGTGGGCCCGGACGACTGGACAACCCTCTCATGCCTCAGAACATCTACTCAGAACTTAAGGTGCCACATGCAAGAATATAGTGGGAATTTTACAGAGAAAGTCTGATGTTCCAGTCATTTTGGAAGGAAGGTTCTACTGAAACATTTTCATATCCAGCTGTCAGTTTTTCTCCTGTCAAAACACCGGAAGGAGGGACGTAACTCCTGTGGGTGTGGGGGTGCTGTGGCTCCTGCAAGCTAACACCGCAAAAAACGCTCCAGGGCTTTTTAAAGTGGTGGCAGTTGCCAAGTTTTACTGCAGGATATCATTTTCACTCGATTTCTACATAATGCACCTTTAACAGACTAGGGCTGTTCGGAGTCTGGTCCTGGAGGCCCACTACCCGCTCCGACACACCTGGTGGATGAACAGGCTTCTGAAGACGTTGAGGACCTGCTGACTCGGGTGCCAGCTGAAACCATCAGGGCTCTGTGGGACGTAGGTGGTAAAAAGGGTGTGACGTGACCCTACCTGCATGAACATGTTTGTGTTCGTCGTTCCTGTCTGAGGGAAGCTGAGCTGCTAGAACCTGTCTATCATTCTGATGTAGAACCTGGCCTCTCATACCAGAACCTAAACGTGACATCATGTGACGTCATCAAGAGGAATTTTCAGACATTCGTGGCATTCTCAGCAGAACTGTTCTTCCTGTAAGGCCCGAGACCACCGACTGACCCAACAGAACCCCTTCAGCAACACCAGCCTGATTGTTCTCTTTAAACAAGATGGTTCCATCCAGGGGCGTGTCCAGGGAGTGGCCTGGGGTAGCAAATGCCACCCTTGGAATCTGACCACCCCAGGTGCCACCACACTGAATTCCCTTTAGACAGGCTTTTCATTATCCACAAAAGGCTTGGGGTTAAATAAATAAATAAATAAATAAGCATAACCATTGGTGCCACCCATGCACAAAGTAGTGCCTCACCTGGACCACCCCATTTTAAAAGATCTGGACACGCCCCTGGTTCCATCTGACCCAGGCAATTCCAAATCAGATTTCTTCAACTCACCTAAGAAGGACCTCTAGTTGATGGGGCGGAGCCTAAGCTCTGAGCATTCCAAACCTACTTCCTGTTTGAGTTTACCTTCAGGTTGATGATCATTTGATTCATATGTAAATCATGAAGTTATGCAACTGTGCAGAATACAGTATGTCATCCATTTTTAAATAAAATGTTTTATTATTTATTTCCGTTGTGGCATCACAAGTCACCATCATGATCCTCTCCATCATGTACGTCAGACCAGCTGATCAATAACCAGCGATTGTTTACACATCAACAGCAGCTCTCCGACCTCTGACCTCCGACGTGACTGACCAGCTGTGCTGGTAAGTTGGACCTGGGAAACCCGAGCCCAGGGCGTCCCGCAGCATCTTCAGCTGTTCCGATTGGCCATTCATCAACTCAGGTATATGTCGATGTTAAGGGGGCGGTGCCTCCAGCCATAACTCACTAATATACCGCCTCTGCAGGGTATCTGCAGGTTGAAGGGAGCCAAATTTAAGACTTTTTACGACCTTTTTTAAGGACACTTTGACCAAATTTAAGCAATTTTTTTAAATTAAATTAAAGCTATAATTTCCAGCTATTGTCTGGAACCGGTGCTAACCACGTCGCAAACGTGGGATTAGCCATCCAGCTACCATTAAACTTGCACTTCCCCATGGCGCAAGCTCCCACTAGCTTAACCAGCTAATGTGCTCATCTAAAAATAGCCCCTTTTCACAACCAACTGAACGTGTACGGTTCCGCTTACGCCAACGTCATACACAAAAAATGCTGAACACCAACTAGAAATTCATGAAAATTTTATAGAAATTAAATAATCTTGTTTATTGGGTCTTTAGTAATTTAAGACCTTTGGAAACTGTATTTAATGATTATTTGTCATTTTTAATGATTTTTAAGGCCTTAAATTTGGAAAAGCTAATTTAAGACTTTTTAAGGACCTGCGGATACCCTGCTCTGGGACTAGATGATCAAAAGTAATCACTCACATAGGTACTACCTGAGTAATGACAAGTAGAAGTATACAGGTAAAAGTGTGCAGTTATAAAAGTAGAAATATACAAGTACACAGGTACCAAACAGGACAAGAAGAAGAGTACAGATACTAATGTATAAAAAGACTTCTCTAAAGTTTGACAGTACTTTATGTATAAAAGTAGTCATGTAAAAACTTGAGTCACACCCCGGCACTACCACAGTAAGGCCGTAATAACTACGTTGTGCACTAGGCAACATAAATATGATCTTATTGACTATTAACGAGTTTTAGCGCCATACACATACATTGAAGAACCGTACACGGATGCAAACCAACGGGGAGTCAGAACGGTCGATGTTCACAATGAACCGACCCTCGCCTCACGGTGAAGTTTATCTGGACGCGTTTCTGGTGTGTGTCTTTTTGGGGCGACGGTGGCGGAGGAGTTACCCGGAGGGTTGCAGGTTCCTGCTCCGCTCAGTCCATGCCAGTCGATGCGCCCTTGGGCAAGACGCTTCACCCCAACTATAAATACCGTTTTAACAAGAATGAGTGGAAATTAAAACCAGAACAAACAGATTTATGGATGTTAATGAGTAATGGCCTACTGCACATTAACTTGTATTTGTACCATGTTCCTTCCTGAAACTGCTAGCCCCCCCCCCCCCCCCCCCCCCCCCCAACACACACACACACACACACACACACACACACACACACGTTTTGTTGTATTACGAAGACAATAAAGATTTTCAATTCAATTCAACACAAATGGCAAACGGCCACAGGTATAGTGCCTTCTAGAGTCCGGAAACCCCCCAAGGCGCTTTATGTTTATGTATTTAGCAGACACTTTTGTCCAAAGCGACTTACAAGTGATAATCGGCGTGCTGCCCTTGAGGCTAACAACAACAATAACAACAACAACTTGACATCAATCATGGAGAGGAGGGAACAAGGAGTGGACAGTAGAGAGGGGGGACAGGTGCAGGGAGGGTGCTAGTTAAGAAGATACTCTCTGAAGAGCAGGGTCTTCAGGAGTTTCTTTAAAATTGAAAAGGAAGCTGCTGTTCTGGTAGTGTTAGGAAGGTCATTCCACATTTGTGGAACGATGCATGAGAAGAGTCTGGATTGTCCTGAGCGTGGTGTAGGCACTGCTAGCCAACGATCCTGTGATGACCGGAGCGGCCGGGCCGAGACGTAAGCCTTTGCAAGAGGATTCAGGTAGATGGGAGCTGTACCATCTCGGACTTTGTATGCTAGTGTTAGCTATTTCAATTTGATGCGTGCTGCTAGCGGTAGCCAGTGGAGCTCAATGAACAGAGGGGTGACGTGTGCTCTTTTTGGCTGATTGAAGACCAGACGCGCCGCTGCGTTCTGGACCATTTGAAGAGGTCTCACAGTACAGCCAGGAAGACCAGTTAGAAGGGCATTGCAGTAATCGAGGCGGGAGATGACAGTAGATTGCACCAGGAGCTGGGTGGCATGTTGTGTTGGGCATGGTCTGATCTTACGTATGTTATACAGCGCAAAGCGGCATGAACGAGCAACAGAGGCAACATGATCTTTAAAGGTCAGGTATTCATCAATCACAACACCCAGATTTCGAACTGCCTTTGAAGGAGCCAGAGATAGGAAGCTTTACAACACAATCAGTCACTCACCCATTCTGGTGGAGATGAGCTACGATGTAGCCACAGCTGCCCTGGGGCGCGCTGACAGAGGCGAGGCTGCCCAGCACAGGCGCCACCGGTCCCTCCGACCACCACCAGCAGGCAAGCTGGGTTAAGTGTCTTGCCCAAGGACACAACGACAGCGACAGACTGAGCAGGGCTCGAACCTGCAACCTTCCGATTGCGGGGCGAGCTCTTAACTCCTGTGCCACCGTCGCCCAAGATGGAGTAATGGGGCTATTTTTAGAATTTAAGGAGTTGCAGTAAAAAGTTGGCTAATAGATAATTAATGAACATTTGTACTTAAGTAAGGTAACTATGTATTTGTACTTAGTTACATGACATCCTCGCCTGGTGAGAAAGCATCCTGAGAATGCTGAATGTTAAACAAGGTCCTCTGATTGGATATTAACGTTCATAAGCTGGTATTAACGGGTTTACCTGGTTCCCTAAGCACTGGTTGGTCTTCCTGTAGACTGATGTCTGAACATCAGCCGTCTCACAGCCGGTGTTTGTGAACGCCCTTCACAAGGCCGAGCAGCATCTACGGTTTCACACAGGATTTGTAAACGCCAGCTGGTGGCGACAAAAGACCAGAGTAGGTTTATGAACAACGCTTTAATCACATCAGCAGGAAGAGGACAGTGAGCTTGGATCTGTTTCACTAATTCCATTTTCAACAATAAAATTGAGGTTTTTTTCATCTGAATTAAATTAAACGTTAAAATTTTAAATGAACTCAGAATTCCTGATTTGTTGTTGGACTCTGTTAGTCCAAAGAGGTTCCACAATGAGACACGAGTGGGTTTTCTGTACAGGAACTGGTGCTGAGAACGCCCGGACTCTGGAACCCACTGGGTTAAAACCTCATCTGTTACTCCGATCATTAAAGTCTGTCCACTAACATGTTCTCCTATGTGATGGTCGCCGTCTGACTCCTCGACCAATCAGGGCAGGAAGTAAAAGGTAAAAGTTCTTCCTCTAAAAAGGAAGAGATTTAAAAACGCGTGTCAGTCATGTGATCAACCTTCCAACACCAGAATTGTAAGGACCTTCTCTCTCTCTCTCTCTCTCTCACACACACACACACACACACACAAACACACACACACACACACACACACACACACACACACACACACACACACACACACACACACACACACACATCTCCGTGATGTATTTAATGTGTGTGTCCATCTAATCTTGTATCCGTCTCATCTTCGCTCTCTGGATCCGCCTCACCGAGCAGGACTCGCAGCTCGCTCAGACGATGCTGCATCTTCGGGATCCCCAACAGCTGATTCTCCAGACGCTGTTTCTCCTCCTGAACACACACACACACACACACACACACACACACACACACACACACACACACACACACACACAATAAAACAGAATATATTTCTCTTTCAACAACCAGCTGTTTCTCCCTCTTCTGAATGTTCAGCTCTCTTTACTGTTGTTCTATTTACACATTCTGAATCAAACCCTGTGTTTCATTTGAAAAGGTCGTGACCTCAGCAGAAAACCAGCCAATCACAGGCCACCATGACGCTACCTGTAGGGACAAGCGCGTGGAGGCATCCAGAGTTTCAAACTTCCATCCTCCTTCTCCATCAAACTGCAGCAGGTGAGAGTGGTACTTCCTGTCAGAAACAGAAGACGGAGATCATCCCCCAGCCGCTTGGAGCTCTGCTGCCCCCTGCAGGCTACAGGCAGAGTCACATCATCGGTTTAACCCTTTCTGTTAGCACCACGGCAACGTTTCTATTCAGTCGCAGGCTTCGTCTTTCTAAATATCAGTAAATCTGTTTGACTTTAATGACCCGTGGAATCGTGGCCTGGAGACCAAAACCACCTGAGCCACCAGAGCGTGTCTACTGACCAGAGGGAGGGTCTGTGTGTAATTGATAGAAGAGAAATCCCAGCATCCTTTGCTGCCTGGAAGATTTTCCCCTCCACGTCGATACTAACAGCACTGGTGCACTCATCCAGGAGGGCGTACCGCGGCCTGAATGAGACAATCACACAACAGAGAGAGAGAGAGTTAATCAGCCAATCAGATTGCTGTCCTAAATTATCAGTGGTAGGTCATGTGGGCAGAGCTGGTGTGGGAAAAAGGCGGAGCCAGCTAGTCACACTCATCCAGCTGATGAAGCACATCGAGCACCTGAACATGGAGCTACTTACAAGTGGGAGGAGCATGAAAACAGCCAGGTGAGGTGTGGTTCAGGTGCTGATCTGGGATCAGCTGATGGAACTTTGTTTTTTATCGTTGGACATGAACACCAAGTGAGACATCCGTCAGTAACGTTACCGGTGGTAGAACATGCGAGCCATCCCCATCCTCTGCTTCTCTCCTCCAGACAGGACATCCTTCCAGTCGCTGATGGACTCCCAACCTGATGAGACACCAAGTTCCATTGGTACTACTACATCACTACTACATCACTACTACATCACCGCTGTCTCAGGGCTACAGCAGGTCTGCTCCATGTTTTAGTACTTCATGTTGTTGCAGAAGAACCCAACGTGACTCAGACAGACCTCCTTCCCGTTCCAGGATGTAGAGAAGATGAACGGTACGAAGGATCTCCTCCAGATGTGAGTCTGTGATCCCCTTCTGAGACATGTCCTCCACAGAGTCTGGGTAGATCACCTGGTCTCTGAGCGTCCCCTCTGACATGTAGGGCCTGTGGAGCGTGTACCTGGTCAGTACTATAGGGTACTACTACAGACTACACCGATGTACTACAGGTTACTATGGACTACATCAGTGTACTACAGGTTACTATGGACTATATCAGTGTACTACAGGTTACTATGGACTATATCAGTGTACTACAGTTTACTATGGACTACACCAATGTACTACAGGTTACTATGGACTATATCAGTGTACTACAGGTTACTATGGACTATATCAGTGTACTACAGGTTACTATGGACTACATCAGTGTACTACAGGTTACTATGGACTATATCAGTGTACTACAGGTTACTATGGACCACATCAGTGTACTACAGATTACTATGGACTATATCAGTGTACTACAGGTTACTATGGACTACATCAGTGTACTACAGGTTACTATGGACTATATCAGTGTACTACAGGTTACTATACAATACACTGGTGTAGTACAGTTTGCTGTGGAATACACCGGTGTACTAGAGATAGTACTTACTAAGTAGTACTTATAAAGAGGGTTGTGGCTCAGTAGGTAGAGCATTATATGTTCTGGACCAACAGCAGTACTGCAGTAAAAGTACCTCTGAGGGATGTAGAACATGTGATGTGGTTCTGGTCGGTACAGAACTCCTTCATAAACGGGCCACAGTCCACTCAGGATCCGGAACAGGGAGCTTTTCCCACAGCCGTTTGGACCGGTGATCAGCACGTGCATGCCGTCGTCCACCTGAGGAACAACAACGCAGGTTAGCAGGTTCTGGCGCTACGATCCAAGCAGAAGGTTCTGGACCGAATCTGAGGGTCCTAATGAAAGGAGTCAGGATGGAGCTGCAGAACCTCCTGGATTCCACCTGGACCTTCTGGACCAAACAGCTACTGCTCCGTGGAGAAACTGAGATTTGGATTCAAACACACAGAAGGCTGTCTACTCATGCCCCACTTCCATTGGCTCAGAGCAAAGTGATGTCATTTTTCAGATCACGTTGGGCTGTGTGTGTGTTTTTACCTGAATGCTGAGGCTGGACACCACCATGTCACCTGTGGGTGTGATGATCGGCAGATTGTCACAACGAATGCCCTTCTCCACACTGACCACCTGACCTGCAGAAAGAAGGACCAGTGGTTCTACTTCCTGTGTTTTGGATCTCCAGTCCTCAGAGGGAAACAGGAAGTGGCTGTGGCGCTTCTTAACCCTTTGTACTTGTACGTCCAATCAGAAGCTGACTAAGAGCCCCTCTGAGGAAACCTGACTAAGCACTCAGGACCGCTGGGCTGCACAAGGCAGCAAGCAGAAACCATTTCATTTCATATTTCCATCAGAGAAACCTGCCGCAAACACACACACACACACACACACACACACACACACATGCACGCTCAGTTGAACCGCTCGGTCAGAGGAGCGTAGAGAGAAACAGCAGCACACTAGAGGACTTTCTCTCCACCTCGTTCACTAGAAGACAAGGAGGACAGCTCTGAGCTGTATTGTTTCGTATCGCCGCGTGATTGGCCGAATCAGCTGGAGGCGTGGCCGAGACTCAGCTGAAGTCCATTGCAGCCGCCGAACATGGTACCGGCAACTTACTGGATACCTCTTAGCCGTCAGCTGATTCCAAATGAATGCGGTGCCGAGTTTTACCCTGAAGATGGTGCAAGAACGCCGGTTTTAAGTAGAATTTAACATCTAGGTAAGATGCACTAAAAGGACTAAACAACGACCACAGCAGGGTGAAAACCAGCTTCTAGTACTCACCTCTGATCTCCAGAGGACCACAGACTCTCTGCCCGTGTCGAACCGTTGCTCCTCCACCTCCTCCTCCTGCTGCCGGCTCCTCATCCCTCTCCACAGATCGACGATAGACGCCCTGGTTCACATCTTCAAATACGTCCAGCATCTCAGACACCCGGGAGGTGTAACCTGCTAGCTCAGTCACCTGCACAGGAAGGGTCACCTGAGGTCATCTAACTCCACAAGGAGACGAGTGTTAGAGAAAGAGGACGAATCGGGCAAAGGAGAAGGGAGAGCGTGTGGTCAACTCACCTCTTTGTAGGAGCTCATGATCCTCTCCACAGCATCAGCTGCGGCGTTCAGCAGGTTCCTGGCCGTGGTGAAGGCCTGCGTGCGCTCACTCACAAGCTCCTCCTCCTTCATCTCCATCGCTGCCTGCTTCACCTCCTCGGAGTCTGCACACATCACGGGTCAGAGGTTACACAGCTGTGTGCTGGAGCACCACATCTACTGCAACTGGCCTGGGAGTCCATTTACCGCTCTTAGAGTATCCTGTGGCAGTGATGATGGGCAAAGCGACCATCACCAGGCCAGAGGCACTCCACACGTACTTCATGAGGAACTGTTCTAGCATGATGTACCAGAGACGCTTCCGCAGGATCTGACGGATCTGGGAGGACAGGGCTGAGTAGCTCTTCTGTAGCTGAGCCAACTCCACCTGTAAATCACACACACACACACACACACATGCAGGAACAATAGAGACCGTGTCCTTTTGAGATTCAGATGACCCAGCAGAGTGTGCTCACCCTGTGTCCCCCGTAGAAGGCGATCTCCTCAGAGTTGGTGATTATCCGTGAGTGCATGTACCTCAAGTCTCCTTTCCTCTTAGCCTCCTCAGCCACCAGCGTCCCAAAGTGTGGCGAGCAGGAGCGGAGGACTTTAGCGGTGAGCACCACCACCAGGCCAGCAATGGCAGCAGGCCACGTGGTGTTGGCTCCTGCAGGAGGAGGAGGAGGCGGCAGGACAACATCAGACCATGTGAACATATCAAGTGTGTCACCTGACGCGGTGTGTACCTTTAGAGTGGGCGGTGCGCAGCAGCGTGTAGCAGGTGACTACCACATCCAGGATGGGTTTGGTCAGGTTGGAGTACAGGTGAGCAATGGAGGCTGAAAACACCACGATGTCCTCCGTCAGGGACTGATCGGGATTAGACAGACGTCCATCCATGTTGCTGACGCGGTAATAGGTCTGTTGAAACAAGCGGTTTTCCGTCAGCTGGTTTCAAGTTCTAAGTCTTCCCAGCCAATGGCGCCCCCGAGGGGTGGCCAGGGGTGGCCATGGCCACCCCTAGAAAATTGCTGGCCCCCCCAGCAAAAGGCAGTATTAATAAATCATATTAAGTCAAGTCAACTTTATTTATAAAGCACTTTACAACAGCATAAAAGCTGACTAAAGTGCTTAACAAGCCAAAAAGAACAGAAGTTCCCTAAAAATTCTAAAAACAAGATAAAAAGTTCATCACAAAGTAAAAACATGATAAAAACAAACATATCAACCTGACATAAAAGCCACTAAAAACAGATGCATTCTCAAACTGAATTAAAAGCAGCTGAGAACAGATGAGTCTTTAAAAGCGATTTAAAACCCGACAGTGACGAAACCATCCTAATCTGGATTGGGAGTGCATTCCACAACCTTGGAGCTGCTACTGAGAAAGCTCTATCACCCCGGAGCTTTCTCTTTGTTCTCGGCATCTCCAGGAGAAACTGGTCGGCTGACCTCAGTGACCGAGATGGGGAGCGAGCAACTAAAAGTTCACACAGATACTGCGGAGCAAGGCCGTGTACGGCTTTAAAAGCCAGTAAAAGAACCTTGTACTGGACCCTAAAATCCACAGGCAGCCGGTGCAGCCAAGCTAAACTTGGGGTGATGTGCTCCCTCTTTCTCGAACCCGTCAACAGGCGTGCTGCTGCATTTTGAACCATTTGAAGACGGGAGAGGTGAGACTGAGGAAGACCAAGGTACAGAGCGTTGCAATAGTCAAGGCGTGATGTAATAAACGCGTGAATCACCGTCTCCAAGTCATGACTTGAGAGCAGACGCTTGACCTTGGCGATCCTCCTTAACTGATAAAAACTGGCTTTGGTGACGGCACTGATTTGCTTTTCCAGAAGCAGATCGCTGTCAAGCCGGACTCCCAGACTGGTCGCTACAGGTTTCAAAAATAGGGCCAGTGGACCAAGGTCAGCAGAACGTGGCCCACTGGACACACTAGGACTAAAAAGCATGACCTCAGACTTGTCATTATTAAAATGTAAAAAATTTGCAGACATCCAGCTTTTAACCTCATCGAGGCAGTTTAGAAGAGGATCTAAGGAATTGGGTAGGCCACGTTTAATGAGAATATAAACCTGGGTGTCGTCTGCATACAGATGAAAAGAACATCCATGTTTCGTAAAAATAGAACCCAGAGGTAGCAAATTAATATTAATATTAATGTTCACTCAAAACATAAATCGATCTTATTTATTCAAGACAAAATTGTAAAACAAAATAATACAATTCATTAGTATAATCAGACTTAAAAATACACGTTTCTGCTGCTCACCATTTAAAACAGTTTTTATCTCCGTAGATTTTTGTGAACACAGCAACAGGTGAGTTAAACTGAAAAATTATTTTTAAAATAAAATTTTAAATAACTGAAATTTATTTTTCTGAATTGTTTGTGTTTGTAAAACTTAAGTAAAACGTTTTTGATACGTACTGTTTAAAAAAATACAAACAAATAAAGGAGCAAAGCAATACATCGCCACCAGCTGAACTCTCCCACAGTTACCACAAGGACCAGTTTGGTGTGCCACCCCGTCTGGCCACCCCTATCAACATTTTCTGGAGGCGCCCCTGTTCCCAGCACCAGTTCTCCCTGGTCTGCTACTGGAACGGTTGTGCTATAAAAACCCTGAGAGGAATCTTACCTCAGAGCTTTGACGGAGGGACAGGAGATGGACATATCAAACATTACAACATCCAGACCGTCTGGTGCACGAGGAGTTACCTGGTTGGTGAAGTACAGCTGGTAGGCGTGGTTGACCAATCGGCTCCTGAACCTGAGAGTCAGCTGGCCCTCCAAAAACCTGATGGCGCTGTTGATGAAGGTTGCGGGAACTGCGACGAGAAGCCACTTTGACAGCTGCAGCACAAAGGCACGCGGATCCTTCTGAACGATGCACCTGACTATTACACCTGAGACATCAAGTCACATATTCAGAACCGTGCAAGCAAAAACCCAGAAGAGCAAAGAATACAAAACCAGAATACACGCTGCTGCATCTGAGCGCCAAAGCCTCAGTTTATAAGATTTCAGTTCCAGGAACCATAAATCAGATCCCGAACAAACACTGGCCAAGTGCTGCGAACAATAAACAACAAATACGTGCAATTTTCATTGAATAACCCCTGCAAGCAAGAATGCGTTGATGCATGGGATGTTTACTGGAGACCGAACTGTCTCAAAGCGTGAGTCTCGTTTCCACTGAGTGGTTCGGTGGGTTGAGCTCTACTTTGTCTGCACGGTGAAATCGGACCAAACAACCGACCCCTGGCGACCTCGTTCCTGTGCCCTCTTCTGTTTTGGGTCCAGCAGACAAAGAAAAGTCCAGTTGGGGAAGAGCCAATGGCGACACGCAACACAGAATATTGATTGAAGGATAGAAAAATATCACTTTTTGCAACAAACACTGAGCATAAGCGTCTGAGTACTGTCAAGAGGCCAGACCCTAAGCTGTCAGCGATGGCCTAAGTTGGGCTGAGCTTGGTGAATTAGTGAGAAAGGTCAAAGTTTATACAGAGAATTCCAAACGCACATCAGAACAGTGTTGGGCGGAGCTTAGAAACGTTTAGAACAAGAACGGCTGCAGTGGATTCAGCTGAAGCGCTTGGTGGTGGTGCGACACCATAGATGCTGTTTATGGCTACAAGCCGCCAAACACATGCGATGGAGCAACGCTGGACTCAACACCGACTCAACCAAAGCTTGCACCCTAACAGCACCGATGCACGAGGAAGCCAAGACCTGAGCATGCATTTTCTTAAAGAGAAAGTCACCCCCTACCAGAGCCTTATGCCACCTTTACATCCTGTTATCCCTTGCCCTGCCTCCAACATGCCTCCATCTAAGAGGCTAGGTTATCCAGAGTTATCTCTGTAGTTATGCTGCTATAGGCTTAGACTGCTGGAGGACACACTGACCACTTTTCACACTCGACTACTTTCTTCTACAATCTGCTCTTTAACTGTATTATTTTCTGCTATTTCAGCTGTTAACTTTATTTTCTCTCTAAGTGTTTTTCTCCCCAGAAGAAGCTACAACGATGTTCTCCTGAGCTGTGGTGGCCTCATGGAGGGGGCCATCGACTAGCACACTGCTGCTAACCACTTAAACATTCTCCCTCTCCTGATAATAACTTTTTACTCTTTTTGACATTGGATGTGCTACTACTAGTTTACCCGTTTAATTATAGATCCACTAGGATAAATACAATAAAGTTTATCTCTCACCAAATAGAATATTTACTAAGAAATCACAATGTAACCATAGAAACATGACTTGGTATATATGTTGTGTGTGTGTGTGTGTGTGTGTGTGTGTGTGTGTGTGTGTGTGTGTGTGTGTGTGTGTGTGTGTGTGTGTGTGTGTGTGTGTGTGTGTGTGTGTGTGTGTGTGTGTGTGTGTGCTGTCTTCTCCATCCCCAGTGAGTCGTGGAGGATGGCTGCTTATACTGAGCCGGGATCCTCTGGAGGTTTCTTCCTGTTAAAAGGGAGTTTTCCTCTCCACTGTCGCTGCATGCTTGATTAGTATGAGGATTGCTGTAAAGACTCTGACACGAGTCAGTGACTCGATGCGACCTGCTGGGTTACTTATATAGGAAACTTTTTTCTGTTTGGCTGAATGAACTGACCCGTATTGGAATGTTTATTATGTGAAGGTCCTTGAGACGACTTTTGTCGTGATTTGGCGCTTTATAAATAAAATGTAATTGAAGTGAATTGAATTAGAAAAACGCAACACAAGGAGGCATCGCCTGGCGCATCGACTGAGAGCGTGGCGCTGAGCTGACAGCAGTGACAAACCAGTGGCCGAGACTGAGCTGCAGCACAGCCGCGTGCTGGGAACGTCACTGGGTACTTCTGAGCCATCAGCAACGGCTGATTTAAAATAAAAGTACTGCCAAGTTTTAACCTAAACAGGGCGCAATAATGACCTTTTTTTTAAAAGATGCACTAAAATGCTAGATTCATGACTACACGTCCATGGCACTATTAGATAACTCGTTTAAAGTTCATCAGCAAAAAAAGTTCATTAGGGAGCAACTTGCTCTTTAACTTTTTTAATTATATGTTTGTGTGGTTTTGATTTAGTATTGGACATCTTACTTTAAACTCTGTTTTTGTTGTTTTAATGTTGTTGCTGCTGAGTAGGACAACTTTTTTGGTAATTCTGGTTTTTCTGTATTTTGTTTTTGTAGGAAAACGGGAGTTGTGTGTTAGCACTAGCCAACGCTACATCTTGTACTATGCTGGACAGCAACGTTCCTGTCAAATAACGATCAGATCAAATCAATATTCTCATAGTTTTTTTTATTGTTGCCTGAACTTCACTATAGTGGTTTGCAGGCGTACGAAGACGGTTGCCTCTAGATTTATGTTAACAGGCGTCACGAATCGGAAATGTCACAACAGCTTTTGCCTGTCCTCAACGGCGTCCTTGGGCGGCCTGTTCCTGTTCTGGAAAGCCGCTGTAACCCGACGCCACTGCCCAGCCGGCAGCGCCTTACAGTGTTTTCAAAATAAAAGTTGTTCAATTAAACATGTTTTTGTGCATTTCCTCTAACGCCGTTCAAAATAAAATAAAATAAAATAAGCATTCAATTCATTTGAAATTATTAATAATGCAACTATCAAAACAAAAGGATGATTTGAAGAACCTTCCGTTTTACTTCTGCTTGAGCAGATTGTGAAACAAACGTTGGTTTGAAGTCGCTGGAATCTCGGCGTTCCATATAAACATTAGGTCGATAGAGGGGAAATTCCTTTTATCGTCCCTCAGCGAGGGAATTTGTTTAACGGCAATAAAAACTCACAAGTAGAATAAAAGTTAAACATTAAAAGAATTTTATGTTGTAAAAATCTAATTTACCACAACTTGGAAATGCTGTGTAACAATACTACAGCAGACTATTTACAGGTGGTGAGAACATGAATGGAAAACTGAATGAATAAATGCAAGTAGAACAACAATAGAAGCTGAAGAAGACAGAAGCAGCAGCTGTTGGACGCCAGCTTCCACAGCGGGGCGGCAAATCCGTCGTTCTGAGCGAGACGTAGCTTTGCACCAACAACCATTGGTGGCGTCGCTTCAAAACAGCCATCTAAAGGGAGAAACACACGAGTTATTATAAATGTCACCACGCAGCATAAAGTTTCTCATTTTAACGGGAATAAAGGAAGTTTCTGGTTGGATATTCAGCAGATGTTTGGTCTGGAGCCGCCAGCATCTCTGTTGTTCGACTGCTCACGTGGTTTAGGAGCCAGTGACGAATTTCCTGGAAAATCTGTTAATAATTAGGGATGCACAATATATCGGCATCGATATCGGTATTGGTCCGATAAGTAAAACCGTAACTGAAACAGTTTCAGAGGGTAAGGTTAGTAATTGTTTACACCAGTTCCCGTTTCCTGTTTATCAGGAACTGCTCTGGAGTGGTTCTCTTATCTCTCTGAGCGCTCCTTTTCTGTGGCCGTCTCCAAGTTTAGGTCCTCCACCACCTCCCTTACCCATGGTGTCCCACAAGGTTCTGTGCTGGGGCCTCTGTGCTTCCTCCTCTATCTGCTTCCTCTTCAGCACATCCTGAACTCCTTCAAAGGAATCTCCTACCATCTTTATGCAGATGACATCCAACTGTACATCTCCTTTAAGCCCCATGAGATGTCTAAGCTGCAGCTGTTACACACCTGCTTAGACTCTATCAAAACCTGGATGGTGGGAGCTTTCTTCAGCTGAATGAAGATAAGACTGAGATCCTCATCTGTGCCCCAGACAAGCTGGTTCCCAAAGTCAGAGACTCTCTTGGTCAGCTTGCTACTCACACCAAACCTTCTGTCAGGAATCTTGGTGTGACCTTTGACCCAGCTCTCACCCTGGATTCTCATGTCAGTTCTCTTGTTCGCTCTTCCTTCTTCCATCTCAGGAACGTTGCTAAGCTGAGTCCCATTCTGTCCCGCTCTGAACTTGAGACAGTTCTCCACACCTTCATCTCCTCATGCTTAGACTACTGTAACTCTCTTTTCACGTGTCTGAGCAGAACCTCCCTGAACCGTCTACAGGTGGTTCAGAACGCCTGTGCTCGGCTTCTGACCAAGTCCTCCAAACACACCCACATCACCCCGCTTCTCCTCCAGCTTCACTGGCTGCCAGTCAACTTCAGGGTTCATTTCAAGATCCTGGTTCTGGTCTATAGGGCCTTACATGGACAAGCACCATCTTACATTGGTGATCTTCTCAGTCCCTACACCCCCAGCAGGTCCCTGAGGTCCAGTGACCAAAGCCTACTGGTTGTGCAGCACCAGGCTAAAGGTCAAAGGTGACAGATCATCTGCTGCTGTGGCCCCCAGACTCTGGACCTCTCTCCCCCTGAGCCTGAGATCAGTGGACTCAGTGGTCTCCTTTAAAAAGCAGCTGAAGACTCACTTGTTCAAGCTGGCTTTTGTATGACCTTCTTCACCTCTCTCTCTTTATTCTGCTCTCCCCACCTATTCCACCTTCCTCAGGATCCACTGGTTTCCCTCTTTCCTGTTCACTCTCTCTCTCTCTTAACATTTTTAATCACAATTGTCTCTTTTTGCTCATTTTAAATATAATTTTAATCATTTTCTAAATTCTTTTTACATTTTTTGTTTTTGTGAAGCGCCTCGTGATTTTTGTCTTGAGGCGCAATAGAAATGATATTTTCTTCTTGATTAGTCCTGTGACAGTGATGGTAATCATCTCAGAAGCATACGTGTGTGTGGTGTGGTGTGTGTGGTGTGTGTGTGTGTATAATATATTGCAAATTCCACTTTATAGAAGTAAAGCAAAACATTCAAAAATTCAGCTTGCATAATTTCAGTGAATACAAAATTTGCTGATTTCAGAAGCATAAATCAGTATCAGCAAATATCGATTATCGGCCATAACAGTGATATTAATATCGGTATTGGCCCAAATAATTCATATCGGTGCATCACTATTAATTATCATCTTTATTTTTTTAGTCACTGGATATTATGATGCAGATTATAAAGGAAAAGTCACATTTTTCACCTTTTTTGAGGTTTTCTGTTTCAGGGGATGCTGGTTACTCATTAATGGTCCCAGAAGGAAAATCTGTATAACAGCCAACCTGAAACTGAGTTTCACCACGGCATGAAGTCACTCACCATCCGGTACCGCCGTCTTCATCTTAGCTGCACAAAGCTGAGCTTCCACTTCTGCCCTGAAGGTCCAAACCAAAAGATTTTGTCTTGAAGTTTTTCTCTTCGCCACACGAAGCCTGGTCTTGAGCGCTGTGGTAAGGTTTGTGTGGAGACGAAACCAAGACGCGGTCTGGACTCCATGTTGGGTCGTGGTCATCATCTCACTAGCATGACGCCGCGGTGCGATTTTACGCTTAACCCTGCCTGCGTAGGGAGAGTCCAACTCGCGGTGGAAACACTCTTCTGAACACGCCGGCCCATTTCGACCCACTCAGCGGATACGAAGCGCACCTGTGATGGACTGGGGACCTACACCGCCACTCGGTTTAATGGCCACAAACAGGCATGCTAGATAGTAAACAGAAATGTGACGGCAGGGATTAAGTTCAAAAGATCTAAACAAGTGCAGACCGTCCAGCGAAGCAACATAGATGGACAGGAAGGTCCGGGACATCAGGGTCACGGAGTGCAGGGCGAGCAGGCTGACCTCTGGACACAGTAACCGTGGAAACAGGAGCTTTAACAGGCGAGAAAGTCTTAGGATGAAATCCCTGTTGACAGCTGGAGATCTACGGACAAGTACACAGCACAGGTGAAGACATGGAGGAGTCAGGTGACCAGGTGTCACAGTCAGGTATCACAAGCTCACATGTTGACTTTCTTCTTTGGTTTCTTCTTTTCACCATCATCCAAGCAGCTGACCACTTCCTCAGGTGCCTCAGCTCCACCGCTCCGCCTACCTGCTGCACACCTCTGGAAAAACAAGCACGTCCATGTTTACCTGGATCTAGTCCCACCTGTAGCTACCTCCTCATATACAGACAATGCGTGCGAGCCGTCTCACCTGTAGTCCCTTCCAAACATACGGAGACAGTTTTTTAACAGCGTAGGCGGTGAGCAGAACGGCCGTCAGCTTCCTGAGTCTGGAGCTCCGCCTCAGCTGTGCCGACAGCTTCTCATGACTCAGATTCATGGCGGTGGACAACCAACAGTTTACCAGTCAGAACACAAGAACCGTTGTGTGTACTAACCACACCTGGAATGAGTTCTGGGGGCTGACTGTCAAGGAAACATGATGACATCACAGTCTGATGTTCCACCTGCACACAGGAGAGAGAGCGGTTTATTACTGACACTTTCAGTACCTTCCAGAATGAGCCGTTCCAGAGAAAACAAGCAGTTGCTGGCCACGCCCACCCATTGCCCAGTTTGGCTGCTATGAACCGGGGAGCTGGGAAGGACTCGTAACTGCTCCTCCACGCCAACGGGTGAATTCTAATTCAAAGATACTTTATTAATCCCAGAGGGAAATTCAGTTGTTTCAGTACACACAATTCCAAGATCAGACATACATACATAGACAAATGACAAGAACTGGTGACTGTGGTCATTCGCAACCCGAGTCGCGCTACTGTAATAGACCAAGAGAGTTTATGAGGATAGAGTCGGGGGGAGGGAAAAAGGCACTTCAGAGTTATCCCCCACAGAGAGGGCAGCTTTGCTATGCAAAAAAACACCTCAGACAGAAATGCACACAGACTTCAGACGATACACAACATAAGTGTCCACTAGGTGGGGAGGTAGGGTTGGGACTCTCCTCACTTCAGTGCGTGCAGCCACATGGAGCAGCGCTCATCACCTCCGTCTGGACAGGGGAGGTAGATAATGGGTTAGAGAGCACATCGACTCCCAGATACGGTTCCACGGCCTTCACCGGTCACAGTCCCGTCCAGGCTGGGATAGGGAGAAAGGGTTTCCATAGCGACGGCAGCATTCCTAATTTCTTCTGAGGGGGGAGTTTTCACTTCAGCCTCACAGGTTCCAAGGGCACCAGATTCAGATAACGGGAATTATTTTGGGTACAGACAGAGATCATTTCCCCTCTGCCTATAGAGTTCTGTTGGTCTTCAACCCCTCGAGGTCCAATAATGACGTTATCAAACTATTCCAATCTGTGCTGATCCGTCAACTCTCTCCTTGATGGAATCCACCTTCTGTGCCAGAGCCCGAATCTCAGCCAAAGTTCCAAGCTTACGACTCACCTCGACAATTATCTGCGTTTGTGAGTTTACAGCACGATGCATTCCATCCCTGAGCTCCGGGATTGAGCCAATATTCCTCGAAAGCTCGTTAATTTTCCGGTATGTAAGTTAACCGCTCAGGCCAAACAGCAGGAATCCCGACACCAACACCACGAATATCCAAACATCTTCAGCTTCCTCTACAGACAGTTGAGAGAGGCAGATCAAGTTCCACTGTTTCCAGGAGTCCATGATACACCCAGCTGGCTCTGTCCCAGAGGGGCACCCGGGGGCCCCTTCTCCAGGTCTCATCGTTGAAAAGATTTGTCAATCGCGTTGAGAGACCAACTAGGGGTGGGCAATATAAACGATATAAGGTAGAAACGATATAAAATTGGGTAATGATAAGAATTTTTGGTTATATCGCAATACCGCGATATCGCTATAACACATGATGTCACTAAGATGTGCACCCTGCTGACATTGGGGCAACAGAATGGCAGAGACTGCAAGCATGAAGTGGGCGGAGGAGGAGGAGGCCTTTATGCCTCAAGAGGCATATATTTGCCACATGAGGATATTTAAAAGCATGTCATTTTGACATATAAACAGAGGAAAAAATATATTGCAATATATATCGTTACCGCACATGCTTCAGATTATATCGCAATATAGATTTGAGGCCCTATCGCCCAGCCCCAAGACCAACTGACCAGATCCATGTTTCATAATTTCCAGTTTCCATAAAAAAATGCAGCGAAGCGCAGAGCACAGGCAGACAGGACAGAGAGCCTTGGGAGGAGCAGGGAGGGAGAGGAGAAAAAAGCGTCTGTACTCTCCAAGAGCCGGAGGAAGAAATGAGCTAATAAGCTAATTTTCATCATTGTGATGTCACAAACTGGGGCTTTATGAAACAGATCCTTTTTGGCGCATAATTCTAAAACAAACCAAACATTAGCAGAAAGCAGATGGACAGATGTTTTCCACATGTGGAGAGTTTATAGAGGCTGTATACACTCACACGGCAGCACAGACTACCCCCCCCCCCCCCCCCCCTCAAAGACCACATCCACTTGTTTAATCAGTACATCCACAGTCGTCTCTAGAAAGAATGAATGACTTGTGAGTCGATCTCTGGGGTAAAAGACTTGGATGCACTTGTTTCAGGACCTAGAGGTGAGCCACACCAGAGAAGAGCTTGACACGGCATTTCCTCATATGTGGACATCTCTCCTCTGATTGGCTAACACAGCAACACGACTCTACCAATGACTTTGTTTGCTCTCCAACGTTGATGTTTTATCTCCACAAATAACACAAGCCTGGAGGAGTTCAGCTGTTGCTAATGCTAACAGTTAGCTTCTACTAGCAGAGACGTTCTCTGCCGTTTCCTGGACTAAACCAACACCAGCCTTCCCCGTCGTGAGTCCGGATGGGTGAGTCCATGAATGTTAGTGACAGTGTGACGTAGATCTGTCAGGATTTTCTAATCCTAGAGTTTCACCGTCTGTTTTCCGTCAGAAGCTAAAGCAGGAGATAGGTGTAGGAGACTATTTTCATGTCCGGCCTGCATGAAACACTCAGAGTGACCCGTTAGAATCAGAAACAAGTAAAAATGGCTGGTGGGTGAACGTGTTTACTCCCTTTTCCTTTTATTTGAACTTTTGCTTGAAAACACAAACAGATGGAAGTCAGCTGTTCTTATTAAAACTCATCACACACACACACACACACACACACACACACACACACACACACACACACACACACACACACACACGTTCTGGCTGTTGCTTATTCAGCTCTGAAATTGAATGAGTGAAGCTTTAACACTTTAAATCTGATTTGAACCCAAACTAACCGAACCGGTCCGCGTCCAAGCGGGACCTACTAGACCTCTCTTTCACAGAACCGACTGGACCAAAGCGGCACTTCAGAGAAAACAGCTGATGAACAACAACAAAGCCATGGTCCGCTGGGGTCTGGCTGCCTGTCGGGCGGACGGAACCGTGTTCTCGGTCCGAACGGAACCGAACAGTGCTGGTCCAAGACGAACTCAGAGTACACTTCCGTTAGTTTCAGGCCGTGCTGTAAACACCAGCCGGTCCGGTAACACTTACCGAACTTTGCTGTAACTTTGGTCCGTCGGACCGGAACTCGGCTCCGGACACGGAGATGCTAACCTTAGCTAAACGCTAACAGGAACTTTCTTCTTCCTCTGATGTGAAGATGAGAAAAGTTCCGGTTTAATCGCGTCTTCCGTCCCGGAACCCACCTCCCTCAGTCTGACCCTTATCTCATCACCGGACCGATCCAGAGGTCGCTGGAAAGTTCTGTCCGTGTACCTGACGGACGGGCCGCATTCCAACTCTACGCGAAGCAATCTTCCCCGCTCAGTTGGCGGATTGTGTCATCACCTCTGTCTGATTCAACAAGTTAAGGATAGAATGTGCCTGTAAGGGTCAAGTCTGTGGGTCAGGGACGGGGTGGTGACGTAGGCGAACCTGAAAGAGCCAGGAAAATTCTGTCACACACACACACACACGCGCGCGCGTGTCAAATACATACACACACATATATTTGATCACACACTTCTCAGCACCATTCTAGGGACTTAAGGCGATCAGGTGATTTTCCTGTCAAAAGTCCAGGAGAACAAACTGAGGATTTGAGGTCCTCGTGACCCTCTGAGCTGAACAGAACCTCAGATCAGACCCAAACCGGAAGCAGCTGAAGCTCTAATTTTGAACGCTGCTGGCGCTTTAAGCTGACAGCAGGGTGCGCCGCTGGGACCATGAAGCAGCACCTAGAAAACCAACCCATTATGTCAGTTTTCAGAAGAAAAAAATAAAACACTGCCTGGCCAAAAAAATGTCTACCTGGATTTTACTAAGCAGGCAGGTAGGAGCCTCCCTTTGGATAATTGCTGCATGGGTTGCAACAAGTTATTCAACCCAACTGGTGCAATGAGCAGCTTCTCATTTCTTAAACAAGCATGTGAAAAGACACATCTGGTGGTCGCGGAGAAGATGTTATTCTGTGTGAGAAGGGTCAGATCTTTGGCATCAAGCAGAGAAAACATCTAAGGAGATGCAGAAACGACTAAAACTGGGTTCAGAACTGTCCAACATTATTAAAACTGGTCTGATGAGTCCAGATGGACCCTGTTCCACAGTGATGGTGCATCAGGGTAAGAAGAGAGGCAGATGAAGGGATCCACCCATCATGCCTAGTGCCTATTGTACAAGCCTGTGGTGGCAGTGCTATGATCTGGGTTTGCTGCAGTTGGTCAGGTCTAGGTTCAGCAACAGGAAGTGCTCCAAGAACGAGGTCAGCTGACTACCTGAATATCCTGAATGACCAGGTTGTTCCATTAACGGAGTCCAGAACTTAACCCCGTTGAGAATCTTTGGGATGTGCTGGAGAAGGCTTTGTGCCGCGGTCAGACTCCACCATCAGTGCAAGATCTTGGTGAAACATTAACGCAACACTGATGGAGATAAATCTGGTGACTTGGCAGAAGCTCATGGAAACAACGCCACAGCGAATGTGTGTGGTCATCAACGCTAAAGGCGGTCCAATAAAATGTTAGTGTGTGACCTTTTTTATGATGGCGACCTTTTTTTGGCCAGGCGAGAGAAATACCTGACTGCGTGTCCGTGTGGATGGCTCTTTTGTTTGCTCCAGGTGAATAACATCTGATTCTGGAACTTCCGGTCAGTTTGGGAGCAGTGATGGTCATGTGACCTGCTGATGACCTGGTGGTTTAAAGTGTTTATGGGTGCGTCATGGTTCAAGTTCCTGGTCAGACTCTCTCCACAAATCTGTGTGTGTGTGTGTGTGTGTGTGTGTGTGTGTGTGTGTGTGTGTGTGTGCGTGCGTGCGTGCGTGCGTGCGTGCGTGCGTGTGTGTGTGCGTGCGTGTGTTATATTGCAGTTGAGCAGTTAAGAAAACAGTGATAAGAAAACTTTATTAAAAATTTTCCAGCAGTGACACATTATACACACCAGAAAAAAACTACAACGCTGATGGTAAAATTGTCTAATTTACACAGTTTGCCTGAATGCAACGTTGTCAGCATCTGGGTGGGGGTGGTATTGGGGGGGGCAGTGATTTCAAAAGTACAGCGAGTTCAGTGATTAGAGGGTTGGTGGTTCGGCCCCAGCTCCACTTTAGAGCCATAGTGTCCTTGGGCAAAACGCCTCACCTGACTGTGAATGCTGGTTGGTGGTTTACCTGTACCGCAGTATGAATGGGTGAGGGAATGAATAATGAACTGCATGTGAAGCACTCTGGGTCCTTGAACAGCACTATAGAAACCTAATTCCTTCATATTATTGTTATTATTAATTCAGTATCCATCATGGTGCTTCACAAACGTCTGCGTCACCACGGCGCCACGCTGCATGTGGAGGAGACATCCCAAACCGTTTTAGATAAGTGAACGCATCTCGGCACAACACCCGCTCACTCCAAACAGAAAAGACCAAAACTTGTTCCAAACATCTCTGATCTGGGAAAAAACTTCAAACGCTTCTTGTACTTAAAGAGCAAGTCACCCCCAAATCATCTTTTTTCCTGATAAACTATATAAATGTGTGTCTAATCATGCTGCAGACACGTGTCGTCAATAGTTTTGCACTTTAGTGCATTTTAGTTAAAATTTAAATATTCTGCCTAAAACTGTCAGTGTTGTGCCGTTGTCAGGTAAAAACTCTGCACTGCATTTGAATTTAAATCTGCCATCGCTATTGGCTAAGAGGTACCCTAGAACGTTAGCTGGTACCATATGATGTCACAATGTCGTTGTGAGCCTGTGTGTGTGTGTGTATTTGTTAGCGGCTCCGCCCTCTCGGTCTGCCAGGCAACAGCATTTGTTGCCTTTTTCAAACAGGAAGTGGGAGTGGAGTAATACTCTGGTAGGGGGTGACTTGCTCTTTAAACATGACTGACTGAAACCATGGAAACGAGCTAGCATCAGCCTCTTTAGCTAACCAAACATCACGATTTACAGAAAACAGACGATTGTTATGAGTCATAAATAATGCTTATATCTGGTGCTTCATTATAAAGTTTGACTATTAGATTTCTTTTCACACCTGTATCACACCATGCCAGCAGGCCCACTGAGGTTCTGTTCTTTCCTTAGCCGGGCTTGGTTGACCCAAACTTCACCCCACTCAGTACCACTGATACTGCGGTATTATAGATCAGAACCACAGTGACTCTGCAGCATTTACCTGTTCAGGTGAGTGTGTGCAGTGCAATCTGGGAGTCTGTGATGCTCCAGTCACAGAGAGACAGGTATGTTCAACCATCTGTGCTGCAAGGGGCGGGGCTTGTTATGCAAATCAGAACAAATTAAATAACTTAGCAATCAACATGGAATGTTCACAATCGACAGATTCATCATAGCAGTTCTGGCAACGATCCTAGGATACTAACGAACAAATAAGAATGACACAGGTGTGTCAATAAAGGTGAGACAGGTGTGTCAGTAAGAGTGGGACAGGTGTGTCAGTGAGAGTGGGACAGGAGTCACAATAAGAATGAGACAGGTGTGTGAGTAAGGGTGAGACAGGTGTGTCAGTGAGAGTGGGACAGGTGTGTCAGTGAGAGTGGGACAGGAGTCACAATAAAGGTGAGACAGGTGTGTCAGTAAGAGTGGGACAGGTGTGTCAGTGAGAGTGGGACAGGAGTCACAATAAGAATGAGACAGGTGTGTGAGTAAGGGTGAGACAGGTGTGTCAGTGAGAGTGGGACAGGTGTGTCAGTGAGAGTGGGACAGGAGTCACAATAAAGGTGAGACAGGGGTGTGAGTAAGGGTGAGACAGGTGTACAGGTGTGCAAACATGGATCCTGGTCATTGATACTGAAGTCCAACATCAAAAATGATTTCGTTATAAACTTTTTACACCAGTTTTCTGGAGTTTGGTGCAAAATGAGGATCAAAGCAGCTGAAAAATTTCAAAATGATCCATCATCGTCTGTGACATCATCGTCTGTGACATCATCGTCTGTGACATCATCGTCTGATTGCCCCTTTGAACTCTATTATTGCTTCAGATTAGACCTGGGTTTAGATCTGAGCTCCGCTCACCCTGCAGGAGGCCCGAAGCTTCGTGTCTCGTTTCGTCTCAGATGGAACGGTTCTGCTGGAGAACACGTGTAGCATCGTGTTCTGTAAACATGAGGTTCTGCGTTTGACCCGTTTGAATCCTACAGCGAGGCAGGGAAATCGGACCTGCAGGGTGAACAGAGAGGATTTGTGAACCTGGACATTTAGACCCGAGTTTGGACCTGGATCTGGTCCAAAGGTTCGTTTTAGATGGACCTGCTGCTAAAGAACTGGGTCCAAACGCCTCGGTGCCGGTCCAGGTTCTGCTGGTTCCTTTTGCTTCAGGATAAACTGAGCTGGACTTTTAGTGCAGACATGTTGAGTCCATATGGCAAGACAACCTGCCTGGACTCACCTGAGACGTGAACAGGTGTCCTTACCTGACCTTCACAAGATGGCTGCAGTGAGCTGGTGATGTCAGCAAGAGGGGCGGGTCTGACTGAGCGAGGCATCGCCATCCACTGAGAGAGGAGAAGTCTGATTGTCTGAGCTTTAGTGCAGAAGCTATTCTGTTCCTCGTTCTCCTGCCAGCCAAGGTTCTACCAGAACTGGTTCTAGTGGAACCACTGAGAACACAGATGCTGTCTGGTGGTCCCGTTAGGTCCTGGCGTTGGATCTTGGCTAACACAAACACCTGATGTTGGCTTTTATTTTGTAAATAAACATCTGGAACATTCGGATCTTGGCCCGGTTCTGATTGGCTGGTGGGATTCATGTTGATCTGCTGATACCTGGAACGTTGTCGGAGAACCTCGGAGGTTCGTGGTGTGTGTCAGAACCATCAGGGTCCAACCCGGACCAACAGGTTTCTGTTGCAGGTAAGTTACCTGTGGGGTGGGGCGGGGCAGCTGATTACATCACAGTGAAATCATCATCACCTGAAAGTTATGGCAGAAACCCTCCTCCAGAACCAGAACCCGGGAGGCCAGCACGGGAACGGCCTGTGTCCTGATTGGTCGGTGAGTCAGACCAGAGTCCCAGGAGAGGGCTGGTTTACCTGTGTGTCTCTGAGGAGGACTTCCTGTTTCTGGGAGCGACACATGTCTTGGTAGAATGACTTCTCCACAGACCTGGAAAAGACAGAACCGGCATCAGGTCCAAACTTGCAGAACTATTTTCTGTTCCAGTTAAATGGATGTTTGTCCCTTTGGACTTCCCGTCTCAGCTGGAGAGGGTCGGATAGGATAGTTCCCGGTTTCAGGATCCCGAGGTTCTGAGGAGCACTGCATGGTTTAGCGTCAATCAGAACATTTACAACCCATTTGGATCTAATGGTTCTGATGCATTTACTGCATAAACCCTTTGATCTGTGACAAGAGGACAAGATGGAGAACCAGACTGCTGCACACCCACTGGCCACTTTATTAGGTATGAATGACCCACACTTGTATAGCGCCTCTCAGAGTAAGGACTCCAAAGCGCTTTACACTACAGTGTATCATTCATCCATTCATACACACATTCACACACTGGTGGTGATGAGCTACGATGTAGCCACAGCTGCCCTGGGGCGCACTGACAGAGGCGACCACCACCAGCAGGCAAGGTGGGTTAAGCGTCTTGCCCAAAGACACAACTGCAGAATTCTCTGTCCGGAGCCGGGATCGAACCTGCAACCTTCCGATTACTGGACAACCCGCTTAACCTGTTGAGCTACTGCTGCCCGTTAGGTACTTAATTTAGGTAGTTTATCAGCCAATCAAATGGCAGCATCAAAGTCACCTGGACCACCTGCTGAAGTTCAAACTGAGCATCAGCTCAGAGAAGAATAGAGATATGAAAGGGACTTTAAGTAAAGTTAAATAAAGCAGAGTTTTGGTATCAGACTGGTCTGATCTACTGGGATTTGAACCAACAACCATCTCTAAGGGGCTAAGAGACTGGTCAGACTACTTCTACATGATAGAAACTCAACTGGTTCCCACTAAGGTCTGGAGGAGTGGGAGATTTCCACCACGATGATGTCATTTCACCTGCTTGGACCCATGACACCAAGAATTAAGGTGGTTCTGAAGGCAGATGGAGGTCCAACTGGGTACTAGCAAGGATGAGCCAGATGAGTCCTACCTGCTGTGCAGCAGGTGTCCGTGGAACGTCGCAGAATGTGGCAGCGTCTTTTTGGGATGTGGCGACGCGTACTGATGACTTGACTCTCTCTGATTGGCCGAAATGCTGTGAGATGTGAGACTTCGCTGCAAAGCTTCACCTCCTTCGGTCTGACCTTTGACCCCAGCGGTCACCTTAGTGCTGGCCCCGGTGGCTACTTTTCCATTGGTCTGGTGGGAAGAACCCAAGGTGTTCCTCAGGTACCAGTCCCTCAGACCTGTGGACCACAGGTGAGACCCTGAGTCAGTTCCACCTGACAACCACATGATGCATGAATCACATTAGCATGTAGAAACCCCTTTTAACCTGGACCAGGTGTTTCTAGCTCCCTCCCTCTGGTCCTCACCACTAGAACCAGTTTCTGCTGTGCCGCCGTTCTTTTACACACCAGTAGAACAATCTGGAAGTGGCGTTTAAGCAGCAAAGAACCCTTTAGACAGCCTCACCAGACTTTTGAGCTGCATCTGTCGTCAGGGTTTTTCCCAACATGCTAACTCCAGACATGCATGTGAGGCGGTCTCCTCAGAACCCAACGAAGAACGTTAAATCTATAAAGTTGGGTTCTGTCTCTAAACAGGTTCTATGTGCTAGGAAGAAACGGTTCTGCTGGATGAAGCTAGAAAGGTTAGCAGAGCCAGATGTTTGCTGAGCACACCGAACTCTAAAGACCTGAAGAGGTGATGACCTGATACCTTTGAGCCTGAGGACCTGGGGGCCTCAGTGGTTTAAAACCCAGTCGGACCTGGACCTGGCCAGACTGGAACAGCTGCTCACCTTCAAGGGCCAATGCCTTGTGGAGGCTCCTGGTGGCCTCTTCCAACTGGGAGTCCTGGTGGGGGGGCAGCTGTGAGGGTTGGGGGGGCAGCAGGTGAGGGTGGGGGTCGGGCTGGATGGTGTCTGGAGCTGGATGGTGGGAGTTAGCCTGGCTCTTCTGTACCGGTAGGAACAGGCCGCAGGACTTGGCTGTGGTGACTCTGCATTGGTTGACATGGTGACTTTGGTAAGTGGGCGGGGCTCCGGGAGGTTGCCTGGTGGAGCAGCTGTTGTAGGGCAGCTGATGTGATGTGATTAGCTGCTTGTTAGGCTGGGACTGCTGGCGCTGCCACTGTTTCCCCCAGACATAGTCCAACAGAATCTCACTATACCCTCCTCCTCTTCCTCCTCCTGCCTGGCCCCCGCTACCCACACGGCCTCCCCCCTCAGGCACTTTGTTATTCCTCCTTGTCCATCTGTCCGTCAGTGTTTCTGGGCTCCAGAACGTTCTGGTGGAACCCTGTTCCTGGGAACCTGCCTCCCTCTGGACTCCACCTCCATCTTCTAGAGGGGGGTTGCTAATCAGTTGATCTTCTGAACTGGTACCCCCCTCCCCCCCAGCTTCAGCTTCACAGGGGCTGGATAAGGAGGAGCAGGAGTTGTTAGAGTGAGGGGGAGGAGGGGGAGGATGGGAGGGAGGCTGAGGAAACTTCTGTGTCTGAAGTGTTTCACAATTTCTGCTTCTGAAGGGGAAGAACAGAAGATCAAGTTTACTTGCAAATACTACTAGAATCAAATGTGCCAGCTCTTATTGGCTGTGCTGGTTTCCCTTATTGTGACATCACAATCGGAGACTTTTTGAAACGATTCATTTTAGGCAAATAGTTCCTGAAACCAAACACTTGACAGAAAACGGCTGGACCATATTCTTTCACATTTTGAGTGTTTACAGAGGTAGCACACACACACGCACACACACACACACACACACACACACACACACACACACACACACACACAACTGTGGGATGAGAACCTACATACCTGATGTGAACTGACTTCTTCCAGGTTTTGTTCTGGTTGAAGACCGGAGATCCAGCAGAGACCAGCGGAGGGCGACACTGAGATGCGTTGTCATCTAAAGCAGGAACGTCACACGATCACACACCTGGTAGTTCTTCTCAGTCATTAGTTAGCCTAACTAAAGAGAGAACCAACAGCTAGTTCTGTTTATGACTGACCCCCAGACTCTGGTTCTCTCTCCCCCTGAGCCTGAGATCAGTGGACTCAGTGGTCTCCTTTAAAAAGCAGCTGAAAACTCACCTGTTCAGGCTGGTTTTGGTGTGAACTTCATCACCCTCTCCTTGTTCTGCTCTCCCCACCTATTCCACCTTCCTCAGGATCCACTGATTTCCCTCTTTCCTGTTCACTCTCTCTCTTTCTTTACATTTTTTATCACAATCGTCTATTTTTTGCTAATTTTAAATATATTATCAATCATTTCTAAATTCTTTTTTATATTTTTACATTTTTTGTTTTTGCGAAGCGCCTTGTGATTTTTATCTTGAGAGGCGCTATAGAAAAGATCTTTTCTTCTTCTTCTGACTGGATCATCATAAATCCTCCCGTTCTGTCGAGCGTCGCCGAACATCACAAAGCTAAGGAAAACATGATTATTTGAGTATTTGTGTTACCGTTGTCATGTCCTGTCGAGTCTGACGTAGAGCTGCTCTCTGACTGCACCGTGTCATCTGGAAAAATCAAACGGGCGGTAAAACACTCTCCTACAATGCCGTGTGTGTGTGTGTGTGTGTGTGTGTGTGTGTGTGTGTGTGTGTGTGTGTGTGTGTGTGTGTGTGTGTGTGTGTGTGTGTGTGTGTGTGTGTGTGTGTGTGTGTGTGTGTGTGTTACCTGTGTGGCAGCCTCTGTGCACGGTCCTCTTGTTGTGGTGCGTGTGTGTGTGGCTGTGTGAGACGTGTTCAGAGCAGTTGTATTTCCTCAAAGCGCAGCTGAATAAAGTTTTCTTTGGTTTGGAACGCTGAGACTCGTCCACCTGCACCAAACCACAACACTCGGTCTCAATATGGTCCTGAAAGCTTCTGGATTTAGACATGCAGGTAGGTCATTCACATGGCAACTAACCTCCGCTCGACACTTCCTGGTTCCCTGGTTGGAAGTCCCGCCTCGTCTCCGAATGCAAGGGGGCTTCTCCCCCACCTCTAGGGGGAAGTCGCTGGGCACTGCACCCGTCAGCTCCTGTCCAATGAAAAGACACGTGACATTAAGTTACACGACGCTTACCCACCTCACCCACCAATCACATTCCATCTGTTGTAATGACATCACTCACCGCTTCCTGCAGACAGATGTGTCTCAGCTCAGCTATTCGTTTGCTAAGCAGGGCCTGCAGGCTCCGCCTCCTCTGCTGCAGCTCCAGCATCCGCTCCTTCTGCTTCCTGCCAGGGCAGAGTGGCTCTGAGCACACAGGTGACACGAGTGAAACACAGGTAACATCAGTAATTCCTGACCAGGTGTGTCATCCGGCAGTTTGCTCTCACCGGGTGCTGAGATGATTTGACCTTTGACCTCCATGATGTGGGCTTTCCATGTGACCCCACCTCCGTCTTTCTTGCTGCTCGACACCTGCCAACCTCCCCAAGCTCTCGTTCACCTGCAGCAGCATTAATACAGTTTACCACATAGACCCACAAAACAGATCCACTGCTCTGAACATCTTCTCACCTGGTGACCGACTTCATAAGACCTTCAGATGTGACCCGTGGCCATCAGACAGTCTAATGACATCCCCCAGGTAAGAGACTTGGACTGCTCAGGTGGAGGCGGAGGATGCTGGAGTTCCGGTTCGGGCCTGCGGAGGGAGTGATGGTTTTCTCCTGAATGATGGCAGAAGACAGGTGAGCGTGAATCGCTGAGGCCAGGTGTTCTGGGTTTCAGTTACTGGGGCTAAGCAGGAGGTTTACTGGACGCTTCGGGCTAATGGTTTTAGAGGAGGAGGCGTTCTGACAGCAGGAACCGAGGAACACGTGAGCGCCTCCTGCTGGTCAGGCCAGGTCAGACACACGGGCATCAGGCTGCTCCAGCTGCAGCTGGAGGCCGGTGTGGAAAAGCAACAATGACAAAGATTTCCCTTTCATGTGGTTGTTCTCATGTTGCCTGTTACCATGGCAACAGACTGGATTCTAGATCACCATGGTAACAGACAAAACGCTGGGTTCAACGGGTTCTAGTTTTAAGCACCGAGATACTCGGTTCTTTTGATCACATCCAAGTTTCTGTTAAAGCAGGTTGTTGGTTCCGTCAGAACCAGCGGGGACAGTCCGTCAGCCATTGTGCCCTTGGGCAAGAAACGTACCTCCCTGCCGGTGGTGGTCAGAGGGGGCAGCTGTGGCTACGACGTAGCTCATCACCACCGGTGTGAGAGTGGTTGACCGGGAAGCACTTTGGAGTCGTCTGATTTAGATCAGCAGTATTCAAATGGACAGGAAGTGCCTGCAGGTTCTGAGGTTCACCTCGCTGAGACCAAAGTTCTGATTCAAACTACAACTCAGAGCCTCAGTTTAAACTAAATCACCCAGCTTCATATTAAACGTTTAGAGCTAGACCCATCAGAACCAAACAGAACCAGAACTCATCCCTGTACCAAGCAGCAGCACAAACATCTGCAGAACTTTCTACACGAGTTCATCTTCAGATTTTACTGCTTCAGACAATCAGCCCGTTACACCAGCAGCAGGGAATTCTGGGAGTCGGAGTTTTATTCATCAGGGACTCCACCCAACATAGACACAGAATCTGGTTCTGACCCAAACCGCCATCAGTACACATACATACAAACACTCTGGGGTGAAAGGTTATTGGCTGACTGGCTCCGGCTCTCAGCCAATCAGAGAGGAGCTGACAGTGGTTGCTGTGCAGAGAATCCATCTGACCTACATTCAGCTTTGAGGCAACGTGCGCACACACACACACACACACACACACACACACACACACACACACACACACACACTGGGCGTTTGGCTCTGAGGCACTGCGGCAGAAGGAGAATCCATCACCTGGGTTTGTGGGACTCTGGGAGGACCTGACCGGTACTCTGCAGCAGCTGGGCCTCGGGGTTCTGACTGAGGCCCAGCAGCACCTTTGGTTCTGATCTTTGCATTTGTTGGCTTTACTTTTCTGATTAAAAAGCAGAATTGGACCCGTTTGAATCTTCTGACCGGTACCAACTCAGCCCGGGTCCGGTCATGTGTTTCTGCGTCTGATGACATGTAGGGGCCCAGTTCTGTTCATGCCACTGGTTGGGTCAGAATCTTTTTTGGACTCATTTGGTTCTGGCATTATTCAGGTTCTGTTCAACCCAAACAGAACTGTGTTTAATTAAAGATCCATCGGCAGCTGAAACTGAACCATCCCAGAACCCAGATCCTGAACCTGTTGAGTCTATGATCTTCATTCAGAACCAACAAAGATCTGTTCTAATGGAGCAGAAGCTGATCAGAACCAGTCCTTCAGAGGGCCCGGGTCCACTTTAGGTTTCTTGAGTGAACTCTGACCTCATGGTTGTGACCCAGCTCTAGAACCAGGAGTCTGCTCCACGCTGATGCACTGGGTCAGAACCGGTCCTCGATTCATCTCCAGTTTGTTTGTTTTCACCTTCGAACAGGAAACCTTTAGAGCTCAGTCACGTGACCATTTATCTGCTCTCTGATTGGCTGGAACGGCATCAGCGTGAAGTTTTGTTGTTTGGATGTTTTTTGTTTGTTTGCAGGAATCAGCTGACTTCACATGTCAACATAAAGGAACGCTCCAGCTGGGGTCACGTGACCTGTTGTGCCTCACACACCTCACGAGACTATAAACTCCCGCCACTAATCAATGTTCCTGAACCTGCAGCGAACTTGTCACGTGTCACCCGGTTCTGTTTACCAGCAGCAGCCAAACACTAGATCCAAACGAGCCGAACCCGAACCCCCCTCCCCAGAGTAAACAGCTGGACTTCAGTTGTTTCAGCTCGGTTCGAAAAAAGAGCCGAACCGAACCTGGTTTAACAACACGGCGCACGCGCTGCTGCACGCGCCCCGCCAATTCTCATAAATGAGCGGAGTGGGTCGCGCATCCCTACCTGGATTACCTGGGCAGTCACGTGGTTTTCGTTCCGGTTCCGAACCCTGTCCGCTGGTCTGATCGATCATGTGGGATCATTGATCTGATCGCTCCTCTTCATCCTCCACCTCCTCCTCTTCAGCCGCGCTGCAGCATCAGCACCACAGGCGCGCTCACGACCACGGACACGCACACGCCTCGCCCATTGCGCGCGCACGAGACACAGCAGTTGCTCAGCGGCTGTTAGAGCATCCTGTTCAGGTGAAGTTCACCTGAGCAAGGAGCAGGGGGGGTCACAGGGTCTGACCTTTGACCTCCCAGCTGACCAGCGGTTCTGGAAGTCCAGTAACTGGTGATTACTGGTTTGTTTGTGGTGAGGACCTACACCCACAGGGGGCGCCATCCTCCCACAGGTGGAGGGGAGGAACATGAACAAACATAAAGAAGTCAGTTTTATTCTAATGTCTGCATACAGTCATTTACAAACGGGCTCATTCAGCAGCGAACTTCCTGAATCCTGAAGCTAAACAGCCAATCACGTTTGGTTGCTAGGGAGAAATAATGAAAAAAATGTGGCCAATCATCATCAATCAAGCTGGAACATCAACAAACCTGTTATTTATTTATTAATCATTATGGAATTGTAGTGATTCTCTGACTGGAAGCTTTTTCTGGTCCTGGAAGGGAATTCTGCTGGAACGTCGACCCCGAGACGCCCTCCTGCTGGAGAACGGCTGGTGTTTATTTCACGGAGGAAGAAAAAGGAATAACGTACTCGTCCATGATGGGACGGTTCTGGAGACGATCCGGAGCGAAAACGGGAGGCTGGAGTTGTTTCCACGCGCTCATGAAACCTGGTTTGGGGACATCTGTCATGTAGTCCATCAGAGGAGACGGGAGGGGACAGCCGTCCCTGTCAGGGAGACATTTGGGACTCGGCCGCCTGTCCAGAATGTGGTCGGCACACCAGAACTCATCGGTTCTGATGTGATGAAACCGGATCCATTCACAGCCTAAAATGTTTGGTGTTTTACAAGAAGGATTCGGAAATGCTTGTCTGTTGAATTTGTGAAACGATCACGAATAAATAAACGTTTGAGTCAAGAAGGCAGCAGAACTCGGTCCGGTCCGGTCCGGTTAGTGTGGTCCTGAGAAGAACTCCCTCTTAATTTGGGGTTCCGTGGTTCTGTCCTGGAGATAATCCAGCTCGTCGCTTTCTTCTGGTCCTCTGAGCTCCTCAGAACGAGTCCCTCCACCTGACCGAACACAGAACCAGAACCAAACATCAGTCTGGAAACAACACCTCGGGAATCAGGACCAAACCGGAAAAACGAGGAACTCCGTTTGGACTGAGACCTGGAACTGTGAGTTCTACGTACAGAAGCCAGGTAATGACTGCAGCTCGGGGGTTCTGGTCCGGTCCAGCTCATTCTGGGGCGCCTGACTGGGACACAAACACACTGAACAGAACACCAACAGGGTTACAGGTCCGAACCGCTAACACCAGAACAACCTTTGGTCTGGTTCTGGTCCGGATGCTGACACACCTGAGGGTTGAGGTGAGGCCGACTGGAGGGAACCTGCAGGAGAGAACCCAGAGAGTTCTGTCGCCACGGCGCCGGGCCCGGAAATGCTGCTGGACTGGGAAGGGAAGTTGTACTGATCCTCGGTGGGAACCGAAGGCTGGTGGCACTGGTGTTCTGGAGGCCGCCGTACACTGTGGTCCTGGGAGCCGGAGCTGGTCTGAGACCGGAGTTCATACTGGGAGCATCCTCGGCTCTCGTCTGTTTCACACGGGCCGGCCAAGGAGGTGGAGGGGAGGGGAAGGGAGGAGGAGAGGAGGCGGTTGGGAGGGGTGAGAGCGGCGTAGGAGTCGCAGGGTTCCACACTGGGGTCCAGAGAGCTGGGGGGTGTGGGGAAGGACCGGTAGGGGTTCTGGGCCTTCTTCACGCCGTTGTTGAGACCGTGAAGTTTGTCAAACACCTGAAAGAAAAAAACTCATCAGTGAGAGACAGCAGGACACCTTCGTAGGGCAGACAGAGGACCGGACCGAAGACAGGTGGACATTCTCCTCTTCTCTCCAGACGTAGAACAGCCCCCGTGTCAACAGTTTGTCCACGTTCCACACCGCAGCTGGACCTGGTTAAGCGTGGCTTCTGACCCCACAGCGCCCTCCTTGGGTCAAAGGTCACAGATTTTAGGGCTCAACAGTTTCCACAGACGGTAAGAGGAGAACTACGTTTTGATGTGCAACTCCTGCACAGGCTCCTAAAGATGTGCGAGACCATTTTGTAAAGGTGAGACACGCATGTGATCTGGAGGGGAAGCAGGAGAAACCCCAATGTTCCTACGGCCACATTCAGGAATTCTGTATCCAAAGGCTGGGAATTTTCTCCTTGGATCACCTGAAAAGCTTCGATTGGCCCTTTTAGCGAGGTATTCCTTTACGACTCCAGTGGGTGGGGTTGTGGGAGGCACCACCCAGGAGACTATGGTCTGAGTCGAAAAAGGGTAGAAGGCCTTCTCCTGGTCAGGAATGAGGTCCTGTTCACGTGCCAGGGAAAGATGGATCGGGAGATGGTGCTGCGTCTGCAGTAGGGATGCAGCGTATGTCTGCATCGGCATCGGTCCGGTAAGTAAAGCTGGGCTGATATCTGCTTCAGAGGGCGAGGGGGTGATGATGTTTCGTTGTTTGGTCATGTGACAGTGATGCTGGATGGTTTATGGCTTTTTCCCAGACTCAACCACGAAATGGCAGCAGGCAGAGACCCCGCCACCCGACCTCGGATAAGCGGCCGATGATGGATGGATGGCTCGGCAGGAAGGACGGAGGAAAACTTTCGACCCGTGACTCCGCCCTAGAGCCAAGCAGTGATGCGGCTGTTCTGGCCCTGCTCGGTACGCTTGGAACCGCTTGGAAGCTGGAGCTAAAAAGGGGACAGCAACCTGGAACCTGTTACTAATGCACCGGAACAAGAACCTAGACCCGGATCAGAGACGTGCAGAAGAAGTAAACCCTGACCTCCTTCATCGCTGGCCTCTTCTTCCTCTGCCTGTGGAGGCTTCTGCAGGCGAGTGCTGCCACCTGCAGGTATCCATCAGGCTCTGCAGCTCCTCCTGCAAACAGAAGCATCATGGATCTGGTTAACGCAGCAGAACAGTCAAGTTCTGAAGGAGTCTGGATCATATCCAAGGCCATGGTTCTGGTATGGGGGGTGGGTCACCTCCTCTGGGTCGAGGTTCACTAGTGAGGGAAGTGAGCAGCAGGAGATCTAGAGGATTATCAAGGCTCGCGCTCTGTGGTGAAGATGGAGCCCCCGCTGACAGATCGACTCTCTTTTGAAGATTTTATGACTTATTTATTCATTTATTGGTGATTTTTTTAACTAATCAATGATTTACTGACTGACGTGACGACTTGACTGATTTCTGTGAGGATGTGAAGACTGAACCAGAAAACAAGCTGCAGCTTTTTTCACACACCTGCAACCAGTCGCCGGTCCAGATGTTTTCTCCACGCCTCTGCAGACGAGCCGTCTGGATGGTCCTCCACCTCCTCCACCAGGTCTTTCTGGGAACCAGAACCAGAACCCAACACACAGTGATATTTCAAAGCTCCTTCAGAAATAACTCGTTAAAATGTTTTATTTAGTGTTGTCGTCTGCAGACCACTGGAGACCCAGCTGCTAATTATTTCACGTGAGACCAGAATCAAACACATGAGGGTGCGTGTGCTCTGACCAGGAACTTCTCTCCGTACGTCCGGTCCTGCTCTGAAGCTGGACGCCCAGTCAGGACCTCCAGCAGCACCTGAAACACAAGGTGAACTCCTGAGGTCAGAAGGTCAACCGCGCTGTGCTTCCTGAAGGAATTTCTTTTTAGAATGGAGCCGTTACTTGATAGGATTCACCAGACTTTGTCTCACTACATTTCCCATCAGGCCCTGAGATGCCTCACCACTCCAAAGCTGTAGACGTCCACGGCGGTGCAAAGTTCTCCTTTCCTCACGTACTCGTCTGGAAGGTACGCCAGCGTTCCTCTCACTGTGGCAGTCTTACCCACCGAGGCCGTCTGGGTGACGGAGCAGCCAGACGGCGGGCGTGGAACGCAGCGGGCCAGACCGAAGTCCGAAAGCTTCGCCACCAGGTGTCTGTCCAGCAGAATGTTGGAACTGCAGAAGTTCAGAAGGACAAACGAGGTCAGGTAAACACAGGTGGAGAGGAGGCAGGTGTGTGTGTGTGTGTGTGTGTGTGTGTGTGTGTGTGTGTGTGTGTGTGTGTGTGTGTGTGTGTGTGTGTGTGTGTGTGTGTGTGTGTGGGGATGACCTCTTGACATCACCGTGGATCAATGGTTCTTGACCTGCGGGGGGGGAGTGTAAAAACTGAAGAGCTGACGCTGCTCCTTCAGCGATACTGACTCTCTGAGGCCACGAGAGGAAGTTATGTCCCTGAAACGCACAAACACACACACCTGAAACACACAATACACACCTGAAACACACACACCTGAAACACACACACCTGAAACACACACACCTGAAACACACACACCTGAAACACACACACCTGAAACACACACACCTGAAACACACACACCTGAAACACACACACCTGAAACACACAACAACACACACCTGAAACTCACAATACACACCTGAAACACACACACCTGAAACACACAACACACACCTGAAACACACACACCTGAAACACACAACACACACCTGAAACACACACACCTGAAACACACAACACACACCTGAAACACACACACCTGAAACACACACACCTGAAACACACACGGCTGAAACACACACACCTGAAACACACAACACACACCTGAAACACACAACACACACCTGAAACACACACACCTGAAACACACACACCTGAAACACACACGGCTGAAACACACACACCTGAAACACACAACACACACCTGAAACACACACACCTGAAACACACAACACACACCTGAAACACACACACCTGAAACACACAACACACACCTGAAACACACACACCTGAAACACACACACCTGAAACACACAACAACACACACCTGAAACACACACACCTGAAACACACAACACACACCTGAAACACACACACCTGAAACACACAACAACACACACCTGAAACACACACACCTGAAACACACAACAACACACACCTGAAACACACACACCTGAAACACACAACACACACCTGAAACACACACACCTGACACGCACAAACACACACACCTGAAACTCACAACACACACACTTGAAACACACAACAACACACACCTGAAATGCACAAACACACACACCTGAAACACACAACAACACACACCTGAAACACACACACCTGAAATGCACAAACACACACACCTGAAACACACAACAACACACACCTGAAACACACACACCTGAAACACACACACCTGAAACACACAACACACACCTGAAACACACACACCTGAAACACACACACCTGACACGCACAAACACACACACCTGAAACTCACAACACACACACTTGAAACACACAACAACACACACCTGAAATGCACAAACACACACACCTGAAACACACAACAACACACACCTGAAACACACACACCTGAAATGCACAAACACACACACCTGAAACACACAACAACACACACCTGAAACACACACACCTGAAATGCACAAACACACACACCTGAAACACACAACAACACACACCTGAAACACACAACAACACACACCTGAAACACACACACCTGAAACGCACAAACACACACACCTGAAACACACAACAACACACACCTGAAACACACAACAACACACACCTGAAACACACAACAACACACACCTGAAACACACAACAACACACACCTGAAACACACAACAACACACACCTGAAACACACACACCTGAAATGCACAAACACACACACCTGAAACACACAACAACACACACCTGAAACACACAACAACACACACCTGAAACACACACACCTGAAACGCACAAACACACACACCTGAAACACACAACAACACACACCTGAAACACACAACAACACACACCTGAAACGCACAAACACACACACCTGAAACACACAACAACACACACCTGAAACACACACACCTGAAACGCACAAACACACACACCTGAAATGCACAAACACACACACCTGAAACACACAACAACACACACCTGAAACACACAACAACACACACCTGAAACACACACACCTGAAATGCACAAACACACACACCTGAAACACACAACAACACACACCTGAAACACACAACAACACACACCTGAAACACACAACAACACACACCTGAAACACACACACCTGAAACACACAACACACACCTGAAACACACAACACACACCTGAAACACACAACACACACCTGAAACACACACACCTGAAACACACACACCTGAAACACACTAAACTTGTTTTGTGTTACGTCGCATTTTTAAACGTTACAAATGCGACTAAAAATGAGAATGTTTTGTAAAATAAAAATTTTGTCACTCGTGACAGAAAGTGAAACACAAGTAGCTCCGCCCCCAGACACAGCATGGAATATCTCAGCCTTTACTCCTGTAATCCTGGATTAGGATTAGATCTGATGTAAGTTTCTGATCTGCAGCCAGAATCCTGACAAGCTAAGGAGATGGAGCTGTAGGACATTCCCTTTCTGAGATGAGCGACACAAAATGTGGAGCTTTTTCCTGAGTTTCTAACTTTGGCATGAACCTGCAGACGGCGTTACCTTGTGCAGCTGATCCTCCAGGGCTCGGTTCTCCATGAAGCTGTAGATCAGGCACATGGATCCTCCTCCTTCACTGAAGCCCAACAGATCGATGATGTTCGGATGTCTGAACCTGAAACCAACACACACACACACACACACACGTTCCTGAGTTGCTGCCTCACTCTGAAGGTGTTCCACGAGGACACTCACGCACTTTGACAGTTTCTCCACTTCAGTCTGGAAGCTTCTCCTCAGCTGGGATGAGTCCATCATGCAGACCTGGAGGCAACACCCAGTAGGTCCACATGCAGTGAGAGAAATCTGAATTATTACCGAACTCTAGGGATGTAAGAAAATACCGATATGGCAATATATCGTGATATTTTTTCCAGCAATATTATATCGATAATCAAAAGCCGTGTATCGGAAATACCGATATGGCAATATATCGTGATTTTTTTCTCTGTAATTATTACATTGATATTCAAAAGCCGTGTATCTAATTCTTGAAAGAATTTACATGCAAACATTTGTGTATTTTCTTTTCGTTTTGTGCAATTCAATCGCCACCCGCTAGTTGGCGGCAGTGTGCAACGAGTTTTGTTTCCACCATTGAAATGTAAATCCCTCCCTCACGGTTCAGAAACCTCATATTAAACATGATACGTATCAGTTTGGACTGTTTACTAAACATTCTTACAATAAATTCAGTAAAATAAATAGTTTGTAACGTCTGCCTGAATGTATCGCAATATATCGTTACATATCGTATCGTCTCCCCTGTATCGTAATGTGTATCTTATCGCCAGAATTTCAAAAATACACATCCCTGCCGAACTCTGATTAAAGTTAGGCCTTTGAAATGCAACAAAAGTACAGCTGGGGTTCCCGGATATTGTGGTTAGAAATAGAGCCCTGCACGGGCCGAGGGGGTGGAGCCCCAGCCCGACCCGGTCCGAGAAGGTTTTCAGGATTCTCTGGCCCGACTCGAGCCCGACTTTTTTTTTAACCTTTCATGATGTTTTAGCGTGATAGAATGCTCAGTGTTCTGATTATCTGTGAGAAGCGTTCTGCGGTAAAAAAAAGAAAGAAAAGAAAGAAAAATAGCATCAATGCAGCTTTTTTCTCTAACAGAGCGTATTTTTCGAGCGGCAGATGAAATTTACGAACACTATATTAATTGGATGCGTTTGTCAATTTAATCTGCTCTGAAAATGCGCTCTGCAGTTAGAGAAATACCAGCAATGAATGCTGTATTTTTTAACTGCAGAGCGAATTTATTCACAGAATAACAGAATGCTGCCGTTTTCATGAGAATAAACGAATGTTTCTGACATCAGAGTGGACATAAATGACATATGAGAACAGGGGCACATGTTTCAATCAGCAGTTTGAGAATTCGTTTATATCGGCGCGTTTATAAACCACACACACCTTAACTGAGCGAACGGTGCGTGAGAAGCAGGCAGGTGCTGCTGCGTTCAAGTGTTTCAGGTTTTTTTAAAATGAATTTGATTAAAAATAAAGGCGCCCGGCCCGGCCCGGCCCGTGTCCGAGGTAATTACACAGTCGTTGGCCCGAAGCCCGGCCCGAGGGCCGTCGGGCCGGGCCGACCCGAGGGCCTAGGGCTTCAGTGCAGGGCTCTAGTTAGAAAACCAAACTTCTCTGCATGTAAACAACATCTCAGCTTAGCCGAGCTACTCGGCCTGGGCACTCCCACTTCTGAAGTAACGAGACTGCGGAAGCGGTCTTCTGACAATATCATCACCACAAGACTTTGTGTGCATCTGACGATTAACGCCACCAGTAGAATACGAACAACGATGCTGCAGCGTTGTTGTCGTTCCTTCCTTCAGCCATTCTGCATTTCCTACTTTTCTCAGTCTGCTTCACTCCTGCCAGCGTTGCTTTACTAAATGGAGGAAGGCAACATGAAAGGGTGCAAGTCGCCGCCTACTGTTGCAGGGTGAAAAATGCACATTATTCAATAATTAGATTTTCTAACAAACATGTAAACTAGGATAAAGGCTCCCACTCTGGTTAAAGTGTTAGCTTAGTTATTGCCATAGCTTCATTTACATAAGCACGTTCTCGCACTGACTGATAAAGTTAAGAAATTTACAAATAAAGCATGGTGCTTTCATTCAGCAGAAATCCTCACTGACTTTTGGATCCAGATCCGTGTTCAAATCCAGATCAAAATTCTGATCTACATCCAGATTTCAGATCCAAGTTCAAATCCAGATCAAAATTCTGATCTACATCCAGATTCCAGATCCAGATCCGAATTCAAATCCAGATCAAAATTCTGATCTACATCCAGATTCCAGATCCATGTTCAAATCCAGATCAAAATTCTGATCTACATCCAGATTCCAGATCCACGTTCAAATCCAGATCAAAATTCTGATCTACATCCAGATTCCAGATCCACGTTCAAATCCAGATCAAAATTCTGATCTACATCCAGATTCCAGATCCGAATTCAAATCCAGATCAAAATTCTGATCTACATCCAGATTTCAGATCCAAGTTCAAATCCAGATCAAAATTCTGATCTACATCCAGATTTCAGATCCAAGTTCAAATCCAGATCAAAATTCTGATCTACAACCAGATTCCAGATCCATGTTCAAATCCAGATCAAAATTCTGATCTACATCCAGATTCCAGATCCACGTTCAAATCCAGATCAAAATTCTGATCTACATCCAGATTCCAGATCCACGTTCAAATCCAGATCAAAATTCTGATCTACATCCAGATTCCAGATCCACGTTCAAATCCAGATCAAAATTCTGATCTACATCCAGATTCCAGATCCACGTTCAAATCCAGATCAAAATTCTGATCTACATCCAGATTCCAGATCCACGTTCAAATCCAGATCAAAATGCTGATCTACATCCAGATTCCAGATCCACGTTCAAATCCAGATCAAAATTCTGATCTACATCCAGATTCCAGATCCACGTTCAAATCCAGATCAAAATTCTGATCTACATCCAGATTCCAGATCCAGATCAACATTCAAATCCAGATTCCAGATCCACGTTCAAATCCAGATCAAAATTCTGATCTACATCCAGATTCCAGATCCGAATTCAAATCCAGATCAAAATTCTGATCTACATCCAGATTCCAGATCCAGATCAACATTCAAATCCAGATTCCAGATCCACGTTCAAATCCAGATCCAGATCCACGTTCAAATCCAGATCAAAATTCTGATCTACATCCAGATTCCAGATCCAGATCAACATTCAAATCCAGATTCCAGATCCACGTTCAAATCCAGATCCAGATCCACGTTCAAATCCAGATCAAAATTCTGAACTAAACCCAGATTCCAGATCCAGATCAACATTCAAATCCAGATTCCAGATCCACGTTCAAATCCAGATTCCAGATCCACGTTCAAATCCAGATCAAAATTCTGATCTACATCCAGATTCCAGATCCACGTTCAAATCCAGATCAAAATTCTGATCTACATCCAGATTCCAGATCCAGATCAACATTCAAATCCAGATTCCAGATCCACGTTCAAATCCAGATCCAGATCCACGTTCAAATCCAGATCAAAATTCTGAACTAAACCCAGATTCCAGATCCAGATCAACATTCAAATCCAGATTCCAGATCCACGTTCAAATCCAGATCAAAATTCTGAACTAAACCCAGATTCCAGATCCAGATCAACATTCAAATCCAGATTCCAGATCCACGTTCAAATCCAGATCAAAATTCTGATCTACATCCAGATTCCAGATCCACATTCAAATTTAGATCTCGTCAGATCCAGATTTAGATCCATACGGGGAAACACCACTTCATAAATGCTGATAGGAATCAAACTACTTGAATTAAAAGCTGGTCGTTAACCAGAGCCTTCAGAAGGGATTTGAGTCGGAGCAGAGGTTAAGAGGCAGTTGCTTCCAGAGTCTAGGAGTAGATCCTGCAAAGACCTGATTCCTGCATTTGTGACCAACTGGAAATGATGGAGAGAACTGACCAAGCAAGCGAGCTGCAGTATTCGTCCAGAGGTGCTTTTCCTGGAGGAAAGATTCAACGTTTACAACTTGTATCTGGATAAAAACTACACTGCTGGCTCTGAACCAGACCTGGATGAGATCAGCTCTACAAGAGCATATTTAAACCCTCACCTGGCAGCAACACAGTCCAATGGCTGTAAAACTAAATCGGCTAAACGTGAAGAGCTTCTTCAGCCAGACAGGGACATTCTGGGGAGTTAATCTACTACCTCTCTTAATACTGAAAATGAAACTGGTAAAAACTGACAGGATGTGAAAGAGGACCTTCTAGAAGAGAGGTTCAGTCCACAAAGACATTTGTGACAAAGTAACAGAGAGTGTTTTGCAACCCTGCATCCTTCCTGGCTGGCCCGTGACCCAAACCCAACGATAAATGATCTGCACTTTAAGCATCTTTCTGAGTCTGAGGACTCCAAATTGCTTTACAGTCAGTCTTTTGTTCGTTCGTTCAGTCTCTGTTATGCTGCGGCCAGTGAGCCGTTCATAACAGCTCACGCGTGATTTAGCAGCTTTTACAAGCCTCTGGTAGCTGTCAGGATATTTGGAGAACGAGAGTGGATCCTGAAAAGAGCCGCAGAAAGCCAGACGCTAGAGTATGATGGAGAAGTTCTTCATCAGGGTCACGTTTTCTTCTTCCGGCTCTTGGAGAGTACAGACGCTTATTTCCTGCTCTCCTCCCTATCTTATCCCAAGGCTCGTTGTCTGTCTGTGGGTGTACGGCGCTTCTGCATTTTTTCTGGAAACTGGAAACTATTAAACATGGACCTGGTCAGTTGGTCTCTCAACGCGACTGACAACATTTTCTCAACGATGAGAACGGGGCTCCCGGGTGCCCCTCTGGGACAGATCCAGTTGGGCATGTCATGGACTCCTGGAAACAGTGGAACCGGATTTGCCTCTCTCAGCTGTCTGTAGAGGATTCTGAAGACGTCTGGATATTCGTGGTGTTGATGTCAGGTTTCTTGCTTTTCGACCTGAGTGGTTACCTGGCTTACCGGAAAATTAATGAGCTGTCGAGGAATATTGGCTCTTTCCCGGAGCTCAGGGTTGGATTACACTGCGTTGTGAATGCACAGACTCATATAATTGTCGAGATGAGTCGTAAGCTTGGAACTTTGGCTGAGATTCAGGCTCTGGCACAAAAGGTTGATTCGATCAAGGAGAAAGTGGACGGGACAGCACGGATTGGGAATAGATTAATTTACGCCATTATTGGATTCAGAGGGGTTGAGGACCAACAGAACTTTAAGACAGAGAGGAAATTATCTCTTTCTGGCCCCAAAACAAGTTCTTATCTGAATCTGGTGCCCTTGAGCCTGTGAGGCTGAAGTGAATAGTCCCCCTCAGAAGAAATGTGAAATGCTGCCGTCGCCATGGCAACTCTGTCTCCCTATCCCAGTCTGGGTGGGACTGTGACCGGTGAAGGCCGTTTAATCGTTCCAGGAGTCACTGTGCCCTCTAAACCCAAATACCTGCTTCCCCTGTCCAAACGGAGGTGACGAGCGCTGCTTATCGCGGCTGCATGTACTGATGTGTGGAGAGTCCTCTACCCTACGTCCCCACCTAGTGGACACTTATGTTCTGTAATGTCTGAAGTCTGTTGCGTTTCTGTCTGAGGTGTTTTTTGCAGAGCAAAGCTGCCCTCCCTGTGGAGGGTAACTCTGAAGTGCCTTTTTTTTTCCTCCACCTGATCCAATCCTCATGTAAACCCTCTCATCTCTATTAAGGTAACGCGACTCGGGTTGCGAATGACCACAGTCACCAATTCTTGTCATGTGTCTTTGCCTATATATGTATGTCTGATCTCTGAATTGTGTGTACTGAAACTCTAATTTCCCTCTGGGATTAATAAAGTATCTTTGAATTGAATTAGATTAGAATCATGTAGCCCAACCCTAAACATCTAAAATCACACTCAGCCTCAGAAAAGTGGTCCTTCGGGATGGCTGTCCGTGCTTTGAGGCGGCTCAGGCTTTAGTTCCTTTGTTGGATGAGTGGAGACAGTCATGTTCCTGGCCCCGGCTCTGCTTGTGTGAATGTCCTCTACCTCCCTCCTACACACGAATTAAAACCCACAACAGTACAGTTGAATACAGCGATGGTAGAGGTCTGCTCATCAGGAATGCCAAAACCCAGAATAGGGAAGTGAAATCCAGAGATTTCCCGATGCCTGTGTCCAGGTGAGTGACACCAGGTGGGCGGGGTACCTATAGAGCAGGACTGTCACACTCAAAAGGGCTGAAATGAGAAACTGGGGCGGAGTTGCGGGCCAAACTCGATTTTTTTGAAAAAGTGACGGCAAATGTGCACATTTTCCTTTTTCTACATTAGAAATACTGAGTGTGGAATAACCCAGTTACACACGTGACTCCAAGCTTTCCCCACTGAGGGACAATAAAGGGATTTTCTATTCTATTCATCTATCTGAAATTGTTCCAGTTCCCGTAAAGTGGGTTAAATCTTTTTTCACAGACCAACAACAAAAATAAACAAAATGGTAATTCTCTTAAATGAAAATGTAACATCTCGCCTGTTATCTCTCATGCTTTGGAGCAGAAAAAGTGCATAAAAACACAATAATTCAAGCTCAGTTTGCTGTGATGCTCACCTGTTCCAGCCGGACACCTGCACCTGTGGGGTTGGGCTCTGAGCTGAGGAAGGAGCTGTGCTGTTCTGCTCCTCTTCATCACAGACAACAGGTGCTCACACAGGTTTGTGCTGCTGAACACGGAGAGCATCTGAGCAGCTTGGGCCGGTGTGTCGGGTGGAAGATGAAAACTACAGCAGCAACAGCGTCATGCTGACTGGAGCGTGTTGCTAAACTGGAGTTAAATCATCTCGGTCTGGATGGTTGGTGAGTACTTCTCTGCCGGCCGAGAACAGATTACTGAGCAGTTCAAATCTATTTCTGGGCTAAGAGGAGAGTTTTCAGTCTGTCCGAGACCGAGGAGGTCACTCTGCAGACGCCGAGGAGTAGCAAGGAGGGGGCACTTTGAGAGGTGCGCTAACGCCGCAAAGCACTGTGGGATTTGTAGTATTTGCTGCCAAATGGGCCAGCGGGCCAGTTTTAATGTATATTTGATCTCACGGGCCAAATAAAAATAAACCGTGGGCCAAATGTGGCCCGAGAGCCTGGGTTTGACACCTGTGCTGTAGCGGGTGTGGTTTCTGTTCCCATATGGTGTGTGACCAAAAGCACCTTGGAGATGATGTGTTGTGATTGGCTGACCTCTCTGATTCTCTTGACAGCGCAGTCCATGCCCCTCAGAGAAGCTCGGTACACAACGCCAAATCCCCCCTCGCCGATCTGGAGGGCGGGGGAGAAACCTCGTGTCCCAGCATGCACCTCTTCATGTGCCCAACAGATGACTGCAGTGCTGTTAGACGCCACGGCAGCGAGAGGCAAAGGAATGACATCACACCGACTTTCCTGTTCAAAGTCAATAAGGAAGGTTAGTGAAAGGTTCAACAACTTGTTCACTTTCTAGCTGCCTGGACTGTCGGACCACCATCTGACTAGTTAGGACAGTTGGCCAGCTCCCTGACTAGTCGGGAATATCTGAACATTATCTGACTAGTCGAGAGTGCTGGACCACTCCTTGACTAGTTAGGAGCATCGGCCAGCTCCCTGACTAGTCGGGAATATCTGAACAATAACTGACTAGTCGAGAGTGTTGGACCACTCCTTGACTAGTTAGGAGCATCGGCCATCTCTCTGACTAGTTAGGACAGTTAGCCAGCTCCCTGACTAGTCGGGAATATCTGAACAATAACTGACTAGTCGAGAGTGTTGGACCACTCCTTGACTAGTTAGGAGCATCGGCCATCTCTCTGACTAGTTAGGACAGTTAGCCAGCTCCCTGACTAGTCGGGAATATCTGAACAATAACTGACTAGTCGAGAGTGCTGGACCACTCCTTGACTAGTTAGGAGCATTGCCCAGCTCCCTGACTAGTCGGGAATATCTGAACAATAACTGACTAGTCGAGAGTGTTGGACCACTCCTTGACTAGTTAGGAGCATCGGCCATCTCTCTGACTAGTTAGGATAGCTGGCCAGCTCCCTGACTAGTTGGGAATATCTGAACAATAACTGACTAGTCGGGAGTGTTGGACCACTCCTTGACTAGTCAGGAGCATCGGCCAGCTTCCTGACTAGTCGGGAATATCTGAACAATAACTGACTAGTCGAGAGTGTTGGACCACTCCTTGACTAGTTAGGAGCATCGCCCAGCTCCCTGACTAGTCGGGAATATCTGAACAATAACTGACTAGTCGAGAGTGTTGGACCACTCCTTGACTAGTTAGGAGCATCGGCCATCTCTCTGACTAGTTAGGACAGTTGGCCAGCTCCCTGACTAGTCGGGAATATCTGAACAATAACTGACTAGTCGAGAGTGCTGGACCACTCCTTGACTAGTCAGGAGCATCGGCCAGCTCCCTGACTAGTCGGGAATATCTGAACAATAACTGACTAGTCAAGAGTGTTGGACCACTCCTTGACTAGTTAGGAGCATCGGCCATCTCTCTGACTAGTTAGGATAGCTGGCCAGCTCCCTGACTAGTTGGGAATATCTGAACAATAACTGACTAGTCGGGAGTGTTGGACCACTCCTTGACTAGTCAGGAGCATCGGCCAGCTTCCTGACTAGTCGGGAATATCTGAACAATAACTGACTAGTCGAGAGTGTTGGACCACTCCTTTTGACTAGTTAGGAGCATCGGCCATCTCTCTGACTAGTTAGGACAGTTGGCCAGCTCCCTGACTAGTTGGGAATATCTGAACAATAACTGACTAGTCGGGAGTGTTGGACCACTCCTTGACTAGTCAGGAGCATCGGCCAGCTCCCTGACTAGTCGGGAATATCTGAACAATAACTGACTAGTCGAGAGTGTTGGACCACTCCTTGACTAGTTAGGAGCATCGGCCAGCTCCCTGACTAGTCGGGAATATCTGAACAATAACTGACTAGTCGAGAGTGTTGGACCACTCCTTGACTAGTTAGGAGCAACGGCCATCTCTCTGACTAGTTAGGATAGCTGGCCAGCTCCCTGACTAGTTGGGAATATCTGAACAATAACTGACTAGTCGAGAGTGTTGGACCACTCCTTGACTAGTTAGGAGCATCGGCCATCTCTCTGACTAGTAAGGATAGCTGGCCAGCTTCCTGACTATTTGGGAATATCAGAACACTAACTGACTAGTCGGGAGTGTTGGACTGCTCCTTGACTAGTAAGGAGTGTCTGCCAACTCTCTGACTAGTTGGGAGCATCGGCCAGCTCCCTGACTAGTCGGGAATATCTGAACAATAACTGACTAGTCGAGAGTGTTGGACCACTCCTTGACTAGTTAGGAGCATCAGCCATCTCTCCGACTAGTTAGGATAGCTGGCCAGCTCCCTGACTAGTTGGGAATATCTGAACAATAACTGACTAGTCGAGAGTGTTGGACCACTCCTTGACTAGTTAGGAGCATCGGCCATCTCTCTGACTAGTAAGGATAGCTGGCCAGCTCCCTGACTATTTGGGAATATCAGAACACTAACTGACTAGTTTGGAGTGTTGGACCGCTCCTTGACTACTTAGGAGCGTCAGCCAGGTCTCTGACTAGTTGTGAATATCTGAACAATAACTGACTAGTCGGGAGTGTTGGACTGCTCCTTGACTAGTTAAGAGCGTCGGCCAACTCTCTGACTAGTTAGGATAGCTGGCCAGCTCTTTGACTAGTCGGGAATATCTGAACACTAAATGATTAGTAGGGAGTGTTGACAGCTCCTTGACTAGTTAGGAGCGTCGGCCAACTCTCTGACTAGTTAGGAGCGTTGGCCATCTCTCTGACTAGTTAGGATAGCTGGCCAGCTCCCTGACTAGTTGGGAATATCTGAACACTAACTGACTAGTTTGGAGTGTTGGACCGCTCCTTGACTACTTAGGAGCGTCGGCCAGGTCTCTGACTAGTTGTGAATATCTGAACAATGACTGACTAGTCGGGAGTGTTGGACTGCTCCTTGACTAGTTAAGAGCGTCGGCCAACTCTCTGACTAGTTAGGATAGCTGGCCAGCTCTTTGACTAGTCGGGAATATCTGAACACTAAATGATTAGTAGGGAGTGTCGACAGCTCCTTGACTACTTAGGAGCGTCGGCCAACTCTCTGACTAGTTAGGATAGCTGGCCAGCTCCCTGACTAGTTGGGAATATCTGAACACTAACTGACTAGTCGGGAGTGTTGGACCACTCCTTGACTAGTTAGGATAGTTGGCCTTCTGCTCTTTAAACGCTGTAATAATGATCTTTGATGAGAACTGCTGACTTCACCTGTGGCTGGAGCTGATCCTTAGAGTACAGACTGACAGGTGGGGGGGCAGGCCTGGGTAACAGGTTTTCTCCTCCAACAGCAGAATGATACGCTGAAGTCAAAGAAGAGAGCTGACATCATCAGATTCACCAATCAGTGTCTCAATTACATACCTGCAAACCCAGAAGGTGTGAAAAAGGTGACATCTTAAACCAACCCTACCAAGCCCTAGGTATGATGCCTCCTAGACTCTTAAAAGAAGCTTTTACTTCACTTGGTCCCCGGGTTTTCCTGAAGCCTTTCCTGAAGAAGCCTGGCCTCGTCCAGGTACCGACCTATCTCCAGACTTCCTTTTATTTCTAATCTTCCGGAGAAGGTCATGTCTCAGAGGATGACATTCTAGAAAAACTCCAGTCTGGTTTTAAGCCAGTCCACAAAGTTTGATCTATCCCTCTGCTGAGTTCTTACTTCCTGTCGTGGTTACCAGGGTTGGTCTTGCTGCGGACCGATGTGTGAATGTCAGCTGCATCATTAATAAGCACTGTTTAAAACCACAGCGAACGCCCTTTGCACGGCTGAGTGGCATCTCTATTTCAGTTGGTGTTTGGAAGCAGCGCTGCTAACAGGAGTTTCACACGATTTACAAACATCAGCGCCGGTCGAGCAGCCAGAGGGACCTGGTGCTGAGAAGGCACAGACTATGGTTTAGTACTGGAACCCGTCTGATGGTAAAAATGGTAAATGACCTGTATTTGATGTAGCACCTTCTAGAGTCCTGGAACCCCCCAAGGCGCTTTACAACAAAATCAGTCATTCACCCATTCACACACACATTCACACGCTGGTGGGGATGAGCTACGATGTAGCCACAGCTGCCCTGGGGCGCACTGACAGAGGCGAGGCTGCCGAGCACTGGCGCCGCCGGTCCCTCTGACCACCACCAGCAGGCAAAGTGGGTTAAGTGTCTTGCCCAAGGGCACAACGACAGCGACAGACTGAGCGGGGCTCGAACCTGCAACCTTCCGATTACGGGGCGAGCACTTAACTCCTGTGCCACCGTCGCCCCAATGATGATGATGATGGAAAACAGATGGAGAACAGCTGATCAGAGCAATGGGCAGGCTTGTTTTGGGTCTACCTGTGGGCTGCTCATACGGTGGAGGAGAAGGGAGACGAGGAGGAGGTGGCGGAGGAGGAAGAGGAGGAGGAGCAAAGGAGGAAGGATTCATCGCCTGAGTCCCTGCAGACATAAGAACAGGTGAACATTCTTCTAATATGGAGCCTAAGTCACGTCCATCTACTTCCGGACCATGGGAGGAACGAAAAAATGAATGCACGTTATGCTAATTACGACCTTCCCCTCTGTGTTGGACAAGCCCAGTCACTGACTCGGTTCGAGTCGCTGCTGACATCCTTCTTTCTACCACCGTACAGCACTTTGGTCAGCTGCTGCACGGCGCTTTAAACGTGCTTTATGAATAAACCTGGTGCGGTACGATCGACCTCCACGTACGTGACAGGCGTGGTCGAAACACACTTCATTGCTTTTCATTTAAATTGCAGGACAACGTGTGCGATCCAGGGCGTGAGGCAAAGCGACTTGCATTCATTTTTTCGTTCTTTCGGAGACCCGTGAGCCGACCGGAGAGGGAGGAGACTTGGGCTCCCTGTATATAGGGTCAGGGGTCAGAGGTGTACTTACAGGTCAAGATGACATCTCGTGGCCTAAAAAGCTGCAGCGACTCTAACAAGTCAATCAGCTCTCCAACTCGACCGTTCCTGCATCCCCATTGGTTCATCACCCAGTCGGTCCGCTGGGCCTGCCTCTCAGCCAGTCGCACAGCCGTCTGGTCTTTCAGCACCTCCGAGGCTGCAGACAGAACGGTAAATGGTCTGTATTTGATATCGCACCTTCTAGAGTCCTGGAACCCCTCAAGGCGCTTTACAACACAACCAGTCATTCACCCGTTCACACCCTGGTAGGGATGAGCTATGATGTAGCCACAGCTGCCCTGAGGCACACTGACGGAGGCGAGGCTGCCAAGCACAGGCGCCGCCGGTCCCTCCGGCAGGCAGGGGGGTTAAGTGTCTTGCCCAAGGAGCGACAAACTGAGCGGGGCTCAAACCTGCAACCTTCTGCAATCTCCTGTGCCACTGTCACCTCACTCAAGGGAAGGATTTGAGAATGTTGTGGAGCTGCTTCATCCCGAGTGGAGTCTCAGGGGAAAGAATGGAATAAATTCCATTGCCGTCTGGTCAGTTTAAATAAATATGTAAATATTTAGAAGATTTAATTAAATTTACCGCATTAAAAATAAAATTCTGTTAAGACTGCAGCAGAATATTCACGGGGAATGGAAAGCTGTGCAAATGAGACATGAATGAGTGAAAACCCGAAACTGGAAATAAGAAGTAACTAAATGCAGCAGGAATGTTTAACAAGTCACTGGGACAGGTGTGACGTTTGAACCAGGTGAGAGGCGGGGCTACACCTGCTCCACAACGGGCAAAAATCACAGCCAAGCTTCTCCGGGTCAACCCTGGGAGGGGGTGCGTGGGGGTCCTGTTTGTCGCTCCAGGTGTGGGCGGGGCCACATGACAGCAGAACAATCAGCTGAGACACTTCAAAGCAGACCGTCGCCCGCAGCACGTGACTCTGGTCAGGTGTAGATTGATACGGATCCAGGGGACCTGTTTGTCGAGTGTTCTAGAGGGGAACTCACCGAACCGGGTCCAGTCCAAGTCCGACAGTCCGTCCATGACTCGGCAGAACTCCCAGTTGACGGGAGAGGGAAGTTTGAATAGGAACTGTTCTCGTCGGAACCCTCCCGCCATTTTTGCTCGAGAACCGAACTCCTCCACTTTACAGAACCGAGTGGGTCACATCAGAACCAGGTTGAAAAACAACTCTTAACAAACCCGAAAGTTTCTCTTCACCTTGTACTTCCGCTTATTGAGGAAACCAGCCCACTGGAAGGCGACACGCTTCCGGTGGGCCTGACAAAATAAAAGCCCCCCAAGACTTTTTTTTTCCTTTACTGGTTGGATGTGTTTTCCAAATGTAAGCCTATTGGTGATAAACAACCCACCATTTATAATTCATTAAATGAATGTTTTTGTTTTTAGATGAGAGTGTAATATCTGGGTTTCTGCTGTAGCTGCTGCTGTCCAGTAGGGGGCAGTGACAGCAGTAGGAAAATACGCTCGTCAATACTAAGCAACTTTTTCATTTTTTTAAACAATTTGTCTTGAAATTAGTCTGTGCTAAAATTACACTTTAAATAAAAAATGGCCCCCTAAGGTGCTTTACAACACAATCAATCATTCAAACATTCGCACAAGCACATTTGGGGGGTGGAGGTCAGAACACGGGTTGCTCCACTAGATCAAGATGTTAAAAGCACACAGCAGAACTAGCACCATTCCTGAGTCGATGCCATCTTTGCAGTTTTTCTCCATCATAGCTCTGGTGCTGAGGCCATCCAATAAACATAGAGTGATGTGAATTGCAAGAAGCAAAACTCTTCAGGCCAGTGGTAGATCTGCTGAGGCTGTCATGTAGTGTGGCCAGACCGACCTGCAGAGCCAAGTCTTTTGCCACTACTACCATTAGATCGATTTCTAGGCAAATGCAGGGAAAATGAAAGTGAATATGCCTCTTCAGTAATTTTGTTGAATCCATGTTCTTTTCGCTAACATTTCTTTGAACATGTTTGGTCTGATTTATGAAGATTAAGTGTGAGTGCTTTCACAGATGTGTATATTTCATAATTCTGTTGCCAATCTGAACAAAATATGTGTTGAGATAAATTAAGGGAATAAAACAATCAGGAAAAAGACAAATCACTTGAACTAAATGACTGGAAATGAAACTGCTTTATTGTCTGTCCCAGAGGTGACAGAAGTTCTGCCTCATGAATAACATAGTACAACATAAGCCACGATGGAGAATACGGGCAGCAGGTCCATCAGGACTGTCCAGCTGATGTTATGTCACATGGTGGTCCAAAATACCTTCTAGGTTTCCAAATCACCCTTAATTATGCATGCCCCAACCCTCTTCCGAATCTGCCATTATAAATGTTGGTAGAAGTAATGCTGAACCGCAGAGCTACTGCAAACGCTAACCTGAGCTACAGCTAACGTCCTTGTTGGACAAGAGGAAAACAACAAAGAAGAAGAATGTCAGAGCACACAATGTCCAGGAAGTTCTGGGAATATCCAGACTATGAATAAATGCCAGATAGACCGATAGTTCCCCTATTAAGTTATCTGGATACTGGACACAGAGGATGTTTCTCAATGTCAAGGCGCCTGGCCTTGCGAGGCGATGTCTTGTGAGGCCAGGCGCCTTGCTTACGAGGACACGGTCCTTCCTTGGTCAAAGAAAACGGTTAAATGGAACAGACTTGCATCACGTGACCGTGGCTTCCATGGCGGTCACGTAACGTCACGTGACACGGGAGATGAGGTCATATTTTATATGTATTAGTTTCAATATAAATATATAACGAGATATGTTTATTAAATCAAAAATATAAGTGAGTTACTACCCGCTAGCCACAGAAGCTGCAACTACTAAGCAACTAACCAACCATAGATAACTTCTTTGGATCTAAAAAAAAAACATTTTAAATTAGCTGACTTACTTTTAAACTTGAAATTTGCCCCCGAAGTAGCCGCCGGCTTCTGATCCGCCGTCCTTTTGAAAATACCGCGGTGTATTCTGGGTAATGTTTGACCAAGACTAGGCTACAAGACATCTCCCATGTATCCCCGCTCAGCTAGCTAAATGGCTAACAAACGGAACCTCGGTAGAACATGAACATTGGAACACGTCTTGGCGGCTCCCGATGACGTATCTCCTAGGCAACCGGGGCGGGGCCAAGACATCAAGGCAAGGTTCCTTGGCATTGAGAAACACCCAGAGATAGCTTCAGGCAGCGTCAGAGCCATCGGGGTAAGTTGGCCTATCAGCACACAGCTCATTTAATATTCATGTCCTGGCCAAGTGGACGGGGCAAACCAGTCTTTCCATTGTAGGTCTTTATTATTGGGTTGTGTTCGGCCATTCATCAGGGCTCCTGGGCCATTGTGAGCCCCAACAAAGTGTAATTTTCTAAATAGAGGCTTTAAAGAACTGGTTTGAATTTTAGGAGTTCTAGACTAGGATCCCCTTAACAGTTCAACCAACGAGTACTTTTTATTCTTCACTGAGCTCCACAACGCTATCAAATCTGATATCTACTTTAGAGAAAACGTCCACTAAAACACCTGGTTTTTAAACACAAATAAATCTGTATTTATACGTTTTACTTGAATGTCGGTGTGTGCTATTGTGATCTTTATGATGAAGTTGTCAAGGTCTGCACAGGAATTGGTCCCCAGGTGCCTAAAAAGAGAATAAAAACACGTTTTAGTTTTGTGACGTGATTCTATTATCTGCTAATATTAAGTAAGGAATAAAAAAGTCCTGCCCCAAGTGGAGGAGTTTAAGTATCTCGGGGTCTTGTTCACAAGTGAGGGAAAACTGGAGCGTGAGATCGATAGGTGGATTGGTGCTGCATCTGCAGTGATGCGGGCGTTGTACCGGTCTGTCGTGGTGAAGAGAGAGCTGAGCCAGAAGGCGAAGCTCTCGATTTACCGGTCGATCTACGTTCCTACCCTCACCTATGGTCATGAGCTTTGGGTAGCGACCGAAAGAACAAGATCACGGATACAAGCGGCCGAAAAGAGTTTTCTCTGAAGAGCGGCTGGGCTCTCTCTTAGAGATAGGGTGAGAAGCTCGGTCATTCGGGAGGGGCTCTGAGTAGACCCGCTGCTCCTCCACATCGAGAGGAGCCAATTGAGGTGGCTCGGGCATCTGATCAGGATGCCTCCTGGACGCCTCCCTGGTGAGGTTTTCCGGGCACGTCCAACCAGGAGGAGACCCAAGGGAAGACCCAGGACACGGTGGAGGGACTATGTCTCTCACCTGGCCAGGGAACGCCTTGGGATTCCCCTGGAGGAGCTGGCCCGAGTGGCTGGGGAGAGGGAAGTCTGGGCCTCTCGCCTTAGGCTACTGCCCCCGCGACCCGACTCCGGATAAGCGGATGAAGATGGATGGAATAAAAAATGAGTGATGGGGTTATTTAGGTGGGAGAGGAGAGCTTCTTAATCCACATCCAAAGCTTTTCTCACAAGTGCTAAACTGTATTTTTCATGTTCAATTCATTACATCACATTTATCATTAAGCTGATGTACGGGTCAGAATCAGGTGGTTCTGAATCAACTCCTCGGACTATGAGACTGAAGAAGATGATGACGAGGCGAGCAGTAGGATGAAGGTCCAACTGTCCAACGTTAGTGTCGTCTAAAGTCCTGCTGGATGTGTTTTTGTCAGTTGGGGGTGGGAACCTGTGTCTTGTAGAGTTACTGAGTTCTATCTGGTTCAATCTTTGTTTCCCCGTTTCGTGTCTCTGGGAGTGACTTCTGAGAAAACGTGGCCGCCTGAACAACAGCCTGCAACAAAACAGTCACCAAAATAAAAGAAGACGTCACTACAAACTCCAGTTATCACACAAAAACAGCATCGGGATTGTTTTTGTCCAACCTTGAAGCTCTTCTTTCTCTTCTGGACATTCTGCTCTGGTTGGAAAACGATGACATAGACTTTGGGCAGGTAGAGCATCCCAAGTGAGACAGAGGCACTCAGAGACATGGACACAGTCAGAGTGGCTGTCTGGATGAACATCTGTAGAGACAGAGACGCTCGCTGAAGGTGTTTGATAAAAGATACAGTTACAGACGTGTTAGGACAATAAAAATGATTAAAAACGCGTTACATTTTCACATAAAACTATTTCAGCAGCTTTACTTTTCATGTTTTCAGTTCCTGCCAGAATGAGCCGTTTCAGGACTCTGACGCTAAGCAGTCTTAAACACTTTAAACAATTCCTTTAAAGTGGGTTTCAGTGATTGTGTAAGTAGAAACTTTAACCACCGTCGGCACCCTGCAGCCCTCTGCTGACCAGAAACAGCACTCAACAGGTTCGTGGATCAGGTAGGTGCCCTAGGGGCCGCTCCCTACCTGCTTATCGGCTGGTAGCTGTTTCCTGTGCTGGTAGCTAAAATGAAAGCTAGCAATTAGCTTTTCCAATTCGCCGACTGTCCATAAAAAACAAGTTTTTTACAGTAAATAAACAAAAAATATGTATAAAACTATAGCCTCAAGGCTGTTTTATGCAATGTCAGCAATGCTGAGCTGAAGGTGGGGGTGGAGGGGGGCATGCCCCCCCCTCCCCCCCCCCCCCTCCCCCCCCCCCCCCAGAACTACGTCCATGCCAAGGACACAGCAGCAGCAGCATTCTCTGGCGGGAGCCGGGATTGAACCTGCAACTTTCAGATTGAGGCTCAACAACACAAACAGTTTGTAATTCTCTGGGTTTTCCCGGCTCTGCTGGACCTTACTGGTTCTGGTTGGTTCTTACCTTCTCAGTGGACTGAGCAGTACCAAAGAAGATGGGCACAAAGGCGAGCCACACGATGCAGGTCGTGTACATGGTGAAGCCGATGGGCTTTGCTTCATTGAATGTCTCAGGGACCCCACGGCTCTTTACTGCATACACCGTGCATGTTACCTAGCAACAGTGGAAACAACAATGGCGGTTTCTTAGCAACACCGTGACCGGGTTTCTCACTGCGGCTCTTTCACTGAGGAAGTTCCGACTGACAGGTGTCCAGTCAGACACCTGAAGGTGCTTCAGGTGATCAGTGACTTTGGGTCGTTACCATGAGAACGATGCTGTAGCTGAGGCAGCAGATGATTGACAGGTCAGACATGTCACACTTCAGAATGCCTCTCGCCAGGTCTGGGTTTGGGGGGCGGAGCTCCTCATAGTCAATGATGGTGTGAGGAGGAACCACAGCAAACCACACAAACACACCAAGAACCTGACAAAGATACAAAAACCTTAAACGTGGGAGGAGAGCCTGCTGTGAAAATCTGCACGTCGCCTGTTGATGCTCTCACCTGGACACAGATAAGGATGAAGGTGATGGCAAGTTGAGAAGAGGGGCTAATGAATTTGGGCGGGGTCACCGACCTTTTACCCTGCTCAAAGATGCGGTAGATGCGATTGGTTTTGGTTAACATGGCAGAATAAGTGATGGCCATGCCGAGGCCCAGCAGAAGGCGTCGTAACGCACACACCGCCACACCTGGCTCAGCGATCATCAGGAAGGTGATCAGGTAGATCAGAAAAATACCTGCGGCGAGATCTTTGGTCAGGCGATTTCGTCCTGCCTATGCTGAGTACATCTGACTTACCTGGACTCACCTGTCAGGAGGACATAGCTGAGCTCCCGCCCTGATGCCCTCACAATGGGGGTGTCGTTGAAGCGGATGAAGGTTACCACCACAGCGCTGGTCGTCAGGATGCCTAACATGGCGAGTGAGGTGGGCACTACGGCCCAAGGAGAGTTCCATTCCAGCTTGATGATGGGGGTGGGACGACAGGCGGTCCTATTGGGGGCGGGGCGCATGTTTGATGGACAGGCCTCACAGGTAAACTCATCCAGCTGGTACTGATAGCCATCGCAGAGCTGCAGACAGGTAGGAGACTTGTTCCATCAAAACTATAGAACATAGCAGAGAACGTTCATGTTTTTAAGTCCAGGCTCAAGACCCACCTGTTTAGGTTAGCTTTTATCTAATTATTTATCATAGTTTTATTTCTCGTTTTACATGATTATATTTTAGCACAGTTTCATTATTTAATAATATTATTTTACCATCTATATGATTTTATTTATTACAGCTCTTTTAATTTTCATATTTTTACTCGTTTCAATCCAGTGTTTTCTCTGTAGGGGCCCTCTGCCCCGACTTTGCTTGTTTCCTTGCCTTACCTTACTTGGCTCATCTGGACTCAGCCGAAAATAATTTTTTACTGATGTGTGTGTGTGTGTGTGTGTGTGTGTGTGTGTGTGTGTGTGTGTGTGTGTGTGTGTGTGTGTGTGTGTGTGCGTGTGCGTGTGCGTGTGCGTGTGTGTGTGTGTGTGTGTGCGTGTGTGTGTGTGTGTGTGTGTGTGCGTGTGCGTGTGCGTGTGTGTGTGTGTGTGTGTGTGTGCGTGTGCGTGTGTGTGAAGAAGAAGAAGAAAATATAATTTCTATAACGCCTCTCAAGATAAAAATCACGAGGCACTTCACAAAAACAAAAATTGTAAAAATATAAGAAAGAATTTAGAAAATGTTTAAAAATATATTTAAAATAAGCAAAAATAGACAATTGTGATTAAAAATGTTAAGAGAGAGAGAGAGTGAACAGGAAAGAGGGAAACCAGTGGATCCTGAGGAAGGTGGAATAGGTGGGGAGAGCAGAATAAAGAGAGAGAGGTGAAGAAGGTCATACAAAAGCCAGCTTGAACAAGTGAGTCTTCAGCTGCTTTTTAAAGGAGACCACTGAGTCCACTGATCTCAGGCTCAGGGGGAGAGAGGTCCAGAGTCTGGGGGCCACAGCAGCAGATGATCTGTCACCTTTGACCTTTAGCCTGGTGCTGCACAACCAGTAGGCTTTGATCACTGGACCTCAGGGACCTGCTGGGGGTGTAGGGACTAAGAAGATCACCAATGTAAGATGGTGCTTGTCCATGTAAGGCCCTATAGACCAGAACCAGGATCTTGAAATGAACCCTGAAGTTGACTGGCAGCCAGTGAAGCTGGAGGAGAAGCGGGGTGATGTGGGTGTGTTTGGAGGACTTGGTCAGAAGCCGAGCACAGGCGTTCTGAACCACCTGTAGACGGTTCAGGGAGGTTCTGCTCAGACACGTGAAAAGAGAGTTACAGTAGTCTAAGCGTGAGGAGATGAAGGTGTGGAGAACTGTCTCAAGTTCAGAGCGGGACAGAATGGGACTCAGCTTAGCAACGTTCCTGAGATGGAAGAAGGAAGAGGCAACAAGAGAACTGACATGAGAATCCAGGGTGAGAGCTGGGTCAAAGGTCACGCCAAGATTCCTGACAGAAGGTTTGGTGTGAGTAGCAAGCTGACCAAGAGAGTCTCTGACTTTGGGAACCAGCTTGTCTGGGGCACAGATGAGGATCTCAGTCTTATCTTAATTCAGCTGAAGAAAGCTCCCACCATCCAGGTTTTGATAGAGTCTAAGCAGGTGTGTAACAGCTGCAGCTTAGACATCTCATGGAGCTTAAAGGAGATGTTCAGTTGGATGTCATCTGCATAAAGATGGTAGGAGATTCCTTTGAAGGAGCTCAGGATGTGCTGAAGAGGGAGAAGATAGAGGAGGAAGAGCAGAGGCCCCAGCACAGAACCTTGTGGGACACCATGGGTAAGGGAGGTGGTGGAGGACCTAAACTTGGAGATGGCCACAGAAAAGGAGCGCTCAGAAAGATAAGAGGAGAACCACTCCAGAGCAGATCCTGATAGGCCTACCCAGTCTCTCGGCCTCTCCAGTAGCAGGTGATGGTCAACAGTGTCAAAGGCTGCAGTCAGGTCCAGCAGGACCAGAACAGAACAGTCCCCTGCATCACTGTGGGTCAGAAGGTCATTAGAGACCCTAAGAAGAGCTGTTTCAGTAGAATGAGCTCTACGAAAACATGACTGGAAGCTATCATAGATGTTCTGTTCATCAAGAGCAGCTGTGAGTTGTTTAGCCACAACCTTTTCCAAGATCTTGGAGATGAACGTGTGTGTGTGTGTGTGTGTGTGTGTGTGTGTGTGTGTGTGTGTGTGTGTGTGTGTGTGTGTGTGTGTGTGTGTGTGTGTGTGTGTGTGTGTGTGTGTGTGTGTGTGTGTGTGTGTGTGTGTGTGTGTGTGTGTGTGTGTGTGTGTGCTTTATAAATAAATCTGATTGATTGATGAGACTTGGTACTTTTGAACCCGTTTAAAAGCCGTGTACTCGCTGGCCTTCAGACCAGACTGAATCATGGATTACATTAACTCCCAACACTGGTCTTCAGAACTCTAATTGTATATTATTGAGTTTAAATGGACTCCAGCTGAACTAAAGTTTTGTGTCTTTACTTTTCCACAGACTGTTTCAGTTCTGGACTTTATATGAAAGCAGCGTGACGACACGGTCAGAAACAGCTTTACCTCACAGTGCCAGCAACAGGGAACTCCTTTCACCATCTTCTTCCTCTCACCTGGACGACACGGGAAGCTACAGATAGACTCCGGAACCGACTTGTCTCCTCCGGACCACTGCATCTCGTCTAGCTGCAGACAGAGAAACCGGAGGTCAGAAGGCAGAACTGGAGGTTGCAGAGCTCAAGATGTTCCGGCTCTCTCTGGGAGTGATGAGGATGGATGGGATCGATCCAACACGCTCGTGTTTGATGTTATGGAGATAAAGTCAGAAAGGACAGACTGAGATGGTTGGGACACGTCCAGAGGAGAGATGAAGACGACATAGGCAGGAGGACGCTGAGGTTGGAGTCACCAGGCAGGAGGCTGAGAGGAAGACCTAAAAGGACATGAAGTTAGTTGGTGAGAGGGTAAAGGACACAGACGGTAGAGCTAAATGGAGACAGGTGATTGGTTGTTGTGACACCTGAAGGGACACGGCCAAAGAGGAAGGAGGACCATAATCAGCTGTTTTACTTTTCCTACTGTTGGTGTCTTACATTAAGTCTTAAGTTGTTGGTCCACTGGCCAATCACGTGGTAACCAGGATGGCTGTGATTGGTCATCTGATATTGAAATATGTCATAGCGTCCCGGCGCGTCCCCGTTTTCATTGAACAGCACGCTTGTCCCTGCACTTCCTGTGAGAAACAGACAGAGGGGTCGCTTCACGGACGTTAATGAGACAAGGAATACGTTCTTTACCGTTAAAGTTGACCGCTCTGATGTAGTCCAGCAGCAGCCGTCCCTCCACGGGGTCCATGCCGCTGCAGACACCGTGGCTGTTTGGACACAAGTCCTGGTGCATGTTGTGCAGCGAGTGAGCGACGGCGTAGACAGCATCGATAACAAACTGGACCTTTCCCTCCTGCTCGTAGGATGAATCTCTGCCAATCCGCTCGTCGCCTGCAGGCAGAGGAACAAAATGCCAGAGGGTCGTTTGAGATGTTGCTAAGCACGCTCAGGTGAGAGGCTACCTGTACACTTCTTCTTGTCTGGGTCCAGTTTCATCTCAGGACGATTCAGCTTGCACCTGAAGTCATCTTCCCAGAACTCAGCGAACCAGATGTTCCTGCGGTTGTTTTCCAAAGAGCGTGACACGAAGTACTGATCAAAGCCTGTCCAACACAGCAGAGGCATTAAAGCCTGAAACGGCGTGAACGCTGGGGTCCAGGGTGTTTGTGTGGGTCTACCGTCAATGGAAGCCCGCTTTGGCAGTATGGTGACGGCTCCCTCGGCAACATCTTCTAGATCTGCAATTGGTGAACTCTTTGCTCCCCAGCTGTCCGAGCCGACGAACAGGAAGTGTCCGGTCAGGTTCGCGCGCCTCGCCGACTCAAGAACACGCCTACCAAAACCAAATGAGAGCAATCAGAAGGCAGCCAAGCGACCAGACGTTAAATCAGACGAAGCAGCTGGACGTTCAGGGATGAGATCTGGTGTTGTGATGTCATCGTTTACTTGATGTCATCCTCGTTGGCAAAAATGATCACTCCTCTGGCGTTGCTGGTCTCCATCAGACGTTTGATGATCTTATCAAATTCTCCAGCCGTTGGCTCACGGGGAATCTTCACTGACTGAGCAATACACACCCCACCTGACAAAGTCATGCACAGGTGATCCACGACGTTGATGGATGTGTGCAAAGTACTTCAGAGTAGTATTCAGTAATAGATGTAGTACTAAAACAGATAGACTTAATAAGGCAGCAGACAGGTGTCATGACAGGTGACAGGTGCATACCGGCCTCTCTGGAGATCTGTATGAAGGCCTCCACTCCGCTCTCCCCGTAGTTTCCTTCAGATGCCAGCGTGGAGACGTAGTTCCAGCCCAGGGCTTTAACGATGTCCAGCATGGCCTGAGCCTGGTACGAGTCGGGAGGAACGACCCGAGAGAAGAAGTCATAGCGGTTGTTGTCGCTGAGCTCTGGCGCTGTGGAAGCATAGCTCACCTGAGGAATCTGACAAACACAGTCCTTCGTGAACCAACCCCTCCACGTCAGAACCAACAGCAGCCTAACATGCTGGCTGAGGTGGAAACACTCAGACAGATTAGTGTTGTGTAAAAGCTCGGGGGAAAGTGTGTCAGACCCTCAATCAGCTGAAACACAATCACATTAGCAGGAAGGAGCCCTCGTTAGCAGCTGACCTCGTTAACCACTTGACCCTATTAGGACATCCCCATCACCGAGGTTTTGCTGCGTTCGGCTGCTCGCCGTTGACTTTAGAGCGGATGTGTTTACTCGTGACGACCTCACTGACCTGTCCCTCACCAGAACCAGTGCACAGTGGAGTTACCTCAAAGAGCCGCAAGATGTTCGCTACCATAATCGACACGGAGCTGGCCGATGCTCCGATCACGCCCACGACCCTCTCTGGTTTGCGGATGATTGGCGGCTCGCCGTTAGAACAGCGAATGTCCGATGTGTCCTTCTGGATCAGCGCCTGGACAAAGGTCAATGACTGTTCTAGGGCATAGGTGTCCCTGGAACAGGTGTCCAGGATCCGGGCCCCCAGCGTGATGTTCGGCAAGAGTTCAGGGTCACTGTTAATCTGATCCAGCGCGTACAACATGGCCTCCATGCGATGGATCCCCTTCTCCTTCTTCAGCTCACCACAGTTTACCCCATGGGGGCCACGGGAGTGGATGGGAAACAGCCCCCCCAGGGTGATGTCACCTGGAATCTTTATGGAGTGGGGGTGAAAGTGCTGGTGGGAGGCACTCGCCTGGTTACCAAACCAGAGCCAGAGGGTCAACAGGAAGTGGGGCCACAGAAAGACATGGCGGCCCAAACCAGAGGCTGGAAGTATACAGACAGATAGGGCGGGGCCTGATGATGTCATGCTGCAGTGAGGTTCCACATTAAACCTTTATTCCGTGAGGGACACCTGAGAAGAGATCAGTCAATGAATCAATCAACAATCAATACAATTGATCAATCAGCAGTTTCTGTGTTCAGCTGAGTCATAAATCTGTTTGTAAAGTCTGGGAGAACGTCGAGCTGAGAAGAAAAGCTGTTTTGTCCTGTCTGTGGTTTCGATGTCCAGCCGCAGCAGAACACAGCTGGATGCAGTTAGACCAGGACCCAGACCCACCTGGGGCCTCCCGGGCCCGTCTGGGGCCTCCCGGATCTGCCTGAGGCCTCCTGGGACCGCCTGGGGCCTCCTGGACCCACCTGGGGCCTCCCGGATATGCCTGAGGCCTCCTGGAGTCTCCTGGACCCACCTGGGGCCTCCCGGATCTTCCTGAGGCCTCCTGGAGTCTCCTGGACCCACCTGGGGCCTCCCGGACCCACCTGGGGCCTCCCGGGCCCGTCTGGGGCCTCCTGGAGTCTCCTGGACCCACCTGGGGCCTCCCGGGCCCGTCTGGGGCCTCCTGGAGTCTCCTGGACCCACCTGGGGCCTCCCGGACCCACCTGGGGCCTCCCGGGCCCGTCTGGGGCCTCCTGGAGTCTCCTGGACCCACCTGGGGCCTCCCAGACCTGCCTGGGGCCTCCTGGCCCAGAGGAACCTGACGATCAGTTTGTGTCGTCACTCAGAAGGTGCTGCTGGAGTCATTTGAAGGTGAAGTCAAATTCGTCTGTGGCGGCTAAGAATTTAGCTTTACCTTTGTTAGAGAGAGGCTTTTATCCGAAGAGACCTCCAAACACGGACGCAACGCCGCCGCTAAGATCAACGCCAACCATAAAATAAGAACATGCTGTTTTTATCCGTGACTGGAAATCGATTTATTCGTCAATCCTCTGTGAGGGCATGAGTGACGGATAGTAGATACCATCAGAATCAAACAAACTGTGTTCGTTTAAATCCAAACAGTTAATATCTAATGTCTAAATAACTTTTAATTAAATTATATCTAATTAGTAAATAAATAACACTTAAACCAGTGCTTTTCACATCTAATAAATGAGGGTTGATAATCCAACACATAAGAAAATAACATCAGATTGATTTGAATGTTATTTAATCCATCACAGATGAAATAGTTCATGGATCTTCAGCAGGATGGAACCATCGTTATCTGATGAGTAAACCTTTACTGTCCCACCGTGGGTAAACGTCGGTGTACGAAGTAGACTCACAAAAGGAAACCAACGCAACAATAAGAGATTTACTGTTTAGCAAATGAAATCAAAGGTAAAATATCAGTCAAGATTTCTCATTTTGTATTCTCTGCTTCAGTCAGAAACTCACCAACGTGGATCCAGAAAACTCGCTGGAAAATTCTGAGGAGAACCAAGAGAAACGACCTCCCATGCGTCTGGGTACCAGAGGTTTAGAAATTCATTTGTTAATGCAGCCGGAGGTTTATCCCAGAGCAGCTCAAACTCTCAGTTCAGAGCCCCCCCCCCCCCCCCACACACACACACACACACCCACCCCCCACCCCCCCCCCCCCACACACACACACACACACACACACACAGTGCTTATAAAGCGTAGTGATGTTGCTGACTGAGAAAAAAAAAACAGAAGTCGTGGACATCTTAAGTCCAGTTTCCTTCATTTGAAACTTCTGGACCAGAAGCCTTCAGCTACATTTGTTTAAGGGCCAGATGCTCCTCTAAAACAAATGTCAGTTACTACTGTAGCTTAATACAATAAATGTAATATTTATTGTTAAATTACATTCAATTAATTCTCCTTTCAAATTTCTATCATTTGTTCAGCGTTTATGTTCAGATTTCCTTTACTAACCCGAGCCACTAGAGGGCGACATATTAGTTCTTCTGTTTATGACGCGCTTTTGCTCTCCAATGCTTAGATGTCGTACCGTTTGGCAAAAATGGCTTCATCTTTCATTTTTCACCAAGGGAGCGTTGTATGTAACTTTATTTTAGACATTTATCTTGTTTCCTCCCTTAATTTAATTCATTTAGTTGGCTTTGCCCACCAACCTGCGAAATATGGTTTACCTGCAGCGACTTTGGTCAAGACACCGAAATTATGCGCTACTATGTATAAAAAAAACGCAAAAGCGAAGATTGTAAGAACTGCTGATTAAATAAAGAAATGTTGAATAAGAGCTGTCGTCATTTCTGATTAAAGGTTTTTCAGTTTTTTAAATTTAGTATAAAAAAATGTAGAACGTGCATTTTCTTTATTTATGATTCAGTAATAGTGGGGGTCTGAGTGGAAGGGTCTGGTGGGCCAGGTGTGGCCCGCGGACCACCGGTTGACATTCGCTGCTCTAGGATCACCATGACCTGGACGACTGAGAACCCTCACCGTCACGCCCACCTGCGGACCTACCTCGGCATCTACCTTTGGGTCCAACGTTCTACCGTGGTTGGGTTCTGTGTGGATCACGGAGTAACGCAGGAATGTGAGAAAATATCGATGCGCTGAAATGTTGCGATATTTCATGCGAGGATACAGAATAAATATTTGATGTGTTGATCTGTTATTTAGAATTTACATGCCAACATTTACGGTTTTTCTTTCGTGTGGCGTAATTCAGACTCCGACCACTAGGTGGCAGCAGCGTTTACTGCCTTCGCTTTTCGACCTAATTTCCTAAAAATCTGGATTTCAGTTTCGTGATTTATCGTATTTATGGAAGTCCATTCCCGCCACTCAGATAAAAAATAAATTATCTCATAATTACGACTTGCTAATTATGAGATAATTTTTTTTTATCTGAGTGGCGGGAATGGGCTTCCATACATATCGTTCCACGTGAATTGTGATTTCACCAAATTCTTGCCCTAGTGTACCTTCACGGTCTCTGTTTTCTACCTCAGGTGTTAACTATTTACCTGCTGACGTTTGAAAACACCTTGAGCTTCTCTCCTGTCTGGGAAAAGGTGGTACAGTCCAGTCAGACCCGTGCATGATGGCAGATTTATTGTTAGTGATGACTCAGCATCTTTAACACACACCTGCGTACTTGTGGTCAATAAAAAACGTTTTAAATGCCTCATTTGTGACACAAAGAAACTTAAACAGCGTAACGCTGATATTTATCTCAAGATGTCACCTGGATTCACCTGGAGGTCACTTGAGATGCAGCAGAATTAGCAGGAAGCACAGGTGAGCTGACGTCAGACAGGAGGCGGGGCCAAGCTAGACAAAACACACTTAATCGTGCTCAGCCAATGAGAAGCCAGCTGTATGTACACCTGGTTCAGGTTAATTAATATGCAGGTACAGCCAGGCCGACACCTTCAGCCTGGTTGGGTGGTGAGAGGTCTTTTCCTTTATTGTGATTGGTTGGCATCTCGGAAGCCCTCACATGTGATCTGGTACTGGACGGTGGCAGCCATGTGACATGGGGATTTAAGGATGGATGCCAGCCGTTGTGTCCTGTCCCAATGCAGGAGGAGTCTAATTGTGGGGGCGTGGCCCCAGAGGTCTCCAAGGGCTGGCACCAGATGTGACTGGTCGCCTCGCAGCCGGGTGGTCATGTGGTTGGTCACCACCACCGCCATGTTGTGACTCGTAGCAATGCTGATGAGCTGTTGGCTGAGGCCTTGGAGGAGGCGTGTCCTCTGTGACAAATCATCAAACAGCTGCAGGAATGGGAACGCTACACTGTCAATGACAAGGAGGCGGACCCTCGGCCAGTCCCGTAAGAAGTCGGGCAGCAGGTGGAGCTCAGCCATCAGCTCCACAAAGTCGTGACAACGCACCTGGGGCAGACATGACAGACAGCCAATCAGAACCATCGTAACCTGTTGCCACGTTACCATGACATTAGGAAGCTTAACTAGAGTTAATGATGACTGAACGTAAAGCATCCCACAGGAAGTAGTTTTATCTGAGCCATTAGAATAGTGATGGCTCAGGGTTAAAGGTCAGGTTTTAAGACTCAAAGGTCTCCCTTTAATACAGTACCAAGAAGATGTTGGATAGAATGGTCTCCACAGTGAAGGTTGTCATGGCAACTCGTTGCTCCTCATCCTCAGCCAGCAGAGAGCAGTGTCTGATGGTGGCGGTGGCTATGTCAACTACTCTCTGAGGTAGGAAGCTGCCCTCTGTGTCATAAAAGATCACCTGACCTTCGACCCCGCCAAAACACAGAGGCACCTGGACGTCCACAGCCAGCTGGAGGCTGAAGAGAAAACAACAGACCAAAGTCATCCACATCTACAGCGTGTGTGTGTGTGTGTGTGTGTGTGTGTGTGTGTGTGTGTGTGTGTGTGTGTCTGACCACAGCTGTGTTTTTCCAACTCCTGGAACTCCACAGATTTCAGTAGTCTTGCCAACAGGAAGTCCTCCATCGAGAGCTCCGTCCAGCTGTGAGCAGAACGTCACGATGCTCCTCAGTTCCTCCTCCTTTTTTAGGAGCTCCAGACCAGTCAGAGAGACTCTGTCTCCATGTATCCTCACAGCCTGCAGCACCTCCCGAGCCTCCTGCTGGGACACACCAGCATCTGCAACAGAACAACCCCATCAGAGACCAGGAGCTCATCACGTGGACCTCCAGCTCCTGCTGGAAATCTGATGTAGTGCTGACGAGGACTTGTTGACTTTTGAACAGTGTGTTGAGATGACATCATTGTAAATAAAGTTAACAGCTGATCCCAGCAGAGCTGAAGAGGGTCTGCGTGGGCTCAGTGCGCATGCGTAATGCCACAACTGTTTAATAGACAGGTGCTGGCCAGTAAATTAGAATATCATCAAAAGGTTGAAAATATTTCAGTAATTCCATTCAAAACGTGAAACTTGTACATTATATTCATGCAATGCACACAGACCAATGTATTTCCAATGTTCATTACATTTAAATTTGATATTCATAAGTGACAACTAATGAAAACTCCAAATTTGGTATCTCAAAAAATTAGAATATTCTGAAAAGGCTGAATATAGAAGACACCTGCTGCCACTCTAATCAGCTGATTTACTCAAAACACCTGCAAAGGCCTTTAAAAGGTCCCTCAGTCTTGTTTTGAAGGCACCACAATCATGGGGAAGACTTCTGACTTAACAGCTGTCCAAAAGACAATCATTGACACCTTGCACAAGGAGGGCAAGACACAAAAGGTGATTGCTAAAGAAGCTGGCTGTTCGCAGAGCTCTGTGTCCAAGCACATTAACAGACAGGCGAAGGGACGGAAAAAATGTGGTAGAAAAAAGTGTACAAGCTCTAGGGATAACCGCACCCTGCAGAGAATTGTGACGACAAACCCATTCAAAAATGTGGGGGAGATCCACAAAGAGTGGACTGCAGCTGGAGTCAGCGCTTCAAGAACCACCACGAGGAGACTCATGAAAGACATGGGATTCAGGTGTCGCATTCCGTGTGTCAAGCCACTCTTGAACAAGAAACAGCGCAAGAAGCGTCTCGCCTGGGCCAAGGACAAAAAGGACTGGACTGATGCTGAGTGGTCCAAAGTTATGTTTTCTGATGAAAGCAAGTTCTGCATTTCCTTTGGAAATCAAGGACCCAGAGTCTGGAGGAAGAGCGGAGAAGCACAGAATCCACGTTGCATGAGGTCCAGTGTAAAGTTTCCACCGTCAGTGATGGTGTGGGGTGCCATGTCATCTGCCGGTGTTGGCCCACTCTGTTTCCTGAGGTCCAGGGTCAATGCAGCCGTCTACCAGGAAGTTTTAGAGCACTTCATGCTTCCTGCTGCTGACCAACTTTATGGGGATGCAGACTTCACCTTTCAACAGGACCTGGCACCTGCACACAGTGCCAAAACCACCAGCACCTGGTTCAAGGACCATGGTATCCCTGTCCTTGATTGGCCAGCAAACTCGCCTGACCTTAACCCCATAGAAAATCTATGGGGTATTGTGAAGCGGAGGATGCAATACGCTAGACCCAACAATGCAGAGGAGCTGAAGACGACTATCAGAGCAACCTGGGCTCTCATAACACCTGAGCAGTGCCACAGACTGATCGAGTCCATGCCACGCCGCATTACTGCAGTTATTGAGGCAAAAGGAGCCCCGACTAAGTATTGAGTGCTATACATGCACATTCTTTTCATGTTCATTCTTTTCAGTTGGCCAACATTAGAGAAACAAACATTTTTTCATTGGCCTTTAGAATATTCTAATTTTCTGAGATACCAGATTTGATGTTTTCATTGGTTGTCACCTATAAATATCAAAATTAAACGTAATAAACATCGGAAATACATTGGTCTGTGTGCATTGCATGAATATAATGTACAAGTTTCACGTTTTGAATGGAATTACTGAAATATTTTCAACCTTTTGATGATATTCTAATTTACTGGCCAGCACCTGTAGACAGGTGTAAAACAATCATGAGTGGCAGATTTGTGAAGATCATCAACGCCGAACTGCTGCTCAGAGCGGTGTGAAGACTTAATATAGTTCCGGGTCACGTGACTCCAGCTGCAGCGCGGAATTCCGTTAATCTGTGATTTTATAACCGAAGTTCGGCGCAGTGCCGTTTACGGGAGACTAAACTGGTACCTCTGGTGAGCTGCAGCGGGCTGAGGTCCACTAGGTCTGAAGTAAACTGGAAACCAGCTTGGACAAGTTTCACTTTCAAACTGGGGCTCAGTTTTAAACTGAAGATCGGTCTCCTCATCATCACTGCTCTCCCAGCATGCCTTTCGACCCGCACCAGTTCCGCTTTGGTCTTTCAAAATAAGAGTCTTGGCGTTTGCCTGGTTTCGGGTGAAAGGATCTGTCACATAGACTGTACATACTGTCATAGTGATGGGAATTCCGGCTCTTTTTAGAGAGCCGGTTCTTTTGGCTCAGCTCACCAAAAAGAGCCGGCTCTTTCGGCTCCCAAGTGGCTCCTCAGATTTTCTGTTGCGTAGAGTACATTTATAACCAAAATAATGCTAAACTATATGTAAAATAATTTACTAATGTAAAAAAAGAAATATATCAAATGTTTATAATTTCTATGGATTTAATAACTGAACACTTTAACAAATCTCCACTTTCCGACTGCTGGCGCTCATTTTCTCACCGTCTTCGTCGCACTCTCCTCCCTCTCGCTCGCCTTTTTCCTCCTCCTCATTCCTGTCTCCCTCCACTGGCATGTGCTCTGCTGTGTATCTGTCTGAGTCTGATCCTACCTCTTCCCCGCCCCTACTGCTCTGTGTGTGGACAGTCTGGACACACAGTTACACATGTTGACCAATTGCCTGTAGCTTTCACCAAGGCAGGGGGGGGGAGGGGGGAGGGGAGGGGACGGCTCCCAATGACGAGCCGGCTCCCGTCGTTCACTTCAAAGAGCCGGCTCTTAGAGCCGGTTCGTTCGCGACCGACACATCACTAATCTGTCATAGTTCTCAGAGTGTTTGCTATTTATCTGTGGACATGGTGTGAGCATAACGGTGCTCAAGCTAAAACCAGAAAAACATTCATCTCTTACATTTTACACACTTTCATTTGAACTGCTTGGTGATTCCAGTGAACTTCTTTCTGTCCTGCTGGTGTGATCAGGTTTCAGATAGGAATCAGAAAGGTGAAATTTCCAATATAACACAAGTATCTATCTGAACATGATTACATTGCCATGGTTACAGAAACCTTGCTCTAGATCACTATGGAAAGACTTTGCTCTAGATCACCATGGTAACAGAGACTTTGCTCTCGATCACCATGGTAACAGAGACTTTGCTCTAGTCTAGACCACCATGGTAACAGATGTTAATCGTCTAACTTTATAAATTATTTCCTTATTTTCCCAAGAAGGCAAAAACAAAGATTAGAATTTTCAAATTCAATGAGATGCTAACATGTTCTCTTCTAAACGTTTTAACACAGACCTGTGAAAGACCTGACCTGAGAAACAGTCAGAACATCGCTGGTTTAACAGATCCAGAGTGTTGTTCCAGCTTGCCGCCACTGGAGGGCGTTTATTCTCCTCGTAATTTCCAAAAAAATCTAATGAAAACTCTGTTTTAGCGCTATAGCTAGCTAGGTTTAGCCCTTTTAACCCATACACCCATTGTGTTTACGCTCTTACATATATACAAGTTTATTAGTCTCTTTTTAGCTAAATAATAAATAAAACAACGACTGATAGAATGAGCCTGTAGCCTTTTATTTTGAAATAATTTACATGAAGTGTTGTAACAATTTACATTATAAATGTCCCTCTTCTACTTCTCCAACTCTTCCTTTTTCCTCCTTAAAAATAATACTCCCAAGAGAAAACAAACAAAAATCAGGATTTATTTTTAGCCTCACTGAGATGAGAGGCTAATATGTAGTTCCGGTTTCTCGCCACTGGAGGGCACCAGATCTCCCCTTCTCTTCTAAATGATTCGTGTAAAGAAAACCAAACCAGAGGGATCAAACTTCCTGCTAACCGAGAACAGGCGTCTACACCCGCGCTGGAGTTTAGAAACAGCGAGTAAAGCTCTGCAGTGTTTCTGAAAATAAATAAATAAAAACCAAGAACAGGAAGTTCGTCATTTTACCGACGTTTTGGCATTTTAAAAATACGTCATTTAGAAGCGACGGCGGTCGCGCGTGAATTCGGCAAAGCTGTTCAGGAATCGATCTAAGGCCATTTAATCAGGTTTGTGGCTCCGATCAGAATTCCAAACGGATAAATAATCGATAGAAAGGTCAGAAGCAGGTGGAGAATAACGTCAGGGACGGAAGCTGGGTGGAAGTTGGTGTTTCTGTTGTGAACAGCGTGTGTTTACCCTTTAGCCATCTTTGTTGTTCTCTGAGATTAAGTTCTGCAGGAAACTTCATAAACCAGACTCAGCGTGTATAAGGACCAGCTTTCTCTGAGGCTTTGAGGTGAATTTGGGGCTGATGGACCGTGGTGTCCTCCTGTCACTGACTCCAGATCAGTGAACAGCACCCGGAATAGGTTCTGCTCACACCTGGTTAAAAGGACGTGATTGTAGCTGTTTGCCAGTACCACCCTACAGTTATTCACACTTTTGTTTTCCCCTGGTTCTCATGTTTTCCTCATCTGTTCCTAAAACCATTCATTTGAAATAAACAAATCACATTTGTCTGTAGTGATCCAGGAAATGAAGAAGGAAGAAGAGGAGGAGGAGCAGAGGAGGACTTCAGCTCAAAGCCCAGCAGAGAACGAAACCGCTAAAGACAGAAGAGATGATGAGGATGAGGATGAAGATGAAGAGCAGGCATCCGAAGAACAAGATAATTGTGATGGTGCAATAAAGAAGGACAAGCGTGTTCCTGGTATCATTTACCTGGGTCACATTCCTCCGAGGTTCCGACCCAAACACCTGAGGAACATGTTGTCGGCGTACGGAGAGATCGGACGCATCTTCCTGCAGCCTGAAGGTACGACGGCCCGGTTCTACAGCCGGGTTCTATTAAGGTTCCGTAAGGTTTTTTTCTAGAGCTTCAGTCATCGTTAACGTTGGCAGAGTTACTCGTCTAAACAACATCAGGATGTCTGATGGCTCTAAATGCGATTAATAAGAAATAAAATCAGTCAAACCAGGACTGACCGGGTTCTGAGAGGACCGGAAAGAGACGGGACCAGTCGTCCCTCAGCAGCATAACTAAAGGGATGAGTCAGAATAATTCAGAAGTAGTTAAATTCAGTTCTGGGTCTAAGGAAGCGGTTGAAGTCTCCTGTGTGGGAATATTTTAGATCTATTCCCACACAGGAGAATTCAGCTGCTTCCTTGGTGGAAATGGAGCCGTCCCGATGGTTCTGGTTCTGCTGCGTGAGCACGTTCAGTCTCACGTTTGTCTTTGGCCGTGCGGGTCGCGCTATTGTCTTTTTGTTCTTTACTGGTGGTGTTGGAGACGTCTTAATGGAGGTGAACCAGGGTCAGTATCCAGCATGTTTTTGTTGTTTCCTGCTTTAACCAGCAGGTGATTAAAAGGCTTCTGCAGAGCCAGATGAGCTGCTGAACAGGTGATGGAGCAGGGAAACAACAAAAACGTGCTGCTTTAGAACATCCTAATCATAGAGAGTTACAATAATCCGGCCTGGAAGTGAGAAGTGCATGGCTGAGTTTATCGGGACCGCCGTGGGCCAGGATGGTGTCGGCAGCATCCCGCAGATGGAAGAAGGTGGTCCTGGTGAAAGGGGCTGATCACGGTCCAGAAGAACTCCAAGGTTCCTAAGGAGCTCAGGTCTGAGTTAAACAACAGAAAAGTTAACGTCTCTCCAGTGACAGAGCGAGGTTCTGCAGTCAGGTACTAGATCCAGTGGGTCAGGAGGAACCGACCTCTGACTTGTGGGATGTGTCGATCTTCCAGACCACCAGGTGAGGAGGAAGAAGAAGAAGTCTGGCTCGAGGAGGTTGGACTTCACTGAAGGATGGGTGGAGTTCAGAGACAAGCGAGTGGCAAAGAGGGTGGCTCTGTCGCTCCACAACACACCTATGGGAACCCACAAAAGGCAGAGGTTCTTCTCCGACTTGTGGAACATGAAGGTAACGTCTCCTCCTGCTTGTTTTCCTTCACTATTCCTGGGAAGTCCTGATGGGATTTCACAGCGGATGAAATGCGTAGAAAGGCTGAAACTGCTCTCCAGACGTTCCAGCTGTGGCGGTAGCTCCTGTTGGTTTTTCTGACTCCTCCCACCAGCTGCGGAAGGTCCTGGTGATGCATCAGGTGATCACTCAGGCTCTCCCATCTGTGTGTCTGTGTCAAGTACCTGCACAGGTTCCAGTGGACTCACCTGAGTGAGCGGCTGGCCTACGAGCAGACGGTGCTGCAGCAGCGACTCCGAGCTGAAGTTTCTCAGGCTAAGAGGGAAACAAACTTTTACCTGAACAACGTGGAGAAGAGCGTTCGTCTGGACAAGCGGAGGAAGCGGCGGAAGGACGGTGAACAGGTAAACACAACTCTCATCCGGGCACCTTTGGCGACACTTTTTATTGTTAAACATTTATTCTCAGGTGAGCGAGAAGAGCTGGGACTTCACTCAGCGTCAAACAGAAGAGGAGATCCAGAAGAAGAAAAGAGCCTCCAAGACTGGGCAGCACCTGAAGAAGGCACACCTGATAGAGCAGAAGAGCCAATCAAACGTCTCGCTGTTGGCCAAGATTTTTAACTCCAGCAAATCGGAGTAGCTTCAAACCCCCGTTGGGGTTTCCTCCAGATATCTACATGAACTGACCTCAACGCCTTCATCTCCGGCCAGTCGTGTGGTCAGAAGTGGAAGGAGGAGCTGCACCTTCTGCTCTTGAATGACTAAATGGAATTTTTCCACTTTGTATGTTTAACGTCGTCAATAAACATTTTCTGCTTTATTTTGATGGAACATCATCAAATTTAGCAGCTTTCCTGCAGAAGAAACCCAGTTTCAGCGTTGTGATGTTTCTCTGTGTGAAGGAAATAAAAGGTTCTTACTTATGACAGAGTCCTGCTGAGAGTCCATGTAAAGAACCCTATGTGGGTAGAAACGGGATGTTTGAGGGCTTCTAGGGGAGCTGGTCACCCTTTCGGGGGAGTTGGGCTCCCCTTCGCTCCCCCCTAATTCCACCCATGGAGGCAACCCCAGTTTATTTTATTTTATTTAAAAACTCAACGAAACAAATAAAACCGGAGCAGCCTCGGGAGGAGGTGCGACTGTTGATGTTTTACAAGCTCAAGCATCAAAAGCGGCCGACACCCGTGACGTCACGACGCAGCGGTGAAGCAGCAACATGGCGGCAGATTACTGGGAGATGGAGCAACCCCGGACTTGTTCAGACTGAACCGAACCACGGACGATCCGGTAGGCTGGGTCCGACCGTGACGGACCGGGCTCCACGCTGCCGGTGAGTAGTAACCCCCCGCTGAGTGCGCCGGTAACCGCCTCACCTAACGGAGCCCTGCAGGAAATACACGGAGCCCGATGCAGGCGAACGGGACGTAGACGGAGACGCACGCTAGCTGTGGGGAGAAGATCACGCAGCGTGCACGGCCAGGCTGCGTGGTTCTGCTGGAGGATGCTGGTCCGAAACCCAGCGGATCCATGGAGACCCAACCCATCCCTGACTGGAAACTTCACCCAGGAGTCTCCCATCTCCAGTCGTGGAGGAGAGGCTCTGCATCAGCTGCTCCAGCACACCTGGTGGAGCCTCCACCAGGTGTGCTGGAGCAGGCGAAACATCTAGGATGGTGGCCTCTGGGCCCTGAGCCAGACTCTGGGACCTTGACCTCCAAATGACCTGCAGACCTTCCTTTCACTTGACTTTGGACCCAAGGACGTTATTTTGGGGGGTTGCGGGGGGGACAAGTCCTCCCCATGTCCTTTTTAGGCAGTTTGGATCCATTTATAGTTTCTACAGATTTTTACTGAAATGAGGAAAAATGTCTTATTTTTATTTTAATGAAGTCTAGTGAACATTTAAATGTTAGTGTGAACGGTGAGATGGTTGTGGAGGAGCATACATGAGGATCTGTCCGCGTGGAGCAGAGCCGGCGTTCGGACTATCCGTTCTTCCTGGTCGAATATTCCTACCGCAGCGTGTTACGACCGTTCCACTCCTGTTTACGGTGTAGTAACGTGCTTATTAAGCGCGGTTTATTTTAAATCATGCATAAAAATACATAAGAAACGGTGTTTGTGGTGATTTATTTATTAAAATAGACTGCGTTTGTCATGATTTCATGATTGACTGTAAGCAATGGGAGAAATTTCTTGTTTACAGTATAATAACGATATTAACAAGCTAAATGTCAGGTAAACATACAACAAGCAGTAATATAACAACTTCCCGAGGTAGCGCGTCTCTTCAGGTGACCAGCAGAAGTCGGTCTGCGCGTGTATCGACGGGTAGCACGGATAGTCGTAACACCGGCTCTAGGCTAGGTGGTCACCTAGGAAAGCAGATGCTCAGCTCAAGTAGATCACCGGGCTTAGACTGGTTCATGGTGGCAGGTTCTCCCGTCCTGTTGATGTTGCTGCTTTGTTTCCTGCAACTCGCCTGCAAACCAGCTGTAGCTGCACATACTGAAGTCATTATTGCCCGAATGGCAATGTGCCCCGGTGCAGCTGTGGCTACATTGTAGCTCATCACCACGTGATGAATGGATGAACAGTAGTGTAAAGCACTTTGGAGTCCTCTGCCTCAGAAAGACACTAGACAAGTGCTGGTCATTTATTATTTAACTTGGTCAATGATGAGATGGGGTTACCTTTCCAGGTGTTTGGTTTTCTCCAGGTGGGAAGCCCCTCCTTCCATCAGCATCACACCTTCATCACCACCGGTTGCTTTTCATGGAGCGGATGAGAAAAATCAAACGGCAGCTGTCAGTCACACGGGGAAGAGGCAGGCCTAGGGGTGAAGAGGGTAATGACATCACCAAGGAAGCGACATCACACAGCGACTCAGGCAAGTCTCATCTGTGGTTAGATCCCCCGGAATGATTTAGTAAATCTTTGTGAATGCCTGATCCGAAGGTACTGGTTACGTTTACATCAACAGCATGACCCTGATTCGCGTCGGCTCGACGTGGTGTGGGTGGTTTTTGATGCACCTGGGAAACATCTTTAGTGGCTGGGGTTGTGGGCGGACCCCAGAGTTCCAAAGGTGATTGTGGGCGACGGTGGCACAGGTGTTTAGTGCTCGCCCCGTAATCGGAAGGTTGCAGGTTCGAACCCCGCTCAGTCTGTCACTGTCGTTGTGTCCTTGGGCAAGACACTTAATATAACGATATAAGGTAGAAACGATATAAAATTGGGTAATGATAGAGTTTTTCCTATATCGCAATACCGCGATAACGCGACAACACATGACGTCACTAAGATGTGCAGATATTTAAAAGCATGTCATTTCTACATATAAACAGAGGAAAAAATATATCGCAATATATATCGTTACCGCACATGCTTCAGATTATATCGCAATATAGATTTGAGGCCCTATCGCCCAGCCCTAACTTAACCCACGTTGCCTGCTGGTGGTGGTCGGAGGGACGGTGGCGCCAGTGCTCGGCAGCCTCGCCTCTGTCAGTGCGCCCCAGGGCAGCTGTGGCTACATCGTAGCTCATCCCCACCAGCGTGTGAATGTGTGTGTGAATGATTGTGTTGTAAAGCGCCTTGGGGGGTTCTAGGACTCTATAAGGCGCTATATCAAATACAGGCCATTTTATCTGTACTCAACGCAAAAATGACGCAACAATGTCAAACGTGGTAGCATTGAAAAGAAGAAGAGGCCCAGAAAGGTTGAAGACTCTGGAGCGACCAGTAACCCCCGCCCTGTAGCCAACCAGTGACTCCACCCTCTAGCCCATCAATGACTCTTCTCGCTTGCCGACCTTTGGCTGATAGTCTCTCATGTCACATTTGCAGCTTGTTACGCCCAGGACCACTTCAAGGCAAGTACCTACCTAATTGTAATGGAAATGCCTTGGAGCTGAGCCGAACCGAGTCAAGCTGAGCTGAGTAGGTACTGGTGGACGGTACATGTGCAGGCCTAGAGCCAAGTGCTCTGTTGGGAACATCTGGAACCAGCAGTTCTCCAGTAGAAGAAGCTTGACCTTTTAGAGCTTTAGGAGTTAGAATTGTGACGTTAGATTCAGTTCTGGAGTCGAAGAGGTGCTAAACTGGAGGAATCTTCTAACTCAGCCGCTTTCTCGATACGCGTAAAAATGGAAATGTGTCCAGCGATTCTAATATTTTGACCCAGTGGAAGCATAAAGGAAAGAATATTGGACCAAACGCTAAACCCTGAGGGACACCACCACTAAATTTGATGAAAGTGTGAATGTTCATTATTAACTTGAAATAACTAAATTCTGTAATTATATTAAAACACTAAAATAGCCTTGAGCTCTGGACAACCCGTAGCAGCAGCAAAAAGGTTTTCCTCTGCAGGTCGGTACAACCACGCTCCGTTGTCGCCCCGGCAGGTCTACCATTGGTCCCAACAGTTTTCTGTCTTACCAATCACAACGTTCTGTTTGTTGGGCGGGCTCAGCACCAGAGCCGTGACAACAAAAAAACTTCAAAGATGGCGTCGGCTCAGAAACAGTGCTAGTTGGAAACGTCTTTGGCATCAGCCTTGAACAATTTACCCTTGAGTTTTTCTTCGAGTCGAGAGCAGACGTCCTTGTCTGGTCTGACTCCAGAAGAAGGACGTGGTATTTGCGTCTTTGACCGCGTCTGTTTGACGGCCTTGTTTACTGATGTCCACAGCGATTATTACTTCACGTTCAGTCCTCTGATTGGTCCTGCCGCATGCCAAAAAAGCTTGGAAGTCACGGCTGGGTTCTTGCAAGGGGGCGTGGCCAGACTATATTATCATTTACAGGGTGGCTCGCCAGGCTACCAAAGAGGAATCTGGGGTAACGAACATTAAAAACATGGTTTGATGGATGGCTGGATTCATTTCATTCAAGCTGCCTGGTTGCTCATTTATTAGACTTGTTAATCTACATCGTGCATTCTATATTCCATCTCCTTCTTCCTTCTATCAATTCATCGTCCATCAGAGATGCCATCTCTTCAGTCCTCTGCAGCGCTGAAGGCCCGAGCATCAGCCTCTTCAGTTCAGTCGCTGCTGCAGACATATAGCAGGAAGCCAAGAGGCCTGGGACGCAGCCTGAGCTCTTACTTGAACCACGCCACCAGACTGGGTACGTCCGGCGCAAACACGACGCGTTTCATCCACCACATTGCTGCAGCTACACAGATCGGCCTTGTCGCAAATTAGGATGCTTGCAAAAAGGAAACGTCTCAGTTGTCCATAAATAATCTGTCTCAGCACGCGTGGACACACTTGCAACGTTGTACTTGTGTTTTATACGTGTGTGTGTGTGACTCTAAAAGTGTGTTTTCAGAAATAGTGCATGAAGATGCGAAGATGAACTCTGATGGAGAAAGTGATCTGGCTTCTTCTTCAGATGATGTTCAGAGCCCAGTGCGAGTACGACTGAGGAACAAAAAGATTTCCACTGAGGTACTGCTCCTTAGTGCACCTGTCATGCACCTGCAACACACCATGTGGTAGACTTGTACACACCTTCAACAAAGAGTCACGTAAAACGAGTATTTTCTATCTTTTGTAGGTTTTTTGAGATTGCTCTGACTGTTAGCCGAGTTTTGGGAAGATTCAGTCGATATGGAGGAAAAAAACATAAGATGGCAAGATTCGTGGCGTCACTAATGCAGACGGAAGATATTTTCAACTTTAGGCGTCACAGAAGTGCTTGAAACAATCAAAACAGATTCCCATCGCAGCATCGTGGCATCATTTTTGACCAGGACGGCGTATCTGATAGGGATGGACAATATATCGCCATCAGTGTCGGTGTTGGCCGATGTTAGTCATTTTTTTACATATCGGTATCGGCTCGATAAATAAAACCGAGCCGATATAAACAACCAATATTTTTTCCATCTCGTCTCCATTTGTTTGCCTGTTTCAGAGGGTGGGGGGGGGTGTAATCGTTTAGTCATGCGAACAGTGAATGAAATCATCTCAGAACCATAAATGCGTGTGTTGTATGTGTACATAATGACGTAAATTCAGCTTAATTAATTTCATTCAATACAAAATCTGCAGATTTTAGAAGCATTGATGTCAGTATATCGATATCGGCAAATATCGATTATCGGCCATAACAGTGATCTTAATATCGGATATCGATATCGGCCCCAAAATTCCATATCGGTGCATCACTAGTATCTGATGCATCTCACTATCCAGGAACAGTCCACAGGGTGTTGAAGAGGGTTAGGCTTTGGAGCGCGTCTGTCAGCGCTGTACGTCTGAGACCGGTGCAGGTGAACCGCTGATGCACCAGGAGCAGGTGCAAAGAGATTTCCTCCCGCTGAAGCTTTCAGGATCAGGAAACCCCTCGTTCACGGAGTGTTTGCTGACTTCTTCCTGGTTACACGTGCAGCCCCTGAGCTGGGGCACAGCATTCCGGGGACAGTTTTAATTCAGTTTGTTGTCATGGTAACGGTTCTCCTGCAGTGACGGCGCACCGGTGTGACCTTCCGTGACCAGAGTGAATGTGAAGACCCACCGGGATTCAAGTGCTTTGTAATCGTGTGTCTTACAGGACATCAACAAACGTTTGTCCTTACCAGCCGACATTCGTCTTCCTGATGATTACCTGGAGAAGTTTAGTGTGATTGGTCCAGCTTTGTTGGAGCAGCCAATCAGCAGGCGGCTCCGCAGAGTGTCTCTGGTACGTTGGCTTGGCTCAGTGGTTACGCTCGTTCATTTTCTCGTTCGCTAAGCTCAGGGTTGTGTTTGTCTGCAGTCGGAGATTGGCTTCGGGAAGTTGGAGACGTACATCAAACTGGACAAACTGGGAGAGGTAAGTGATCCGCAAATGTCTGCTGATGTTCCAGCCTTCAGAACCACCATGTCAGGTTTTTAGAGCCCCGGTTCACATTTGTAGTGGTCTCTGGAATAGACGAATGCCTTGTGAGTCGACGTCTGTGGGGAGAAAAGTTAAGGAAGTAGAAGTTAGCCAGAGCAGAGGTGAGCAGAACACGGCCGGATTTAGAGACTTATTTCCTGATATTCGGACATCTTGCCTGTGGTTGGTTTGTTCTGCAGCGTTGATGTTTTATCTCCACAAACAACTCTAGCCTGAAGGAGTTCTGCCATGTGGCACTACTAATGCTAATTGTTAGCTTCTGCTAGCCAAGACAAGTTCTTCCCCGTCACAGATGGGTCCACGAACGCTAACTTTCAGTGTGACTGAGGTCTGAGTGGCTTTCCTAACTCGTTTATTTTCTATCGGCGGCGAATGCAGGAATTTGGGGTAGACGACTATTTTCACGTTTACCGCAAAGCGAACGATAAACAACGATTTCCCTGTGAACTTTTTCTGTAATGTATTATGCAGGAGGGGTCATTAAAAAGTTTGTCTTTGTTGAGACAAGTGGGCGTGGCCTTTGTCAGGTGATGCAGAATCTTCCGGGATCGCAGAGCTACGTTTTTCGCCGTGGGAGTAATGGTTAGGCGTTATTAGCCAAACCGTATTTACTGTTACGTTAGCTCCCCCTAGGTGCTGAGGTATGAAGCTGAGTAGTGATATTTTTTTTCAATCATTTGGCCATATCAGAGTTTCTGGTTCTTCTCCCCAACGAGGACGTCATCTTTCCACTTTGTGGCCAATGGTCACGACCACAGGTTCATTACCGTTCAAAAGCACAATGGTACATCACACCAATAATCCACATAAGGCAATGTGAATTAGGGATAGGGATGCAGCGATACGATACTGGTATCGGTATCGGCCCAATACCAGTATCGTATCAGTAAAACTTAACCGATACCAATGCAGTTGCTTGAAAATGGCTTGACTGTAACTTGTCATTTCTGTCCACCTAATATTTTAGTTTTGTGATGATTTCTATTCATATATTTTACTTTTTATCTACCTCGCAGTCTTTTCCTGTTGAAAGCAGAGAAGAAAATAAAACCTGTATTGTACTGGTAATCGGTATCGGCGAGTAATCAAATCAAAGTATCGGTATCGTATCGGTTTGAAAAAAGTGGTATCATTGCACTTGCATCCCTAATTAGGGATGGACAATACATCAGCATCGATATCGGCCTGTGTTAGTCATTTTATAACATCGGTATCAGTTCGCTAAATGAAACCAGGCCGATATTAACAACCAATATTCTTTCCATCTCAAATCCATTTGTTGGCCCTTTTTCAGAAGGTGAGGGGGGTGATGTGTAATTGTTTAGTCATGTTAACAGTGAATGAAATCATCTCAGAACCGTAAATGTGTGTGGTGTGTGTGTGTGTACATAATAACGTAAATTCAGCTTTAATCATTTTCATTCTATTCAAAATCTGCTGATAATGTCAGAAAATCGGTTATCGGCCCAAACATTTCATATGATGCATCACTAATGTGAATAGTAAGAGTGAGTGGTGGGTTGGGAATTCATACCGGTTACTTACTTGTCACACCTGGATGTCTGCAGGGCACCTACGCTACGGTGTACAAAGGCTGCAGTAAACTGACTGAAAACCTCGTTGCTCTGAAGGAAATCCGACTAGAACACGAAGAAGGAGCTCCGTGTACGGCAATCAGAGAAGGTACTGGAGTACTACTATGGCAGTACATACACTAGTGGTACTGAAGCAGCGACTTTGGCCCTTAAGTGAATTATCTCAGGCATTTGGGACATAGACATACCAGAGTTTTTTTTTTTATGTTCCTCCTCCAAAGTTTTCACTTGTAACGGGGGCGGGGTCACGTCTGCTTTTATTCAACCAATCAGGACTGATGATTATCAGGTTGGAGTCAGGAATAAGTCATCATCTTCCACATCTGTGAAGGGATTCATATAAAGGATATGATAAAAATATTCTGTAGGAGTATTTATCGATTTATTTAAAGCAGCTCACAAGCAACAACGACCCAAATCACTCCCGGGACGGAGGGGAACGTCAGAGATTCACGTGACTCGTGAGTGTACCAAGCATGACTCAGAAACCTGCTCTCAGAGCTTAAAGGTCTCGTTCACTGAGACGCCGTGTAATACTTGCTGTGACTTTCACGTGCATCGCCTGCTGTAGAGCTCCGGACGTCACGTGACTCTCAGAGCGTAGACGCCATGTTGGCAGGCAACAAAGGTAAACAAAATGAACAGGATCGGCTTGGATTTTACTCCATCGGAGGTTACTTCACACTTGAAAACCGAAGAAATCGTTTTATATAGTCAGAAATTATTAGATAGAATGTATAAACTGAACGCCAAGAGAAATCACTAGTCTAATTTTTTTCTGTGAATAAAATAAATATGTCAGGCAGGAGCGTCTCAGGATCTGTCTGAGATCTGTCTCGGTGAGACAGATAATAGCAATCCAAAGTGATTTTTATGTGTGATCTGACAATTGATCAGCCATTGCTTAAAAATTAAATACAGCTTAGCCGGTTAATTGCTGTGATCATAAAACACGTAAACGGCAGCACGCAGAACTCACGAGGCAACGTTTTACTTGACGTTTACTTGTTGCTATGAGTAATAAGACAGAAAAAGCCACGCCAAAATAAGTTTAGGAAGCCCACTAAGAATCGTAATAAAAGCATTTAAAATAAATACCATACACAGTTGAGGAAACATTGGTTTAAGTACCTGATATGAAGAGGTCGCTGCATAAGCGAAAACCTTTACTCTCGGGATCCCACGGCTTCATTTTAGCCTGGAGGCTAGCGCGTTTCATTGCGATGATCCAACATTTGCGGCGTTCCGGATCTTGGGGAATCCTGTAGATGGCTCATCCCTTATCTCATCTGTTCTGCATCCTGGGGCACAACAGGAATCTACCATATTTACAGTTTGATTTTGTTTTCTGACAATAACAAATAGCCCAGCTGCGGGCTTCTGCCTGCCAATATGGCGCCGTTTCGATTTGAACTGTTGCATGCCGGGAGAAGTGACGTCAACTCCCGGAGCTCTATAGCTGTAGAAAGGACAGAAAAGGCCGGTGTCTTCTACACCACAGGCAAAATTAGCATTCGTGGCCCCGCCCACATTGGCTTCCGACTGCACACGGGAATTTAGACAGGAGTGCCTCTTAGGGTGTTTCTCAGTGTCAAATGTCAGGCGCCTTGGTTACGAGGACACTAAATGGAACAGACGTGCATCTCGTGACCGCGGCTCCGATCCACGTGGCACACACAGTCATATTTTATGCATACACGTTTCCATATAGATGTATAACGAGCCTTTTACTTATGTAATTGTGTATTTACTGGTTACTACCCGCTAGCCACTGAAGCTGCAACTGCTAAGCAACTAACCACGCACAGCTAACTGCTTTGGATCTAAAAAGCAATTCGTTGACTTACATTTAAAATGGAAATTTGCCCCTGAAGTAGCTGCTGGCTACTTCCATTTGAAGTATCCATTTGAAAGTACTGTGCTGTATTCTGTGCTAACGAATGGCTAACAGACGGTGGACGGACGCCTCTGCAGCACATGAACATCGGAGCACACCGTGGTGGAAACTGATGACGTATCTCCAAGGCGACCGGGGCAGGACCGAGGCGTCGAGGCTCTTGATTAGCAGAAGCAACTCTTCACCTCAGTGGGCGACGGTGGCACAGGAGTTAAGTGCTCGCCCCGTAATCGGAAGGTTGCAGGTTCGAGCCCCGCTCAGTTTGTCGCTGTCGTTGTGTCCATGGGCAAGACACTTAACCCACGTTGCCTGCTGGTGGTGGTCGGAGGGACCGGTGGCGCCTCTGTCAGTGCGCCCCAGGGCAGCTGTGGCTACAGTGTAGCTCATCCCCACCAGTGTGTGAATGGGTGAATGACTGATTGTGTTGTAAAGCGCCTTGGGGGGTTCCAGGACTCTAGAAGGTGCTATATCAAATACAGGCCATTTACCATTTACCATGTACCTCAGTCAAGCTTGTGTTTTCTGCGGAGATGATAATGTAAATGACCCGTCAGAGGACTCCAAAGCGCTTTACACTACAGCGAATCATTCACCCATTCACACACCGATGGCGATGAGCTGCATTGTAGCCACAGCTGCCCTTCTTGAGACGAGGCGCCACCGGTCCCTCCGACCACCACCAGAAGGCAAGGCGGGTAAGGTGCAGAATTATCTGTCCGTAACCGGGATCGAACCTGCAACCTTCCGATCACCGGGCAACCCGCTCTACTCCCTGAGCCTTTATGAAACGTCAGTGTTGCATCTTTACCCAAGAAAGAAGAGTGAATGACAGCAGTGGAAGAGTTGAAGTGCTGCTAGAGGAGCGCAGGAGGTTTTCTCCGTAGAAACGCGTGAATAAGAGGTGAAACATACCAAAACACCAGAGTTCACCTATTAAACGCTGAAGATGGTATGTTCTTGTCATTTGCACTCAGTGTCTCTGCTGAAGGATTTGAAACACGCCAACATCGTGACTCTTCACGACATCATCCACACGCAGAAGTCCCTCACGCTGGTGTTTGAGTATCTGGTGAGAAGACGCCACTCTACTCAAAAGTGCTTTTGATGTTTGGAAAAGTTGCAAACAGCCTCGCTTGTTTGACTCTACCTTTCAGGACAAAGATCTAAAACAGTATCTGGATGACTGTGGAAACACCATCCACATTCACAACGTCAAGGTACGTCCGGCTGTGGCTCTGGAGTTTAAAGAGCAAGTCACCCCCTACAAAAAATGTACTTCACTCCCACTTGTTGTTTGAAAAATGCAACAAATGCTGTTGCCTGGCAGACCGAGAGGGCGGAGCCGCTAACAAATACACACACACACAGGCTCACAATGGCATTGTGACATCATAATGTACCAGCTAACATCATAGCATACCTCTTAGCCAATAGCGGTGGCAGATTTACATTCAAATACAAAACAGAATTTTTCCCTGACGACGGCGCAACACTGACAGTTTTAGGCAGAATATTTAAATTTTAACTAAGATGCACTGAAGTGCCAAATTATTGATGACACATGTCTGCAGCACGATTAGACACTAGTTTATATAGTTTATCAGCAAAAAAAAGTTGATCTGGGGGTGACTTGCTCTTTAAAACCACAGCTTGTTATGTCACACGCACCGGGAAGTCTGCGCCGTCTACGTCCTGCTTCCCGTGTAAACAGTGATTAATGATGTAAAGGCCACAGAGTAGCGGTTCGTTCTCAGGAAAGCTGGTTTAACACCTCATCTCCCCCCCCCCCCCCCCCCACACACACACATACACACACTTAAACATGCATATCCCCACTTTTCTGTTTGTGGTAATGCTAACCGCAGAACAACGCTAGTCCGATATACTCCTATTGTCCTCGTCGGAGCACACACGTAACGTTCCAGGATGTACTGGGAATATCCAGACTTAATGAATTCCAGACAGATCCAGTCCTACGCAGTACGGTGCCTGTGCCACACACACACACACACACATGCGTGCGCCCTGGCCCAACCCTCTGACCTTTACACATTAAATCAGAATAAGCCACAACTGCTGCCACACCTCTTTGATTCACCTACTTCTGTTTCAAGCTGGACAACCTGAGCTCTTGTGTGTCTCCAGCTGTTTCTTTTCCAGCTGCTGCGAGGTTTGTCCTACTGTCACCGGAGGAAAGTTCTCCATCGAGACCTGAAACCTCAGAACCTGCTGATCAACGAGCGGGGGGAGCTCAAGCTGGCAGACTTCGGTTCGTTTCCTGCCGGGTGTCAGGTCGACTGTAACCCCGGTTTCACACTGCAAGCATCAGCGAAGCGGCGCCGCTTCAAATAGAATCCAGTTATAGTCTATGGAGTGTTTCAAACCAGCCGCGACAATTTTCCGGCGTGTCCCAGAAGCGGTTCGTGGAAGAAATAGAACTCGATCCTATCTTGCGCGGCGCGGCCGCGCAAGATAGGATCGAGTTCTATTTCTTCCACGAACCGCTTCTGGGACACGTCGATTTCCGCAGTTCACATAGTGCGAGACAGGAAACCACACATGCTTTCAGTGTAAAATCCCCGGTTATTTTCAAAATAAAATGCCACGTTGTTAAAACTTAGGTCAGCACGTGTGACTGAACGGCTTTGAGTCTTTCGAGAAGTGCAACGGTGTGATTCCCCGCGGGGGTTGCGATCTCTCGATGAGGAAGGTGTCGGACGTCTCGAGGGATCTTAGAATGTCGCGAGTACAGCGAGGAAGCCGCAACGTCACTCTCCCGGCGTGAAAAGGACCGCTTTTGAGCCGCTCCGTTGCCGCTCCGTTCCGCTGATGCTCGCAGTGTGGAAACCGGGGTGAGGATGGGTGGTGTGGATGCTAGGATGAGTATTTATGAATGAGTTTTTAGTATTTTCCGGGGACGTTTGTTGGACGGCAGCCTTTCAGTGAGAAGGTTGCCGGTTCAACACCTGTTAACATTTGCTCCCCGTGCATGAGTGGGCTTTCTCCAGGCACCTGCTCCAAAAACACACGAGCTAAACTTTTACCATCGCTGCTTTTCATCCCAATTCAACAGTTAAATCTGATATAAAAACTTTATTTGGTTTCTGCCAATTGCACCAAAACGCCCCTTGACCCTTGACCCATGGTGGGTGGCCAACATCAGCTGTGCGCCACCGTGCTGCGGTTAACTGGTCGTTAAGCGTGTTGTGAAACAGACTGAGTGATGTCATTGTGATGATGTAACGAAGGGGTGTGTCTTTCTTGCAGGTTTGGCTCGAGCAAAGTCCATCCCAACAAAGACGTACTCTAACGAGGTGGTGACTCTGTGGTACCGGCCGCCGGACATCCTGCTTGGCAGCACAGACTACTCCACTCACATCGACATGTGGTACTGGGCTGTAGTATCAAGTACTACGTAATACACACAGTCAGCCATTAAACGATGACTTCTGGGTCATTAACAGAACCTCCTGTGGTCTTTTACCATCTAAGAGCTAAACATCTAACTGTTTTGTCCTCTTGAGATGCGGGGTCTCTTCTTTCAGGGAGTCCTGGTTACCATGGTGACACAGTCACAGAGGGAAAGAGCAGATGTTGACGTGTGTGCACAGGATGAGGTAGAGCGTTGAGCGGTACCTGAGAGGCCTTTAAGCCCGGCTAGAGAGTGAAGAGTCGGCCTCATTCTGGAGATGATTTCAGACGTCTGGGGCAGAAAAGGAGAAGCAGGTTTTCTGAGGTTTCAGCATCCAGCAGCGTTTCTGGTGTCATCCCTGAAATGTTGGTAGGCCGGTTACCTAACGGCAGTTTTGCAGTAAATAGCGGCACACGTGTGTTTTTCTTCTGTGGTTTAGTGAAGACCGTCCCACGGTTTCATACAGGGTGCAGGTACGAGTGGGACTTTGTGGGTGAAGAAGAAACGGCTCAGTAGGCTGCTGACTGACACGTGCACGTGTTGTGATGGTTTATAAAAACATCAAAGGTCATAAATTTCACTGCAGGAGGCCTTTGAAACCAGTTTTGTGATTGATTACATGTTTACATCTAGCACCAGATGGTCGACTCAAGGACCTTCACACAGTAAACATCCCAATACAGGTCAGATCATTAAGCCAATCAGTAACAAGCTTCCTATATAAGGAACCCAACAGGTTGCATCGAGTCACTGACTCGTGTCAGAGTCTGTACAGCAATCCTCATACTGAGCAAGCATGTAGCGACAGTGGAGAGGAAAACTCCCTTTTAACAGGAAGAAACCTCCAGAGGATCCTGGCTCAGTATAAGCAGCCATCCTCCACGACTCACTGGGGATGGAGAAGACAGAGCAGACACACACACACACACACACACACACACACACACACACACACACACACACACACACACACACACACACACACACACACACACACACACACACACACACACACACACACACACACACATAGCAAGAAGTGTTTCTACGGCTGCATACATTGCGATTTCTTAGCAGACATTCCATTTCTTAACAAAATAAACATTATTGTCTTTATCTGCGTGAATCTGACGTTAATTCAACTTATGAACTAGTAGTAGCACATTCTGTGTTAAAGGAAATATATAGGTGTGTGTGTATGTTTAACTCATTTGCTGCCAGCGTTTCTTGCCGTTTTTACTGTTTTTTTAAGAGTTACAGAACGCTGCGCGCTAGGATGATGTTGACGCCAAAACAACCAAAACAAGGCGGAGACTCGCCTCTTACATCAGGAAGAATCCGTGCGTTTCGAGCGTTATCCGTTCTTTCGTAATCCGTTGTTGAATTGTGATCGGCAGAAGCTTTTCCGGTTCGCGCCTCACTTTTTTTACAGCAGCGGCCCAAAACGATCTCCTAACACATGGATGTTCTGCTTCCTGATCATGTGTCGCGTGACGTACGCGGATGACGATCGGCTTTAGAGCTGAGATGTTTGTTCTCACGGTGCGGGGGCTCGTCCGACATCCACACAGTAAAAACATTGGCAGTGAACGAGTTAATATCACATCTATATTTACTTTATTTTACGTCTTTATTCGGATACGTGTGAACGAAACTTTTATTCTGTCCTCCACCCACCTCTCTGTCTGTCCCCTTTAGGGGGGTCGGTTGTATCTTCTACGAGATGGTGACGGGTCGTCCTCTGTTTCCTGGATCTACAGTGGAGGAGGAGCTTCACTTTATTTTTAAACTTCTGGGTAAGCCAATCGTCATCTGTTTCATCATCACTGAGAGCCAATCAGCTCTCCCCATCCGTCGGTTTGAGCCGTGTGTACTTTGTGTGTAGGTACTCCAACTGAAAAGAGCTGGCCTGGGGTCAGTTCAAACAAGGACTTTGTGACCTTTAACTTCCCTCAGTACAGAGCTGAGAGACTGATCAAGCACACCCCCAGGTACCAGCACCTCCCTCTGGGTTCTAGTGTTCGTGTGTCATCACGCCGTGTTGTCGATGACCTGGAGGTTTGTTTGTTTCGTGTTCAGGCTCAGCACTGAAGGGGTGGAGCTGCTGTCGGCGTTCCTGCAGGTCAGTAAACGCCTCACCGTTTCTGTTTTATTGCTGGATGTTTGAAACGATTCTAAGATGAAGAAGCAAGTCTCTGTTGAACTTTAGTTTGAAGGGAAGAAGAGGAAGTCAGCAGAAGAGGCCATGAAACACAGCTACTTCAGTGATCTTGGAAACAGAGTGATGTCACTTCCTGACAGTAAGTATAAGCGCCCTCCGGCTCTCTGCTGGTGATGTCGTGGTTTTGATGTCAAACGTTTGCTCCGAACGTTTCAGCGTCGTCCATCTTTAGTCTGCCGGAGATTCAGCTTGAAAAGGAAGCTGCGAGGCCGACAGCCTGGCGCGACGCAGGTGAGTCCCACACGCAGGATGGAGTGTGTGAGGTTGTCACGGTAACACACACCTAACAACCAGACTCCTCTTCTGTCCGTTCTGACTGATCTGGAGTCGGAATTCCTTTGATCACGTCAGGAGGGATTTTCTCTTTTAGATGGGATGAGGTCAGATTCCCAGATCCTTTTATTCCTTTCATCACCTTGACTCATTTATCTTAAACCACACACACACACACACACACCTGTCATGTTTTCTTTTGTAACCTGATTCCCGATACTGACCCCCTGCTGCCTTCTTGGACCGGGTCACACATATGAGTGAGTTTTGGTCCAGAGGGGGACCGAAGGAATAAAAAAAAAACAGGAATTTGGGGATTTTAAGTACTAAAACGATGTAAAATGAATAAAAAGCCGCGTTGAATCCACGGAGCCTTTCCTGGTTCAGGTCAAACGTGACGGCATTCTCTGGTGGGCGGCTCTGTTTAGATGCGGTTGCTATGGTGACCGCAGGTATTGATGACTTCATCTCCAGGCAGAGAAACTCAGGGTTGACTTCCCTTTGTGACATCAGAGTTTCCTGCTCATGGCGGGTTAAGTCCGAGCTCACTGAGGGAACCAGAACTTCTATCTGGAAGGTCGTGTTGGTTTGTTGAACCACCTGAGGACTTCGTGCCCTCAGGTGTGTCTCACCCAAGCCGTCTGTGTGTTTACAGCCAGCAGTCCGCTGAGGAGGAGGAGCCAGCAGCTCCTACAGCCTCAGGAGGAGGAGTCAGCTGAAGGAGGCGCTAAAGGGAACTGACAGGACAGGAAGTGCTGTTTCATTCAGGATCCGGGACTACTGATGAGTCTAATCAGCTGCACGACCAATGAGAGAGCAGCACACGTTACAGATGATTCAATCTGGTTGCGTCTTCCATTTTCACTCTAGTGTAAAGACCCACAGCAGCAAGGTGTGTGACATCACCAGTGGTGTCACCTTGTTAGCCTCTGCAGGTAAAATCCCATTTTAATCTCCTGTCTAGATGTTTCTGCTCAGGACAAAATAATAGAACCACAGGACAGATCAATAAGTACGAAGCTTTTATAGACTGTAATCCGAGTCGCCAGGTGAAAGCGTCTCCCAGCTGGAGGGACAGGTGTCTTCCCAGGTGAGTACGTCTTATTAAAAGGCTGAAGAAGACTGTTTCCATTTACTCTTTAATGTTGGTCTTGTGGAACCTCCAAGGAGAAGCCATGTTCTGTGTTACTCTGGAAGTCTGAATACGTCGTGTTTTTCTGCATGAGTGTGTTCAACCTGGTAACGTGAACACGACCTGTACAGGATCCAGTAACCGTATTTATATCAGAAATACTGCAGTGGTCCCTCACACACACACACACACACACGGGTTAAGATGCTAGTCGCAGGCTTCAGCTGTTAAAAAACGACAGATTTTAATGTGTTTTAAATGCACACGAGTTAAAACGTTGGGAGGTTCTTTAAGGCTGACTCAGATGAAACCTGGATTATTTCCTAATCTGTAGAGCAAACCTTTACATAAATGTTTGTGTTAAAGAGCTGAAAAGTTTTCTGCACTGAATGAGCAAAGCAGTTCACACACACACACACACACACAGGTAATTCAACGTGCTTTCCGTTAGCGAGAATAGCGTGAACTCTAAAGTCGAGGTGACGGCACAATAAAGGTTGAATATGGAACACGAACACCAACGCGACATCTAGGTTGTGGTTGCAACAATAGAGCAAGGTTTCCAGCCGTCGGGATTCCAGGCTCTCCGCTGATAAATGTTTAATTTGGTCCGTCTGTTGCAGGCTTCGCCCAAACTCACCCTGGTTTTAGATCTTTTATGGTCGCTCCTCTTCTGAGAAGGTTAACGACGTCTTCTGGGCTCAGAAGCAGCTGCTTGACTTGTTTTCCACAGGGCCAGCCTCGCTGTGCCAGACTGTTACCAGCAACAGTGACCTCTACTGGCTGGTAGATGTAAACATAAACCCATCCAAATAAACGTTTGATTATTTTTCAGTTGAAGCTTTTGAATAAAAAACTGCACCTTCATTCTGCACACCTCCCTGTGGAGGGATTATATTTAGAAAAGACAGCTTTAATTGTTCCACAATCAACCTTTAAATGCACAAATTAATTTAAATCTAATCAAACACAAATTATTTCACATTTAAAGAGCAAGTCACTCCCAAATTACTTTTTTTCTGATAAACTACATAAATGCGTGTCTAATCGTGCTGCAGACACGTGTCGTCAATAGTTTTGCACTTTAGTGCATTTTAGTTCAAATTAAATCTTCTGCCTAAAACTGTCAGCGTTGTGCCGTTGTCAGGTAAAAACTCTGCACTGCATTTGAATTTAAATCTGCCATCGCTATTGGCTAAGAGGTACCCTAGAACGTTAGCTGGTACCATATGATGTCACAATGTCGTTGTGAGCCTGTGTGTGTGTGTATTTGTTAGCGGCTCCGCCCTCTCGGTCTGCTAGGCAACAGCATTTGTTGCCTTTTTCAAACAGGAAGTGGGAGTGGAGTAAGACTCTGGTAGGGGGTGACTTGCTCTTTAAGAATCAGAAAAAAAAAACAAAGTTAAAGGTTACGGTGCAGAAGGTGCAGCATCAGAACATTTATTCAAAGGCTGATTCTGATTTAAAAGTTTCTAGAGTCGGGGAACATCTGAGGTCACGAGGAAGCTGGTTCCATCTGTGAGCTGCATAGTAGCTCAAAGCAGCGTCACCCTGTTTGGTTCTGACCCGGTTCTACCAGCTGACTGTTTCCCAAGGACCTCAGAGTCCTGCTGGGCGTAGATACAGGAAGGAGATCCGACACGTATTCTGGCTCCATGCCACTGAGTGATTTATAAACTAGTAGGAGCACTTTAAGTTGGTTCTGTAGTTTACTGGTAACCAGTGCAGAGATGGAAGAACAGGAGTGATGTGCTCGGTTCTCTTGGTTCTTGTTAGCAGCAGCATTCTGAATAAGCTGCGGTTGCTTCACAGCTTTTTTGGGAAGACCAGTCAAAAGACCGCTGCAGTAGTCCAGCCGGCTGGAGAGCCCTTACAGGTCCCGCGTGAGCTGGGACGGGGGACGTTTAACACGAGAAGACAGCCGGTCAAACACCCGGGGACAACATAGCCAACCTGAAACAGGAGTACAGCTGGGATTCAAACCCGCAGCCTTTGTGCCGCATTTGTGTTTTCATTTTGTTCAACTTTAAAGAACACCCCAACTTTCCCGGGACTTAGTTGTAATTAACATCATTTAGGTTTGTTTTAGTTTACATTTCTTGTTTCTTTGCATGAAAACTTGGTTTTAATCTGCTGAGGGATGAGATGTGGAGGCGAGCCGCCGTCCTGGGCTGCAGACCAGTGCTAATGTGAATCAAACTGTTCTACTGAATGAAAAACAGCGATGCAAATGTAAAGGGAACCTTCCTCAGCTGCGATAACCGTCTCTGTATAAATGACTGTTGAATGTAACGACGAGCTGTTGATGTTTAGTTTAGAGCTTCTGGTTCCTGCTTCAGAACAGGTTCTGTTGCTCGTTTTCTTCTTCATGGAAACGAGCTGATCCAAGCGGGATGAAGTAGAACACGTCAGGGGTTAGAAAAGCCTCTTCAGAGGGTCTCGTTCACCGGAACAAACGCCGACATCTTCTCTTCGTTCAGACCAAACGGAGGGTTAGATGTTTAGTGACTCGGTGGAAAACCTCGACTATAAAATACAAGTCAGTTCTGTGACCTCAGGTCATTTTAACGCACCATAACAGTTCAGCTCCTGATCGTTTTTGACCTGTAAAACTATTATGGTCAGAAAAAAATAACGTTTGGCTTTATAACTAGACTGAAGCTTTGCTAATAGTTTTTTTTTTTTTTGAACAGAGATGAAGATTTTTTGTTTTGTTGAGACTAAACCAAAGTTTTCTGCAAAATACTCAACTGCATGATGGGATTATTCTGTGAATTTATCTTTAGTCTATTAATCTTCCATTTGCTGAGAATCAAAGTCGTTATGTAAGTCAGGACATGCACATGTGAACGGCGCCTTTCCAGATGGAGACCAGCCTTCGCAATCAAAACCAAGCAGATACACGGAGAAACCCTGACCCGACCCCGAAGCTCCAGGCCGAGATCAGCGTGTGTTAAAGGAGACCGTTGAGTCCGCTGATCTCTGGCTCGGGGGAGGGGTTCCCCGAGTAAAAGAGGTCTCTAATCTCAAAGGAGTCTTCCCGGTTAAGTCGGATAAAGACGAGAATCAACATATTCACCCCGGGGGCCGTCTGACAAGCTGAAGCTCCCATTTGACCCCGACCACAGTCAGGCGAAGTGTGTTGCTCAAGGACACGTGACAGCAGAATTCCCAGGAATGAGATGGGATCAATAACGATGGACTGAAAGCAGCAGAAACCTTTCCAGCGGTGATGAAGAGGTGGGGACGTAGAAATACTTTAATAATATGTACTTGAAACCTGATAAGTTTGACAAAGAAAATGTTACCCAGTGATGTTTACATGTATTATTGATCTATAAACAATACTAAATATCTATTAAAAGCCTTTAATACCAGTTTTTTCTGTTTGTTTAATTGATGTCACGCAAGTTTCCGTCGAAGTGATGCTTCCGTGGAATCTGCTGGTTTCTTCACTTTGGGAAAATTCTGCTAATTTGCAAAAATAAAATCATCGAAACGTTTATAGTCCGAATTGTTGCTTTGTATGTAGCCCCTGAAAATTATTTGTGTCATAAATGGACGTTTTCTGAATAATCTGGATGCAGTTGGACAGACTAGGTTCTGTCCATCATACAGAGGTTAAAGGACTTGGCATGTTCTCCGTGTTAATGCCTGTGCTGACTCTAGTCTCCTCCCACACACCAAAAACATGTATGCTTTGCAGGGGCGTGTCCAGGGAGTGGCCTGGGGTAGCACATGCCACCCTTAGAATCTGATTGGCCACTCCAGGTGCCACCACACTAATTTACCTTTAAATAGGCTTTTCATTGTCCACAAAAGGCTTGGGGGTAAAACAAAAGAAGCATAACCATTGGTGCCACCCATGCACAAAATTGTGCCTCACCTGGGCCACCCCATTTTAAAAGATCTGGACACGCCACTGATGCTTTGTAAATTGTAATCTGGGGGAAAAGGCTCTGGTGCATCAGTTTCAGGAACTAGAGGTGAGCCACATCAGAGGCCCTGTCCCAATACTCGCACTTGGTCCTCAGTCAAGTGCACTTGGAGGAAGTGTGCAGTGAGGCTTTGAGTGTGTAGTACACACACGTGCAAATAAACCGCGTCACCAACTGCACCACACGCCAGGATGCTGGTCGCTGTTTGTGCCACTTTTGAAAAAATCTTACTCCACAAATAACACAAATCTGGAGGAGTTCTGCTGTGTGGTGGAGTTGATGATGCTAACGGTTAGCTTCTAGTAGCAGAGACGCTTTCTACGAATGTTATCTGTGCTGAGGTTGGGAGGTGAGCAAGACTTATTTGTAACAATTAGAATAGAAAAGAAAAGACTTCATTAATCGAGAAGGGGAAATCCACTCTTTAGAGAAAAGGGGGAATGAGTTGGGGTTGGAGGTCCTGGCTGGGCACAGGCAAGGAGGTCCTCAAGAAGAAAGTTTGGGAACCACTGCTCCGTCTGTGGCGTGTCCCTTTAAAAACAAACCAACGTGACGTGACGTGCGCTTCCGTTCAAATACCCTTGTGCTTCTCCTCTCACGGTCTCCATCCCATCCAGCTCACCTCCTGCACCCCCCGGACCAGCCCCTCCCTCCTGCCCTGTCTCCTCCCCGGGCGTGTGAGCCGAGATCACCGCTCCGCCGGCCGGAGCTCCTGGAGAAGATCCGCAGAAAAACCGGAGACGATGTGAGCGCGAACGGAGCCGAAAAGCGTGGCAGATATCAAGGGGCACCAGGTGAGCTGCTTCTGTAAACATCTCTGACCAATGAAAGGCGCCCTTATGCGCCGGAAGCTTCTGCGGAGAGTTGTGCGTCAAGAAGTAGAACAAACAGCGCACGGAGTCGGAATATGGTGTCTGCGTGAAGGATGGCTGCAAGATCTGAGGCCTCTCTCTCTCTCTCTCTCTCTCTCTCTCTCTCTCTCTCTCTCTCTCTCTCTCTCTCTCTCTCTCTCTCTCTCTCTCTCTCTCTCTCCCTGTTTGTTTTGGTGCAGCTGATGGATGTAGGGATGCTGCGCACTGCGCTCCTCCAGATGTTTTCATGACATCCTGTGCGCCTGGTGCGCGCGCGGCGCAGTTTTAATGTGCGCACTAACATAATCCGCTTCAGACCAGGAATGGGAAAAAGGACAAGGTCTCATCCTGCTTGTTGGATCGCTGCAAAGTCGTGACAGGTCTCCTGGCGCAGCAGTTTGACCTTGCAGCATTTGTTGTTTTTACCGAATCCCACCTGACAGCCGATTGGACGTTTTCACCGTAAATAAATGAAGATTTGAATTTTAAGAATCTTAATATTTAAATCCGCTTCTTTTTTTTACCAACTGCAGTGATGTTTAGCTGTAAAGGGCTAAATAACGCAATAACGTTAAAGCCTCCAAACTTGTTTGTGTCTTTGAAACCAAACGCTTGAAGATGCTGTACATGGTAAACGGCCTGTGTGCAACCCCCCAAGGCGCTTCAACACAATCAGTCATTCAGTTGTTTACAATTCTCCTCAAATCTTTTGCTATCGTATTTTACATTTTGCTATTTTAAACCGTTCAGAACAAGCAGGCCCTCACTAAAACACGATGCCATTGGCTCTCGTATTCAGAATTATCAGTTCTTTTTAAGACATTTTATCAATTAAGAATCCTCCCGTTTCATAACGTAACCATCCATCACCAGCAAAGCATCGCGGCGCAGGAAAGCAGCGTTTGCAGCGGTAAACTGGCCGTGCAAAAGTCCATTAATGTCAGTAATCTGACTGAGAGACCCCCTAAAGGCCCAGGAGCCCTTTGCGGGTGTTCTGGATTCATTCGCTGATCAGAGGCTAGAATATTGAACCTTTTCATAATTTTCTCATATTCTGAGATTCTGAATGTGGGTTTTTTTCAGCTGTAAGCCATGATCATCACAATTCTAACAAAGATTTTAAATACCTGCATGTGCGTGGAAAGTGTCTGTCTCATGGACGTTTCACCTTAGGTTGGATTACTGACATAAATGAACTTTTGCACCAGATTCCCACTTTTCCACTTTCACCCGTGTTCCCTTGGACTTTCAAATTTCCAGTAGATAGAAAAAGCAGCTGGACTTCTTCGTTCCCTTGAAGGCCCACTAGTTTGAGAAGCTGCCTCGATTCAAGCAGGAAGTTGCAGGTTCGAGAGCTTCATTAATGCGGGTTATTTTACAAAAAGTAAAACACTTCCTTGTTGTCTAAAGAGATTTACAAACCAACCGGGAGCTCAACTATCCAAACTTCTGAAACCCTGACCTGAATCCAGTTTGGCAGAAAAGCAGCCTGGACCGGACGAAGCCTTGCAGCACTACAGACTCCCCAACTTCATCAAGAAAGTAAAGAGTTGTATTTCTTTAACTCACCCGGACTTATTCTTTCTTTTAGACTTCCTGTATCTTATCTTTCTTTTAACGGGCCTGGTTGCCCAGTCTGAGTCTGGTTTCTGCATGGCCATCTTGTCAGCTGCAGACTTCCCCTTGCATCCTGTTCCTCAGCATCCTCCACCAATCACAGCCCTCCTTCTGCTCACGTTTCACACAAGTGGCGGACTGACCGTCGCCATGGTGACGTAGCAGTCATCGCCAGAGCGTGGTGTTTGCTGAGAAGCAACCCGTGGCTCTAATCCTTCCCTTCCTTTCCCTTAATACGATAATAACAAACACTGATAAGCCGACGCTGTAACAGTTTTCCAGACTCATCTGCAGGAGGGGAGTGCTGCACTTGTAGCTCTCGTCTCTGCTGGACTGTTGCTTGTGATGCTAATGACACCGTTTGACTCGACGGCTCCAACCGCCGCTGAAGATGGCTCGGGAAGTCTGTCTGAGTGGTTTTAGCCAGTGGGAGCTGCAGCACATGCCCTCTCTGCTGCCGCTGTTGTGTTACTAATCATTTCACAGCTGTGCGGGGATTTGAAAACAAGTCTTGAGAGAAGCATCAGGGTTATGAAGGGACACGGACTCAGGTGAAAGATGTTCATCGTCATCTTTTACAAATGGTTTAAAATGTTAGAAGACATGCTTCATGCTAAACTTTGCTACCGTTAGTGCTGCCACGTGGGTCTGCACTAGCCTTGACTCTAGATTTTGCTCTGCATGCCGGTCTGGCCACGCTCCATTCGAAACTCCGCAGCCCCGGACAGTCCGGTCCAATCACAGCGCTCTCTGTTTGGTGGGCGGGATGTTACTGCGACTGAGTGAAATTAAGATGGGGACGCTAGTTTGACATGGCTTTGGTCGAGAGCAGATGGAGGTAATCAGGTTTATATAGAAGGATGTATTTGCATCCTCTTCAGCAGTGACCGGCGGACTACCCCACTGACTAACAGCATGTGGAGATCCCACTCCACGACTGAGTCAGTCATCACTGGGTCATGGCCAGACTATATATTCACATGTAGAGGATGGTTTGCCAGGCTAGGGCTCTTTAACCCTCCCACTGTCCTAATGGGTGTGACCCCGCGAGGAAAGTTGACCATTGAGCAGGATTGATGGCAGGGGCGTGTCCAGGGGGTGGCCTGGGGTAGCACATGCCACCCTTGGAATCTTATTGGCCACCCCACTGAATTTCCTTTAAATAGACTTTTCCACAAAAAGCTTGGGGCGAAAAAGAAAAAGCATAACCATTGGTGCCACCCATGCACAAAGAAGTGCACTACCTGGGCCACCCCATTTTAAAAGATGTGGCCACGCCACTGATTGATGGTTTACACCTTGAGGTCCATGTGGCAGCGGTGAGGAGTGAGCACCACCTCACCCCTGCTACATGGACCTCAAGGTGTAAACCATCAATCCTACTCAATGGTCAACTTTCGTTTTGGGGTCACCCATAAAGCCAGTGAGAGGGTTAAACACCCAAAACATGAAAAAAAACTTGATTCCATTTTTAGTCAGTGTTTAATTTTAGAAATTATGTGCCCAAAACAAGACTTTCAAAACGTCCCCATTTGTGATGTCACAAAGTCAGCATAGAACGCCCCTCATCTGTGGACACTGCACACGTTCTGCTCTAAGCCCCTCCCAGATATGGGAGCTTCCCACCTCATTGCAGCCAAATCAGGAGATGGGTGGGCGTGGCCAGACCCAACGCGTTTTCTTAAAGCGACAGAGTCGTGAAACGGCTCATTCTGGAAGGTCCTGAAAAGAACAAAACTGCTGAGATCGCATTAAGTGAGAGCGACTTTATGTAAGGAACTTCATGAACCTGTTTTGAGTCGACCACACAGCTGTTATAACTTTTACACAGTTACGATACGTCTCCGTTAAATTTGTTTGACCAGAACGGAGATGCTGCCGTTATTTTATGTCAGTCAGGTTGCCAGGGCAACGTGAAATGCAGTTTTAAAGTGAAGCATGCACTGAATTTAACTTAAATTAAACATGGAGACGTGTGTATATTATTATTTTAACATCTGGCATTAAATGATAAAACATAAGAAATCCAACCTGGTTTAAACAAAGCCATGTTTGGGGATTTTCATCACCAAGGCTACGTGTTTTGTGGTGCGTGTTTTAGCAGCAAACATAAATCCGACCTTAAATGATAAAATAAGATCAGACTGGGTGGGGCTCTGGTCAGCTGGATGTAAGAATAAGCTCTCTGTCTCAGGCGAGTACCCTCCGACCGCTAATGTGATCGCAGATATTGATTTGCTGTTTGTTATTTTTCCGAATGCTCTTTCGTTGTTGTGTTTTTAGTAAAAGGTTCAGAGCGGAGCGGTGGTGAAGCCTCCAGCCCCTGCTGATGATGACAGACCCATGGTGGGTCAGGTATTTTGGGCTTTGACCTGGATAAAGCCTGTAGTGTGACTGAAAAGCCTTTCGTCCTGAACCTGCTGAGAGCTACAGCTCGTCTACTGGAGTTCTGTCTGATGAGGAAAATTAGGCTAGGACCCTCGGTGATTACTGTGCAGGTTCTGATAAAACAACTGCATCACCTTTTCAGTTCCTCCTTTCTCCTATTGGTCGTGCAGGAGCAGGTGACTGCTGTGCTTTGCAGAAGCTTAGCTAAGCTAGTCTGGATGCACTGCAGCAGAGTGACTCTGCAGATCAGCCTGATCTGCTGCAAAAGCCAAAAGTGACTGATTTAGCATCATCCTGAGGGTCGTTTGTTTCCCGTGCTTACTGAGGAGACACGTTCAAAGCTACTGAAATATTCTGCACTTTTACTCTGAGTAACACACACTGTTGTCCACTCTGCCCCTGTGGTTCATCGGTGGAAGTGTAGGCCTTTGGTGCATTTTACAGCTGCAGAGGAACCGGTCTTATCAAGGCCATTTCTGCAGATGCGTCATGCACCTTTGCACGAACTCAGCTCTCTTTTAACGTGGCTGACATGAGCGGATGAGGGTTTGTTTAAAGCTGCAGCAGCAGACCTTTTGGGTTCTCACATCTCCAGAGCTTTGAGCGTTAGCTGGGATTCTGATGCCATGAGCGGCCTCCTCCCTTCACGTCTGACCAGTGAGAGTCGTGTTATCGCTGCCGTCGGCACGGTCCAGACAGCAGAATTCAGTTCAGTTCAGTTTATTTATAAAGCGCCAAATCACGACAAGAGTCGTCTAAGGTGCATCACAGGTCGGTTCATTCAGCCAATCATAAGATTTCCTATGTAAGGAACCCAGCAGGTTGCATCGAGTCACTGACAGGCGAGAACTGTCAGTCTGCGTTTCTGCTTCTTCTCATCAGTCTCGCTGACCTCTTTAACCTGGTATTCAGGTACATTTGATAATAAAAAGTACATT